CCGACTGCGCTGTCACAGCACGACGTTTCACTGGCCGCTTGCTACGCGGATCCGCGCTCGTAGGGATCGATTCCGGGCCTGGTTCGGACATTTTTGAGGCTTTGCGTTTGCCTTACGCGGGTAACTATGAAGTAATCCTGCGGCGATCTACGCAAAGTGTGGACTGGCAGGCGCAAGATCTGACGAGATTCAGTCGTTGGATTTTGTTTGTTTGCGCAACTCGAAATAGTGAGGTAGTAAGTTGGGAAATTTTGATTTAATCGGCGCAAATTTTATGACGTTTGTTTTTGTTTAACACCCGGGCCAATCACGAGCAGACAGAGTTGTCTAGAAGCTCAGGCTGGAGAAAGGTTGATGCTCAGTTCCTCGGATAAACTTACTGAATTAAATCAATCTAGAGCGGTGAAGGCGTAGGGTGCTTATCTTTTACTGTATCATTTTGCGACATGTCTTCAGCTGTTCATGGCATTTAGCTTCTTGGTGGTTCCATGTATGACAATGGGATCTTTTCGGGTTAGCCTGGCTTACTGTTGTCACTCCGATTATAGCCTTAGAATAAAGACAAATAAGTGAAGGAATTGAAATGGGGTAGTAAGACGGTTCTGTTACAGCCTCAGTATCGCATGTGACCCACTGCCTTAGGCGACTTGTCTAGAATCTATACCCATACACCCATCACTCTTCTTCTACAATTCGTTACTTTTCCTAGTTCTTTTCATACTCAAGCGTCTCTTGCTTCCTAGTATCAGGGATGTTTCACCCTCTTTCGGGTACTATTAGTACGACTATACTCATCTAACGGCGTCACCATCTCCGCACACACCCCGCGTCTTGTCGCGCGATGAACGGACTTACTAACGAACCAACTAGGATAGGGGGTAAGAAGGATACGAAGGTTGTTAGCATCAGACTTATGATTACACTGCACGATTCTTCGGCAAGTAACTGATATATTATCTACAGTTTGACGTCGACGATGCATGCTGTTTAAAGTCCAATCCTACTTTGGTGGGACATGTCTGCGTAAGTAACGCCGCTTAATATATATCGGTCTATTTTGGCTAAATGCTCATCCACAGAGAACTGACCATGATGTATGTTATGTTCTCTCTCTCTCTCTCTCCTTTCTCTGGTGGCTGAGACGATCGGAGCAGTTGCTGAACTGACTGTCCAAGGCTGATGACGATGAACCCCTGAGCCTGAATGAATGCTTAATCCTGTCTTATACTACCGTTCCACAGAAGGACTTGGAGCAATTCCTGGAAACTGGAGTAGTATGTAACCACAACCAGACAGTCGACTCTCTCACTGAAAATTAATTCTCGCGTTAGCCTCCAAAGGGGTATGCTTTTGTTAGCTTCACAGAGCCCTCACAGGGAAACTCGCTCATACATGAGAACGACCTTGAACTACTCGACCGCACTTTCGATCTTGGCGACACTGTCAAGCGGCACCCAGATGATACGATCAGTGGTACGGTTATCAGTACTTCTGCAACATGTAGCCTTGAACCTATCGCTTATCGAGCATTCGACCCCGAGACTGGAGAGTATGGCTCTCTGAACTTCACCGAAAAGGTCATCAAGCGTGAAGGCAGCCTAGCAACTGAGAACGATGCCACAGAACCTCCGCTTCTGCACGGCATCCCAGTAGTAGAACTAAAGAAATACGAAGAATTTTCCGAAGGCGATTATATCGTCTACCGGCAGAAGCTCGGAATAATCCATGGCATTGATCGTGATGCCATACTGCTCCTCCCAAATCAAAGTGTTATATCTCCCCTCGATCCGAGTGCCCTGGAGATTCCATTTTCATTCGGAGCCGAAAGTCTCGTCACATTACCCAGCAACATGAGTGCTACGCGATATTACCCCTCGGCCAGTGGTGGCACGATTTGGTCCACGGAATCAAGTTTCTTGTTCCCTGGCCAATTTTCTTTTACGTCCAGGAACAATCTGAGCAGAGGCGACTTGTCCTCTAGTGCAGCCTCGATGTCACAACCAGAGGGCTATGTCCTAGCCACTCCAGCCATGGATATTCAAGTCGACTGGCTCTGTCCAAATGTTTTTGCCCCAGGCACATCCCATAGTGGTGGTGCAAACATCGAGGTACTAAGAGCATCTACTCTCCGCGGAAACGCAATGGTATGCGATTTTGGGCAGGTTTCCCGGGGAAACCCCGATAAAAAGCCCGTTCATTCAGATTCCTGGCTTAACATTGGGGACAGGGTGCGTTTCCGGGATTCAATATCTGCAGCTGTAAAGTATCCTGCATATCAGCATCTGCCCACTGACCAAACTTTTGGCCAAGATATAAACATCCTCCGCGTTACTTCCATGAAAACAGAGATCACTATTCAGTGGCAAGATGGGACTATCACCACCGAAGCAGCCACTTCTCTGCTCAAATTCCTTGGCGTTGAGGATGAAGTCTGGCCTGGAAATTTAGTTGTCTTGAAAGATGGTATTGAGATAATCCGGGAACCCTGCAAGAACAATACGGGGCCCCTCGGGCGCCATATGAGGGAAACATTGCATGTTAGGAGAGTCGGGGTGATTCAAAATGTAGATAGCCGGGAAAGGATAGCATCGGTCCGCTGGTATAAGGATCCCGATGTCAAAGTGACGCATCAGGGAAACATGTTAGTGCCTGGATCCTTCCTAGGTGAACTTAGTGACGCCGTTACAGAAGTCTCCATCTATGAGCTTTACTCATACCCTAGCATGCAAAGGACACTAAATGACCTAGTGCTTCTGGCACCCGGGATAATTCACCGGTCATCAATACCGGCAATTGACAATGAGCCGACTAGAGCCGCTGGCCCTTGTCGGCTGAGCTCTCTGTCTCCTGTCTCCTTCTCTCAAACACTTTCATACCTTGAGTCCATGAAGTTATCCATGGTGAACTTTGAATGGTTCAAAAGGACTACTGAGATTGATACGTCACCTGTACCTTCCAAATACAGCGTACATCACGAAGAATTCAGCATCAAATCACCAACAAACTTCATTGGCAAGATCATTTCAATAGATACTGAGGGCACCATCACCATTCGTACTGTAGGCGCCGACAATGTTCGTGATATTCGCGTGCCATGGGAGAGAATTATGATGATAATTGATGAGGATAATATAATTCCGCCTGTGCCACTCCCGCCACTCGAACTACTTAGCCTCGCGGCTATCGATCGTTTTGAACAATCAGACGACTTCCCATTCACTGAGACAATTGAATATGAGGGCGGCGCGCGTCTTGATAATGATAGTGGGGATGATGACTGGGCAACTGAAGGCGAATCCGAGCTTGACTATGAGGAATTTGAGGAGGTGGAAAACGATAGCGATGATAACGATGGGCTCATGGCTCCCGCCTTGTCAATTATCAATCCTCCTGAGAGGCTTGACCACGATGAGCGGGAACAACCTGGTACTGATGAGACCGGGGCTGAAGTCTCTCGAGTGGAAAATAGATCACCTATGCTCTCATTAGCCCTGCCATCGTCATGTCCTCCAGGTTTCTCTATGTTAGAAAGCTCGCCCCCTTCTGACCACCATTTCTTTTCTACGGTTCCGAGTGAAGCTCCTGGATTGCGTATCAAGCGCATACAAAAAGAATTTGAAATCCTTCAGTCATCCTTACCAACTGGAATTTTTGTGCGGACATGGGAGTCTAGGATGGACCTATTACGGGTTCTGATAATCGGGCCTCAAGGAACACCATATGAGCATGCGCCGTTCGTGATTGACTTTCATTTCCCTGATGATTTTCCTACTCGTCCTCCAGCAGCCTATTTCCACTCGTGGACGGACAGAACTGGGATGATCAATCCGAACTTGGGAGAAAATGGCAATATCTGCTTAAGTCTCCTAGGAACTTGGCCTGGGAAGAACCCCACAGAAAGTTGGTCTCCCACCAACTCGACGGTCTTGCAGATATTGGTTTCAATCATGGGTCTCGTGTTGGTAAAAATGCCATTCTACAGTACGTATCAACATTCGCCGGAGGGCTAGCACGAGTACTAACCTGACCAAGATGAGGCTGGCTACGAAACACTTGCTGCGGAAGAAGACAGGCGCGTCGAGTCGACCCAATACACGGAGAAAGCCTTCTTGATAACTCGAACCTTCATCCAACATGCCCTTGCAAACCCTATCGCTGGCTTAGAAGATGTTCTAGCTTGGCATTATTTCGCAGACCCCCAGCAGAAGCACAACGATACTTGCATCCGCCCACAACTACTACGCCGGGCTATTGACGAAGCTCTTAATATGATTGAGCATCACAACCGCACACCGGCAGGTGCAAAGTTGAGTGAGGAGCACGCGGCATCGGCTTTCGTGTCTCGTCTCAGCCTGGGGGCAGTTGTGATGTTACGAAAGCATGTTACTACACTGGAGAATATTGAATTAGTCGCGAATTCTCTTGAGAGAGTCTAAGCTTCTTTGGTGCTGCACTCTGCTCAGTTCTTAGTCTATCTGATCTGTGCTTATCTAAGGTCGTAAGTATCAGTATTAGCTGCTCTCTCGCATTCTTATCAGCACCGTAGCTCTCGCTTGGACTTTGGGTAGGAGATAGGAACCAAAATGAACAGTTACTAGGATATGACTGGTAATTTAATTCCATATGCCGTTAACAATAATTTTCATGAGTATTGCTGGGCAATTCGTGCGATTTTCAAAGCATGTATGTTTTATTCGAGGGCAGAGGAACGAGCAGCCTACTGTATAGGTACTACTTGTAGCCATAAACCGAATTAGCAGGCGGAAAACCCCCCAAACCAGAAAATAAAAGTAAGCACGCTGTGATTAATTGATCACAAAGACGTTAAGCCTGACAAAGGTAAACTGAGAAGAATTAAATAATGAAAAACAGGGCAAGAAAGAGGAATTTGCTTAAGACAAATGTAGAGAGAGCTGCGGGTTTGGTCGGTGGCGTGTTCCGTTGCTCTCTCTTTTGTCGGTTTCTTCTCTCCTCCCTTCATCCTCCATCTCTTTCCCTCTAACGAATCTTCTTCCCCCTGCTTCTCTTCTGCTTCCTATGATACACTAATAGGTCTAATATCACTATTAGTTTTCTATCTAAATCTGGCATTCTTGAATAATATTGCGACTTTTTAGCGCTTCTTTCGCACTGCAGATCAAAGAAAAAACAGCCGCGTCGCTAGTTTTTAACATGCCATCTTATCGCTTGGGTGAGTGACTTTTTAAATTTTCTGTCTTGTATTTGGGCAAATAGTTTGGTGGTCTATCACTATCACTACTGCGAAGATGCGATAGAGACTATTCAGTGTGATCTTGGACCTGTTTGCTGTCGTCCCTGGGTCGCGGTTGTGTTCCCAGCCATGTCAATCAGCCGCTGGGTGCCTACTTGCAATAAGGCAGATGTCACACAGTTCCTTCGTTTTATCTTTTTCTTTTTTTTTTTTTTTCCTATCCGTATCCCTCTCTATCATTCTCTCGTTCTTCGTTCCTCGACCTTTACTGCTACATCTGTACATTTATTATATATAGACGCTGCCTTGCTCTGTTCATTTCCATACATAGAGCATTATCCTAACCTTGAAATAGAGCAAGCCTCCACCGGCAGAGCCGGCTGTCAAAACAAAGAATGCAAAGACGAGAAGGTCAAGATCGCCAAAGGCGAGCTCCGTCTCGGCACCTGGGTTGACACCGAGCGCATCCAGGCATTTTTCTGGAGACATTGGTGAGCTCCTACTAACCTGAATAGACCTATCAGAATTGCCAGACTGACGCTTGTAAAAGGGGCTGTGTAACGCCCAGAATCATTGCTAGTCTCAATGAGAATCTTGGGGATGATGACGAGAAGGATTACGAACAGCTAGATGGCTTCGAAGATCTTACTCCCGAAAATCAGGAGAAGGTCAAGAAGGCGCTGGAACAGGGCCATGTTGATGACGAGGAATGGAAGGGGGTATGCAAATCCTTTTTCTTATGTCCCCTTCCGATTGTTATTTTCTAGACTCAGTGCTGTGTTCTCAATTCCAAGTACTGACGGATATAGGATGTTGAAATGAACCGTCCTGGTAAGAATGGCTTCCGCAAGCGTGGATCAAAGAAGAAAACGGCTGCCGCTGAGGTTTGTCTCACCATCATTACCATGTAACCCATATACAAGCTTTCTAAACCATGTATACAGGAGAGCGAAGCTGAAGAAAAGTCTCCTGAGCCAAAGACCAAGAAGCGTGGCCGTCAGTCAATCAAAGAGGAGGCTGAGGACCAGGCTGAAGAGGCACCGGAAACCAAGAAGCCCAAGAAAGGAGCACGTGGAAAGCGAGCCTCCGAAGCTGATAAGGCGACAAAGGAAGAAGCAGACGACAATGCGGCAACTCCTGTAAAACCTAGGGCAACTAGGAAGGGCCGTGCCTCGAAGAATGACACCGAGGATAAGGAGTCCCCGGAAGCTCCTGCCAAAGCTGCGAAGCCCGCTGCGAAGCGCCAGCGAAAGTCTGCTGCGAAAGACGATGAAGCGGAGACTGTTGAAGAAGAGCCTGCTGAAGAAAAGCCGAAGCGAGGCCGGAGGAAGAAGACTGCCTAATAGCGCCCTATTGCAAACGGAAGCTCTCCGTCTTACTTAATTATATGCGTGGCGTCTTGATGGTCTGTGAGACATTTCGTTTCGTTTCTTTTTGTTGGTTTCTGGTGTCGCTCCGTGTTGTTGTTATGCGAGTATGTTGAAGGTTTGTGTGGGCAAGCGAGCAAGCGTCTCCGTTGTATGTCAACTTTTACCTGTCCGAGGCGAAAGAATTATGCCGATAACTATATGGTGTATTAATAGGAAATCTTAATAGGTGCTTTAATGATACAACCACCTAAGTCTGTATAACAAAGTCCAGAATCTTGTAAGATGAGGCGGCCTAATATCTCAATTCCTAACGTAGATCATTCTACTTTCCGACATCAACCATGCATCCTAGATACTAAACAAACTAGGACAGACAAAGTCGCGTAATTTCAAGAGAGCGATGATTAAAATCTAAGACTTGCAAAAGCACTATAAAGACTCAGCTCAAGGAGTGGCGCCGAAACGAACAAGTCATGCCTCAAAAGTTCATTAAAACGAGATATTGATATGGTCCCTAAAACCATATCGAATGATACGGTAGGCCAACCTCGGAGAAGTGAAGAAACCAGCATGAGTCAAGGAAAGGAACTGATTGATCTGAGCTCAAGCAGTCTCGTTCGGCTCTTTAACAAGAAGATCGGATTTTTTTTTTAAATGATTTTCTGTACATATTGTCGTGCTTGCTGTGCAATCATTGGGTCATCTTAGGTGATTCATCGTTACTGTGAGATAGTGTAAGCACATACTTATGTTCAAAATAAGCAGGAAATTGAAGAAGACCAACCTAATCTCCTCAAGATCATCCATGTGGTTACACATAGCAACGAACAGATCAAAAAAGAACTTATGACCCATCTCCATCTCATACTGCATGGTCCCACTGGTCTTGAAAATCTGTCGGGTCCGAATGATCATAGCCAAGTAATGTGAGCGCAGTCGACACTCGGAGTCCGGCGTGTTGTCGTAGGCATACCGAGCGGATCTTAAAATCACATCGATGGGGATTCCGCTCTGAAGACCCTGCTTGCGGATAGCAAGGCTTTTGAGCCCCTCCAGTCCATACTTCTCGGCTGCACAGTACACGACCGTGTCCCTGAGGACGATGTCGCCTACAGCGGAGTGAAACATAGTCGCTTCGCTCGACCCGCGGCCACCGGGGTGGGTGGTGACATTCTGGCTATTCTCGAGTTCCCATGAATTGGTGTCCTTGTTACGGAGCAGGCGCGGGAAATAATCTCCCTTGTACAAGAATTCGAGAACGCAAGATAAAACTTCTGGCTCTCTGATATATGTTAGAAACATTTCCTTGTATTGGTATTGTTGCTGTTCTTGATTTGAGGACATACTCATCTGGCAGAGCCACTGCCTTATTCGTGCTGTCCCCGACGAACCCGTCTTGGAGTAGAGATCGGAATAAAGGCGAGCGGCATAGTATTTCCTCATGAGCTACGAAGACACGTTGTTCATGACTCACGATCATGGTGACTATAGGGCTCGTGAGGGGACTATAGAAACCATCTACGATTAGCTTAAAGTCTTGTGCTAGAGCTCAAGTAGGCACTCTACAACAGAGAACAGGGTTTTTGAAAACAAGAAATTACATTAGTTACTCACGTAGCCGGTGACTGACTTTCCACCTTCTCTTGCATTTTCCTCGCCTTCACATGCCTACCGTGTGTCTTCCTTGGTGACCTTCTAGACTTGCCGATTCGATCGCTTCGGGTGAACGAGCGATTAGCGGTTTTCAGCCTATCGTCCATACCCATGAACTTGGCCAGAAATGACACTAGAGACATCCAGACGTAGAGATAAAAGATTGACAGAAGAAGCCAAATGAAAGGAATCGAATGAGCTGGTTGATATAAACGAATGACGCTACCGACTCACGCACTTTGCATGAAACAGAGAGTCCTGGAAGCCTTCCCAAGACAAGATCCTCCTCGTAATCGCAAGCCTTCATTAATGAAAATGAAAGCTTACAGACTGTTGAGAAGGTGTAGGATTCCTGGGAGCTGGCTTTCGCCTACATAAATCCACCTACGCGGAGTAGATTCACGTAGCGAGCCTTGGTCGACCCTGGGGAGCGCGAGAGAGGAAAGAAGAGAGGTGGGATGGAGCTGGCAGGGAGTGTCTTATATAGATGCGGGGAATGAATCATGTGATGGTGAGATCGATGATCGGCCACATGACGGCGTAGATCATGGTTTCTTGTAGATGACTCAGTTCCTACATAATTTATTCCAGATTGTATGAAATAATGTGTGGATAAGTTTTACTTCAGCATACTCTAATCACAGATTAGCTCTCTATGTGCAAGCGTAATTATCTTCATGGATCATAATCACCGATTCACCATGAATATTCACTCTCTATTCCCTGCATCATTAATAGGATCATCTCAACCACAGGTGATCAATATCTATATCCAAATTATTAGGATATAGTAGAGCTGCATAGGTTTCAGGGTTACTTATATTTTGATTTGTGTCAACCTGGAAAGCTCTACTCATTGTACTAGCAATCAATATTTTGAGGTCCACACAACACCAAAGAATGACATATACCAACTTCTTCTTAGGCGGTGACAACCAGCACTTTTAGATGTCTATACTCATAGGCAGAATGCTTTTACTATAGCAACGAACACAATATTCACCAAAGCACTGATCATCATAACCAGAACGTTGAGGTCTTGCCGCGGCCAGAGTCACCAGAGCATAAGCGTTCACTTACTTTTTCTTATCGAAGCCTTGCCCTTTCATACAATCAAGGTGAGTAAGAAGTAAATGCTCTCATTTTATTACTCATATTGAGTCTGTTCTTTTCCGAACCCCTGTCTTTTTCGTTGCTAAGTATCAATGTTTATATCATCCGCTGATCCTAGGTAAAAACTGACATAGGGTACTATGGTGAACTGGACATTAGCAGGGATTACTATCCAGGGAGATGTACTCATTACATCCGTCATAATACATACACTTCTCACGCTGCTTAAATTGTATGGATTATATGTGCTGGGTGTGCTGGCTGATTTTGCTGCAAATTTCCAAGCAGACGAACTGGAGGAGTGGTTGGAAAATGCTAGGGCTCGAAGGGACAATGCCTACACACACAGCAGTCTCACAGACATTGATTTGGCAGACACTGATATCACAGATAGTGATTACACTGACAGTGACTGAGAAGTTGGCTTGATCCACGGGTAAATGTTTCACAGAGGTGGTTTTACGGACCGTGATTGAGATATTGGATTGATTCATCCAATGTACCTGATGGCCAGACTGCCTTGCTTCATCTCTGCTTTTCAGCATCTGCGAAAAGTGTCATCCCTGGTAAGAATCAAGCAAGCCACAAAGTGAAAGCTCTCGTGATTCCAAATCTTGGTATCATTTCCAAGCTCAGCGGGTAAATGCTGACATTCTCTGCATAACCCGCTTCTCTTTCCTTCATTGGCTTCATACTTTTCCAACAATGACTATGACTTTCAATATCGCGCAATATTGCGAAAGCAATTTGAACATCTTTCTAGCCACTTACTATCCGTCTCTAACAGCCCGATATGCATACACTAAGTAAGGAGCATCGGCTGATAAGCCATCACTCTCCTTGCGCAAGGACACGAGCAAAATCGGACTATCGGTAAGGTATCCTACTAGAAGTCCTTAAGATGGGCGCCAAGGATGTCTACTTAGTTCTCTAAGCAGTGGAATGTATATTGCAAGTGTTGCCAGGATAAAATTGTATAGCTTTAATAATAGCTAAAGCCATTATTGATGAACACTCCATTTCTTCCCATTCTTTTATTATGGAAACAAAAGCTATGAGTTACAGTTGAGGCTAGAAGAAACATAATAGATGACTGAACAAGGGTTATTTTGCGAGGCTGACTTCTTGCAGCCTCAATCAGCCATGAGTTTCATCCCAAATTGCAGATGATCTTCGCAGCTATTTTCACGATTGGGTTAACGTACAGACTCGATAAGTGCACATCTTGCGGTCGATGGAGCTACTACAGCCATAATTAGTGTCGCCCTCCCCCTGCATTATATTATATTACCTTTCACTCTGGAATCTAGTTAATGGTTCAGGAAAACTTCCCGACACAAAAAGTAAACATACCCGATAGCAATACTACTCTGTTTTTGCTCCAGCGTACGCTTTTGCATATTATGAAAAATAAACTGACAACTTACGATAAAAGATTCCGCAGGAAGGCACTTCCAAAGATCCTCAAGCTATTTCGCCAAACGCCCAAACCTGAGCGGACTGTATTCCCGGGCTTCTTGGATCTTCCAAGCGAGATTCGTCTGCTTATCTACCAATTTGTCTTCGCTACTACTTGCGACCATATCCTCGTCACTGTCAGTCGTGACAGGCATGTGAGTCGTCCGATAATAAACACAGATGACCCAAACGGACGGCCTACTCGAGAGCTCAGATACACTCGCACGCCTTCCATACATCTGCCGGTAGCCTTACTTCAGACAAATCAACAAATATACTGTGAAGCCCTTCCGGTTCTATACGCGAACACCATATTCTCCGCTTCCTCGAATCCCACCTCATTAATGTACTTGAAAGATCGCCTGTCGGAATTCGCAAGAAACAATATTCGACAAGTTCAGCTTTGCCCTACCTCCCTCCTCTCGGAGTCCTTCATCCGAGAGCGAGAGTTGCTCTCTTGGACCGTTCTCTGCGCTGAAGTTGCTGATCTTCCTGGCCTCCGTCAAGTTCGGATATCATACCCCAGCCCAGAGATGCTGAAAGGTGGTACTGTAGAATTCCATCGAAGGCGTTATGCAAAATGGTTGGATCTAGTTCGAGCTGAAAAGTCTCTTGTTTTCGACGTATTTGATGGTAGTGCAGAAGATAGGGAAAGATGTCGAAGTCGGTTCAGAGAGATCATACAAGACACCGGTGACACCTTAGGGGGTTGATAATACATGGTATACTTTATACTACCATCCTATGTTTTAACTACCTCATCATACTCTACAATTTATAGAAATGAATAGTTCTAGTCTATGTTATTAAATTGCCCCTCAAAAGTATCCGCTCAGTTAGTTATAACCACAGCCAATGTTGCGATCATTGATATTGCAGCCAGACTCCAGAGGTCATTTGTGTATGTCTGGACCTGCATGAAGCGAATTTATGGTGATATATTCATACCGAGGTAATTTTTATTGGGCTTTCCATACCATTTATCGATTAACCCGTGGCTATATCCTCTGTTAATATACTCCTTATCCTGGATGCTTCCAGTCAGTATAAATCTACAATAAATCAAGCGAAGTATATCGCCCAATGCCAAGAAAGCAGCAACTCATCTGACCGTACTAGTAGTCACGGGAGTCGAGGCTCATATAAAGAGTCCGCCTCAGTCTGTACCTCGTTTGAAACCGCATTGAATCCCGTATACTTCACCACCTAGAAAATGGTGACTTTGTCCCCCACTCCCTAAGATAGGGCAATCAGTTAACGGAGTTAGGACGCACAGGAATATGGACAAGAATAACAACGCTAAACCCACCTTTCCCCAGAAGGCTAGCAAATCTCACGAGGTTGATGCTTTAACGCTTAATGGGGTGGATTACGATATCAAAGGGCTACCTCTTGAGGATATTGTTCAAGACATAGCGAAAGATGTACCGGCTGATGTGATGAGGAAGAGGTGGGGATTGGATGAACGCAAGATAAAGTAAGTCGCTGTAGAAACAGCAATGCCGAGTCTTTCTATTCGGTCTTCGGTTTTCGCAGTAAGGTTTGTGCGAGAGTTTTAGGAATCAAATGGTTCACCTCGAGAAAGTAGATGACCTTTGCTTTTGATACCGACGAGCGAGACTTATGGGTGTGTAAAGCTACTAGTATTATCATCAACTGTGTAATTAGGGTGGGGGAAGAGGAGTGGTTGGGTTGTAGATATATTTGACTGTCATTTTTATATCACAGTGATGCAGCCCTTTGTACTAAGATGATAGTGTTTCCCGAACACGCGACATATCCACGTGAGGATTTCATGGGGCCTACTGGAATATAATATCTCTATCTGACTTACGTAGCGGTGGTTAGCTTCTACCCAATATATTTAGGGAGTAACAGCAACATAAACACATCGAGTTGCCAAGAAAAAATGTTCAATTCAGGTCAGAGGTAACTGACAACGGTAAACAAGTATTTTACTGAAATACGATTCAACGTCGTCAGAAGCGAGGGCAGACGTACTGCTTACATGCTGAGAACAGGCAGATGATAGATCATAACTCATATCAATGCTCATACATTAGTGAAAAGCGTAACATGCATATAAGTTGCTGGTTGGCAACCCGCCAATCATAGTTCGGCAGGGTAGATCTTTGACAGAAGGAGTAACTGTGGCTGTGCGACTCAATTTGTGGCGCATGAAGTCAGTCGCACAGGTCAGGCAGTGATATCATCGCCCCAGAAGCTTCGATGTTCCTGGATTCCTGAATGCATTTGTAGACGCCGTTCTCCAGATTCTGGGGGAACTGAATGTTGATCTTTGAAATATTTAGGCGACGTTTCTGGTCTAGATCACTGTGATCTAGGGATACTCTAAAAAATAATTTTTGGGAACATACAGCTCACCGACCTACGAACTTTAATACCCCTCTGTCGATCTGCTCGATCTCAGCCCTTGCTGGCCAAGACTGCCTTTTAACTTCGCCACTGCCTTTAAGCTATCTTAGAGGAATATAATTGTTTCATTCACTTTCTTTTATCCTCTGATTATTTATTTATTCGTCCTATTTAGATAAAATAACCCAACATGCAGCAAATCAAACATTGGCGACGTCCGTCACAGCCGAAACCGCACGACCCAGTGCTGACCTCCGAGGACGAAGCCTTCTTACAAAATATCGTGTCCGAACCCACACCCACAAGCGAAGCACCTCATCCCTCTACTGGCGCAGCTGATGATAGCCGGTCGCCTGTCAGTCCCATTGCAACAGATGCGCCTGACACCCTCCTATCACCAGTGTCGCCCTTGGAAGAGTTCAGAGAGCTAGGTGAAGAAGCAAGGAAGGCTCGAGAGAAGGAGGAACAAAGATCTGGTCCTGATCCCCAAAGACAGAGCTCCAAGGATGGAAGTTCTTCGCAGACAGAGGAGAAGAAGAAAAAAACCTGGAGCAGTTGGTTACGGAGAAAGACCACAGTGAAAAAAGTGAGCTCTTTCTCTGCTCCTGTTCTTTCATTCATCGCCCTTTGATGCAGTTATTTATTCTAACATTCTATGGTGATAGGACAAACAACCTGTAAAGACCGAAGTATCGGGTGACGAGCAGACTAAACCACCCACCGATTCCAAGGACGAAAATGACGCAAGGCAGGAGACAGAGGATATGACGGAGATACTAGAAAGGCTGAACCTCGCAGCGGACAATAACCGTGTTTTCTCGGTCAGCGAAGAGATGCAGGAGCTTTTGCGCAAGTTCAAGTTGATTTTCAAGGACTTGATAAACGGGGTCCCCACTGCTTATCATGACCTTGAGATGCTCCTTACCAACGGTAACACGCAGTTGCAAGGCGCATACTCTAAGCTCCCAGGGCCTATACAGAAGCTCATCGAAAAGCTTCCAGAGCGATGGACGGAAACTTTGGCACCTGAGATGATCGCTGTAGCAAGTGAAAGGGCTGCAAAGAGCGGCGTTAATATAGATAACATTGGCAAGGCAGCCGCCGCTGCCAATAAGATGGGTATTAAGGTTCCCAGCCTGAAAGAACTGGTTGGGAAACCAGCGGCCATTGTCGGCATGCTACGATCGATCATGGCGTTCTTGCGAGCTCGATTCCCTGCCGTGCTGGGCATGAATGTGCTTTGGTCATTGGCTCTATCTAGTAAGTGTGACTGACCGTAGATTTCTATGCTCGACCTGCTATTGTTGGCGAAACATGCTGACATTTGCGTCACACAGTCCTTTTATTCGTTCTTTGGTACTGCCATAAACGTGGTCGCGAAGTCCGACTCGAGAACGAACGTCTCGTCACCGAGGAGGAGATAGAAAAGCTGAACGAGCAGTCTTCGTCTGACGAAAGAATTCGAACAACTGAGACTCTCACTACAACTGCCCCGCAAGGTGCTTCGGCAGCTGAAATCCGGGAGGGCGTGAAAGATGCCCAACAGTCCCGTGAGAGAGCTATGGCTGCGGCTGAGAGTACACAATTGGAGAATAACGATATGAAGGATAATAACCCCAAACCGACGAGATCAAAATCAATTTTATCCATTTGGGGCAGATCGAGCCAGAAACCAGAACCAGCTACAAAAATTCAGCCATACCCGGGAACCTGATTATGCCTTCTTGTTTCACCTTTGTTTCGATTTTGACTTTTTTATTCGCTCGTTTCGTGTTTGGGCTGGCTACTTGGGGTTATTGTTCGATACCACGTTTGTTTACTTCACGAAGCTTGTATGGTCATGATTACAGGATAACGACACAGAACCGGGCCTTTGGTTTCTTGGTACTTTAAGGATTTTAGTTTATGCAGATGACTATGACGATTCCATGTTAACAACACGAGCAATATGACACTGTGATCTTCTTCAGCCAGTCAGGTAGCACCAGAGTATGATGAGTAATGGGCCTCTGCGCAAAAGGAAAAAATGAAAATAAAACGCAACAACCACTGGGGGGTAGAGAGGACGTCAAAATTGGCCACCTGTTCTATTCAAAGATAGCACCTAATCTCCCGTGAGCCATGGAAAGGGATCGGTCCGGCCAGAAATTGCGGATATGCGGTCCCGAGTGGCAATTCAACGGGTTCCATGAGGCTTCTTGGGAAGGTCGGCATCAATCCGGCCCATCCTCACGTGCCGGAATTTTCTCGAAGATCGGCTCTGCGCTAGCTAGACTCATTTTACAGACGCCCGAGACAGCCTGCACATATGAAGCACATGAGGCGAGATGCCTTGGAGCTACTGCTAATTATTACTCTAGTGCTTCGTACTAAAGTGGTGGACTGTCTGGTATTTAAGGCATTGATGCTTCCATAGTACGCTGGAAAATAAATCGACGGGTGCGGGGTGCAGAGAATGAGTATGCATTGGCCAATGGGATCTTCGGGGGCTGCCGATCATGAGTAAGTGATGGGCCTAATGGACATAAATGGTTAGTGGAGCTTGGTATCATAACGAAAATTACCGTCTTGATAAAGGGCTACTACTACTAGTACCTACTTGGGTACTACTAGGTGAGAAGGACTTGCCTACTGGAAGTTCCATATATGGAGATATTATAGTGTAAAATGTATTTTACATGCCACATGATCCCTGACTACCTCCTGGTAGTTAGTACATTGGATGATGTCTTCTAACTCTTATGTAGCGCCCGTGAAAAGCTGGCTATTTGAAGCACTGTTGTCCGTAATAGTATCGAACCACCGGTGGAGACGGACAACTGTACATACATACGGAACATTCTGGACTAGAAATGCAGGTGATTCCTGGCATCTGTATATAGTATAGTAGTTTTGTTTTACCCAATAGATTCAGGGTTCACGAGCTGATGTTGCAGCCGGTCTCACCAGTTTATGCCCATGCGTGTATTAATTAGTGTACGCATTGTATAGCCCACTGCCCAGGATTTGAGCCATACCGGATAGCGCGCCTGCATGGCCCATTCATCCTGCATATAGATAATCAGTTCCACGATCCGGCAACCATTCCAATGCAGCCAGCTGTCCCCTTACCGCCCCTTTGATCCAATCAGGCCATGCATCATACGTACGAGTGTCGACTACAAAGGCTAAGTATTTTAGGTGAGCAAGTAAGTATGTACATGTACGATCTAGGCAATAGTAGGTGCTCATACTCCATCAATAGCTACCTAACTCCTAATCCTTCCTGGTGCCAGGTAATGGACAAGTGTGTCGTGTCATATCCTGACGGCGGCAACGGCGGGAATTTGCCTGTATGAACCTCAATATAGCTTTCTTCCCCCTTCTCCTTTGTGTTATTGTCCTCTGCTTGCCACTGTGGAGAGGGATTGTGAAAATATGAAGCAAGAGGGACGACAGTCGTCCGGACTAGACCAGAAAAAATCAATAAAATAGAATTTGCAAATGAATCATTACTTCAGTCGTTGGCGCGGTAGATGGCCGCCGCTAGTGGCGGACCTCGGCCAATCCGAACCAGGATTGGAGGTAAGAGAATGATTACAGACATTTCCATATGGAGGGACCATTGTAATTCTGCTGTACTCGGCAGCAATCCAACGAATCGCCGACAAAATTCAATCCTGCCACTCGCAGATACATTGGTTTTGTTATTCTTCCTGACTCATATGATGAATCAGATTTCTCGGGTAAATACAGTTGTGATCTAGAGATTGATGATGTAGTTGTCTGCAGGCTCGTGCAGGAAGCACGGTTCAAAGAAAGCCCCCTGACTTGATGGGGCATGTAAGTATGTCCTTAGTCTGTACATACTACTACATATTCATGTCCCATCCTTTAGGCAATGCTTTTTCCGTCGAACGTTGGTAATTTTACGGAGATTTTGGCGCATCCGTTGGAAGATCGTTTTCTTACATACTTGATATCGCATTCCACATGACCCCTCATTGGGGATGGGAGGCTCAGAAGAGATCTACATTCTTGTCACCTACAGGGCTATTGGTAGGTAGTTCGTGCGTTATTCCCGTATTTGGCTGTGGAATGGTTTCGAAGGTAGATAGACGTACGTATGTCGGAAATGTAGGAGATTTGAATCGCTGTCACGCTTGTCGGAAGAAGAAATATGCCTCATAAATGAGGCATAGTGCTGTTCCCTTCTTCGCTTGTCTGAGTATCCGACTATTTTCGTCGTATTGAAACTTTTCATTTGTAGAGCGGGCCAAGCGCCCTGTATCTCTGACATGGCAAACGCAAAACTGGGTACGGGGTGAGTGTCGTTATTGATGGATCATCGACGCAAGCTGCAGAATAAGGTACCCAACGGAAAATCCTCCTGTACAGAGTACCGTACATACATACTGTACATCGATATCAGTTCGCCTTTCGGAGCTCTTTTCGTAACTAGGTACCTTTGGTCGAGTCCTGGATTATCCGAGGGTCGTGACTCAACTTCAGCAGTGAATCCTTATCGAGCTGGTCGAATCCATATCCCATTACTGGCTGTTCAAGTCTCGATGACTGATGAATATCGCCTCAAATCAAATCCTTTACAGATCCATTCAGTCATTGGCTCCGGCCGCTAGGAGAAACGGTAGGTAAAAGAAAAAAAAAAAAAAAAACAGAAAAGAAGAGGGAAGAAAAAAAAAAAGATGCGGTGAGCACCTGCCGACCAATGATGATACATGCTTTAGTGGTTCCTGACCAATCAAAGATGGCAATACTGCGACCGGGTGATGCAAGCCCCACCATGATTGGAAAAATTGGCCCGCCCCATCCTCAAGTCTGTTCCGTCTTGTAACGGGCCAGTGACGACGGTGGTACAGTACGCTAGCTGATCTTCTGTCTCCCTTCTCTTTCTCCCGGCCTTTTCTTCTTCCAAACATCCCAATCCACCCCTCATTCGATCTGCCATCCAACGTCGCAGATTCCCCTCCTTTTTACACGCTATAGAAATTCTTTTCACTGTCCTTACCAACAAATATCGTCATAAGTTCGTTGCCAAAATGGCCTTCGTTGAGCTGTAAATTCCTCGCTGGGGGGCATGGCAGTCTTTTCCTGCTCCCCAGTCCAGCAGCTCCGAGTTTCCTCAATCGACTTGACGATATTTGTTCTCTCTTTCGACGCAAAGTCTTGCAGCGTCGAGATTGCCCCAAAGTACAGTTACAGAAGAGGCACATTTAACGTCCGCGGTGGACGGTGAGGTGCTTTCACACTCGAAAAAGTTCTCTATTGTTCTGATACAAATTTCCCCCCCTCTTCTCTTCCGACCCCTGGCCTTTGACCACCTATCCTTCACCTTTATCAAACGATAACGAATGCTCCCCTGATCCTCCCGACGCTATAACGAATTGACGGCCAAGAAAAGCAACAAACTTGCCTTGATCATCTACTTATACCTACTACGGAATCTCTGACGCAATACACTAAGACTTGCAAACGGGTAACAAAACTTTGTCAACTCGGGGTAACCAAAACCGATTTGGATCCATATTGAACCGTACTTTTTTTCAATTATCATTTCTAAACAATACCATTGTCGACGCAATGCCACCAACCTCTCACTCCCCCAAGCGGTCTTCGAAGGACGCCGGCAGGGAGAACCGTCATCGCAACTCGAGTCCCATGTCCCGCATCGGGCAACACTCTCCAAGAATATCAAACAAGGCAATCTCCCTTGGGTCACTGGCGGCTGACAGGAAACGGAGGGCTTCCTCGTCCGTCTCCAGCGTGTCATCGGTCTCTTCTGTAGATCTCAGCGATGATGTAAACGAGTCAGATGCTGATGACGAAGAGGACCCACCTGCTGTCCGTGGCCCGTCTTATGGCCGTCGTGACAAGACTCATAAGGCGGGAATGAAATCTACTAAAAGAACAAAGAAGATGAGGCTATCGGATGATGACGGCTACGATGGCCAAAAGAGCAGTGGCGATAACGACTCAGAAGATAGCTCCGATGATGTTTACGCTGCAGTCGACTACATTAGCGATGGGGACGATGATGAAGATCAGGATGTAGAGAAGTTGGAAGAACTGTTGATCGTGGAGTCAGAGGATGAGAACGATTTCAATGGCATCTTGACAGCCTCTACCGTCAGCGTCGCCAATTCCCATGATTGGGCGGGCCCCAATGTGTTTGATGACCACATGCTGCTTTCAGCTGCCTCATTTTTCGACGAGGAGCAACTCTACAGCGCCATGGAAGCCTTTGGGGAAACCGACTTGGCCAGTGAAACGGCCGTAGAAATGCCGGTTCCTCGTCGGGTGCATTTTGAGGAAGACTCAGATTCATCTTCAGATAGCGATTCCCATACAGAGGATGAAATTCCGAGTGACTTCCTCCAGCAGGACAGTCTTGATCCCCAGCTGCGTCGTATGATTGAGAATGACAACGAGACCTACAGCAACCGCCGTCGGCAGTCCGACGAACTGTTTGCGGAGTCCGACTATGGTCATTCAAACATTTATCACGTTGAATCGGATGCTGTCTCCGAGGAATCGGAGTCTAGCGGATACGAGAGTATGCAGACACCTATGGACATTGAACTTAACCTTTTACTAACCGACTTGAAGCCGATGATGGCGAGACTACAGATGAAGACCTTCCCCCACCAGCAACAATTACCCATCCTCGCTCTATCCTGCGCCGCGATTCCTCGGCTTCTCTCCAAGCTACCACTGCTGAAGAGACGAATGATTCCACTTCCCGTCGGCGAGGGCCCATAATGGGAACCTTCGTTGCGGATCCTCACAAGCCTGTTGCACTCGTGGACTGCACGGGCAAGCATCTGGTGATCATTCCTGCATATGCCTCCTCCCGTCATGATTGGCTTGAGTCTGCCACAAATAGCATCTGTGGCACGGCTAATAATAGTCCGCGGGCAACCACAATGCACCTCGTTGAAGAGAGTGACACAGATGCGCTCGCATCACCAAATCACGTTGACCTCAGTCCAATGTTGGCCTCTAGCGCCAACCTCATGATGACGGCCCTTGGAAATGAGGTTACCACCGGTGGTCAAGTCATGGGTCCTCCTGAGGCCTTCTATCCGTCTCGTGACTTTGCCATTGATAGCTCATTTGAGGATGATGAAGAGGATGATCCAGAGGCTGCTTTGAACGTTGATGATTTTATTGACTTTGGTAACGGCTCCTCCGACGATGATATGGACAAAGAATTCGACGATGATGCACTTGCCTCGCCGATGGCTGCACCCACCATTCCTGCTGCTGCCGGCACACCAACCCCTAATCGCAGTGGGGATTCACAAACAAACAGTGCGGAGCGTTTCTTGAACCACCTGGATCGTGGTATTGTGACGGCTTTCCGTCGTAATCACAATCGGTACCAGGCACTGCTACGCCTCCCCCAACACCGGGAGTTTATGCCGGCAAACTCACCATCTCGACCAGCCAGTGTCTTTAGACACGCAAAACATACGGATCAACGCACGCCTACGCGGAAACGCAAAGCGAGCGGTTACAATGGCGGCGAGGCGGTCCGACGGAAGCTGATGGATGCCCACCGTCGTAGTCAACTCCCTTTTTAGGAATTTAACAGCAGACATCTTAATGTAAAGACGTGTCTCTCTTACTCTTGCGATACCCATCACTGTTATGACCACTTATGTCTCGAATTTACTGGCACATTGTCACGGCAGAGCTATCATTTTCTTCTTTTCATTCCCAAACCTTACTAAGTCTGTGTTAGCGGCATAGACCTCCCCGTCAGGGGCCATGACTTCGGCTCGGTTTCAGCTGATAAAAGGTTCGACGGCTGGTTGTTTGGTGTTTTTTTATTTTTATTTTTTTTTTACTTTATTTTCTTTGGATGGAGCGGGCGTCTAGACCAAGGTTTGATTGATTGATTAGGACCGGTCTGTGTATGTATGGGAGGCTTTCTGTGAGGAAATTCATCTCGGTCGAGGAGAAGCTGGTGATGGAGTCTGAAAAATCCGATGGCCAAAAGTTTACGTGATTTTCCTACTGGAGTCGATGGTCATGCTATATTTGGCGAAGGGGATATATGGCTCTTGTTTACTCGGATTTGTTGATGTGTCTCCCCTTTATTTTTCTTTGTTCTAGGTCTGTCACGTTACAAACCTCGCGTAGATAATATTTTTATCAATGCAAAAAAAGTTTAAACAGAAAAACGAAGGGGAAACGTAACAGATCGTTCTGCGTTGTAGGCAGCAAGGAAATGATTGCTTGATCCTGGAGAGTTGTAGGGTAGCATTGTCCACAGTGGCTTCAAACAACGGAGGTCCGCGGAAGAAACCTTTGCTACGTCAAAACAAGAGGGCTAAGACAGCTTTGGTACTACGTCTCGTTAGTAGCTCATGCCATTGGGTCATGCCCTGGACTTCTCATGGAAAGAGAGAGCCGAACAAGATACCACTCGATGCAAGCCACCACACTTGGTCTCGCTTGAGGATGCAACCCATGGACCCGTTGAGCATCGTGCGACATGCCAAGCAAGCGCCCTCGATTCCCCAAAGCCGAGGGTGCACCGAGTTTTTTATGATGATGTGCAATGCTATCGGAGCATAACTGATGGAGCGCCTTACCTCATCGCAGGGTATGGCCCCTGGGGAGCCGGTAATTCCTCGGTCGAGAACATTTTTGCCTTGATGGAGAGGGAAAGAGGTTCCCAGATGGTTTCACCATGCTTCCCCATTCCGAGAGAGAAAAAAATGATAGGTCGCAAATAACTTGTGGCTGATGCAGTGATCATCTGATTGGTTCGCACCCTATCCTCAATGGGGGAGGTGCTCAGTAGTAGTAGGTAAAGAGTTCCCTGATGTGGGATGGGAGATCGGGTTTTGCTTGTTGTCTTTGCGGCGAGCTTCTCATTATCTTCGTCTCGCTACGTCCACCCTGTTGAGTTTAATCGCAGAGTGTGAAAGAGTTAATCGGGGGTTAAAGGATGGGTTCGGGCGGTTCGTGATCCGGTCCGGCGGTTAATCGACGCTGGGGGGGGGGGGGGGGGGGGGGGGGGGGGGGGGGGGGGGGGGGAGCGTGGTGAGAGATCCATGTCAGGAAATATTTGCCAAAGAATCGAGAACCCTATAATTAGTTCCCGTAAAATTAGAGGCTTCGGGGACCCTCTCACACTGGCTGAGTTTCAAGCGAGACGCCCTGTGGGGTGATGGTGGCACATTCTGGCCCTGCCGTGAACCTTCATTCATAACTTGACATGATAGCCTTGATACTATGCGACTATTCTCTGAGAATGGGTGCGGGGTGTGATACTGAATTGTAACCCTTCGGGGGGCTGCTTTGTGTCTCTCCACTAAACCTTCGATCTATCAATTGCATATTTTACATTATTTCCTCCTATGATTAGTCGTAATTTCGATTTGATTCTGGATTGGACGCAGCGGTTCGCCACCACCGTTTCCTTTTTGTGTTGTCGTTGTATTTTCTTATTCTTATTCTTCTACTATTTAGTCTGCCCTGAGAGGAAGGACCCTCTGTCGATCCGGCGGCTGTTCGAGCGATCATGACCGGTTTCCTTTCCCCATAGGCTAGACTAGATCTTATCCTCACACCTGTTCGTCTGAAGGCTTCACTACCGGTTCGCACATCGGTACCTGAACTCCGTTCTTCAGAGAGGAGGCATTCAATTGGCGATCCAGGGCGCATATTTTGCTCTCACTCTCGCAATTCGCAGGTTATGTGGAAATAATGCAGACTGGGTGGGGCGCCGTGATTGTTGGAGTGGATCGACGTACCTGCACTAGCGGGACGGTGCGACAATCGCTGATTGGTCGGTTAGTTATACTTTGGGGTCATTGTTGTCGGACAAGAAACAAGAAATAAAATAAAAATAATACTCAGGAATAATGAAGAGCCAGTAGTATTATGACTTAGTACTACTCAGGTAAAAAGAATTATCCATGCATTACCGAATCAAAACAGGGTCCATCAAAAATGAAAGAAAAAAGAAAAAAACACAAGACAAGACAAATGAAACCCGGGCCGGTTTATAATAAGTAGTCGAAGTCCCTCCCCCCGGAGACCTTGCACCCTTCTGTTTCCATCTGTTCACCTTTTCCCTTTTTTTTCTTTTCTTTCTTTTTTTTACTCTCTCTCTCTCTCTCTCTCTCTTTGACGTTGTTGTACTATTTTACATCTCTTTGATTCAATACACTCGTTCATCTCGGGGTTCACTTGGTGGCCCCGTCTTTCGTTATCTGATTGTTACGGTGTTGTTGTTATTGCTGGTCGAGAATAATAATACTGAACTATATCTTCTTCTTTTTCTTCGACTACTACTACTACTACTACTACTATTCCCACTACTTTCGTCTTGGTTCTACCTCCATTCGTTCCACTATTAGTCGCTGACCTCAGTAATCATGAGGGTCTCTACTTCGGTTGCACTCGCCTCTCTCTTGGCCATGGCCCAGGCTCATCCTCCGGGCGCCGTAAGTGTTAATGTATAGAAAGACCCGGTGATTCCAGGCTGATGATTCTCCAGTGGTGGGGCACGGATGATTGCTATACTAGCCCGGATAATACCAATAATGAATGCTCTGACGAGATGCGCGGTGGATTCGACTGGGCTGGCCTCACCGTCGGTCCTTTCGACTTCTTCGCTGGCTTCGCGTTTTCTGGGTTCTCTTTCAGCAGCAGCTTCAGTGGTGCTGTTGGTGGTGGCTTTGCCGTAAGTAGGCACGCATCGGTTGATACAACGATGTCCATATTAACGTCTTCAGGGTCAATGCATTGAGTCGAATCTCTCCAAGGATGACGAGACGTCCCCGGAGGTCTCGTCCGGCAGCGATAAGACCTTCTCCATCAGCAAACTTCACCTGGTGACCTCCGAAGAGGCTGAGATCAAGATCATCTATGACATGCCTGATGATTCTTCCTGCAAGCATGTTGCCCCAATCTCTCCGAAGGGAACTGTTGTCACCAACGACCAGTGCGGTGGTGCCAGCTCCGTCCGATTTGAACTCGCAGAGGAGGCCACCGTGGATGATGTAGTCTTCGGTATCCAGAAAATCGAGTTCGAATGCTCCGCTGGCCAGAAGACTCCGACTCCCTCTCATCACCATACGAGTCCGACTGCGACTGGACACTCGTCTACCCCAGTGATTCCAGTCCCGTCATCGTCCAATGCAGTCACGCCTCCTGCTCTTAGCACTCCCGTCAGGATGACCACTTCGACCGTGTATACTACAAGCCTGATCACCATCACGAGCTGTGCTCCGACTGTTACCAACTGCCCTGGTGATTCGACCACGGTTGTCACTTCCACCATTGCTGTCTCGACCACTGTCTGCCCGGTCACCTCGACTACAACTCCCGCGAAGCCTACTGAAACTCCTGTGAAGCCTACCGAAACCCCCGGGAAGCCTACTGGAACTCCAGCGAAGCCTACTGAAACTCCAGCGAAGCCTACCGAAACCCCCGAGAAGCCTACTGGAAGCTCCCCTGTTGGCGGTTCCTCCGAGGTTCCCTCTCCAAGCAGCCCCGCTCCCACAGGTACTGCTGGTACTTCGTCGGGAGTTCACCCAACTAGCCATGGTGGATCTTCCTCCATCCCTCCAGAGTCGACCACCACTGTGGTGACATGGGAAACCCTGACCACCTGTCCAGTGACCACTACCGCTACTTCTGACGGCGTCACCACCACTTCCGTCTACAGCACGGTGTCCACGGTCACCCTTACGTCGACATCTACCATTTGCAACAAGTGCACTGCTACTCCTCCCACTGGCAAACCCACTGGCACCCCGAGCGGAACCTCTCCTACCCCGACAGGCGTTTCCCCCGAGGAGCCTCCTGAGGATTCCACCACGACCGTCGTTACATATACCACCGTGACCGACTGTCCAGTAACCACGACTGCTACTACCGGTGGCACCACCACCACTTCCGTCTACACAACCCAGTCAACCGTTACCTTGACCTCGACCTCCACGGTGTGCACCAAGTGCTCCTTCACCCCGGCCCCTACCGGAGTCGCGCCTATCAGTACTCCTGCCGAGGCTGCAACGACAGTCGTCACCTACGAAACCGTGACCACTTGCCCCGTCACTACGACTATCACCTCCGGTGGATCCACAACTACGTCTGTCTTCACCACTATCTCGACAGTGACAAAGACCTCCAGCTCTGCCGTGAAGCCAACTGGAATTCCCTCTTCTCCTGCTCCCTCTTCACCCCCTCCATCAGCGCCATGCCCTAACTTGGTGCCCAAGTGCATCAACACCTGGCTCCCTCTCCTGCCCAAGTGTACTTCCAACGCGGAGCCTGGTTGTTTCTGCCCAAGCCATGAGTTCACGGACAAGGTTATCAGTTGTATTCAGGCTTGGGGTACATCCAAAGAAGAGATCCAGGCCGCGCTCTCCTACTTCGCCGGTATCTGTGCTGCCTATGTCCCTGGAAACCCAGGCATTGTCACTGGTATTCCGAGCACCATCACTCTGACCCCCACTCCTGCCCCAACAGGTGTCACCCCTGTGACCGGCACCAGTGCGGCACCACAGCCAACCGCCGCTCCAGAGGTTCCTCTCACGACCATCATCTACTCCACCTACACGGTGGCTGTGCCCCAAGTTACCTTTACCACCGGGACCTCTGGCCACTCGACTACCGTCGGCTTGATTCCGGGCCCTGCCCCAACCGGTGTATCCCCAGGTCACTCCTCGGGCATCCCGAACCCATGGGTCTCCGCCTCGTCTACCTGGGTATCCAGCCATCATCCTAGCTCGACAGCCAAGCCATCATCTACCTATACCCCTCCTCCCCTGGCTAACACTGCCTCCTCTGTGTCCACCAGCTTCTGGCTGGCCATGGGAGTCGCCACTCTCTTAAGCATCTTCTTCTGATTATAACACTCTTCTTTTTCATATTTGATTTTGCTTTCACAGACCATGTTACTTAACCCATGCTTCTCAGATTGTTAATAGGTCGTGACATGTAGGTCACCGAGATGAATCTGGATAGTAAATGTAGCAAGTCTCTTTTCTTCGAATTTACAATGCCTGCCGTGCTTTCTGCTTTCTGCTTTCAAGTCTTGTTTTCAAAATAAGCCATGCAATAATACCATTCTCATGACAGACAACTTAGCAACGTATTACTTATAAAAACCAAATAAACACAACCAGTCAGTAGTAAACCCAACAATACAATGCAAGTCACCCACAACCCTAACTACATACAATTGAACAAATATACAAATCTCAGAATCTCATCAAATTCAAACCAATCAAGTACACACATGCATACATGCATAAATACTGGTAACTACGTACTCTAAAATTCAATATTTACTTGGTTTATTTACTTTAGTTTATTATTGTATTATACACAAAGTATAAAGTATATTACTATAACAACTAGTATACATTATATCCACCCCTTATAACTTGATCTTAGACGAAACTAACGGCTACTAGCTGGGATAAACATGCATGGGTCGTATGTTGAACAGGGATACTCCACTCACTCTACTCCATCGTTTAGGCAGGTAGACTACCTCTACTACTAATACTAGCAGATTGTATTATATGTGAATGACGTAGTAGTACTACTAATCAATAGAAGTAACGGGTTTAATCACGAAATAAGTATTAAAGTTTAACTATATACGGATTAATAGAAGAAAAGCAAACATGAAAAGAAAAGAGAAAGGCATAGAAAGCATAGAATATAGACTGAGGAATATTATATATATACATAATACTTATACTTTGCACTATATTGGGTATGACTATAGGTATTGTCGGTATACATGGTCCGATGATATCTCTTTTTAATTCTTAGTTGGGAGGTTGTGTATGTATGGCAGTGGTGGCCTAGCTTCGGGGGGTTGACTAGTACATGGGTTTTTTTTTTTCTTTTTTTTTTTCCCCCAATTTATGTATATATATTTAATCTGTGTTTAGTACAGGGTTTATTAAGTGGTACTCATTATTTGTTGTATGTTGTTTGTTTGGGTGATATTGGGATGAGGATTTTAGGTGCGTGTTGGGACATAGAAATTTCTAACGGCGGGAAGCTTTATAGGTGCAACCCAGGGCATTCTTGTATAGTTTCTTGAACATCAATGATAATACCTTTAATGCCATCAGCTTTAACAGAACTTTCAGTATTGTTAGATATGATAAGAACCTAGTAACTCGCTGAAGTATCCATATTCAATGGTATTAAACACCGCATTTTTACACTGCACTGGCCTATGCTGTACAAGTCTCATACATTTACTTCCAACATTCAACTGGTAAACCCCAGATACAAGTCGAATCTATCTTCAGAATGCCTTCTCAAACAAACTGTTCCAAACATAAAATACTCGACTCCAGCATTAAATCAATAGAAGGAAAGATAAGGAAGAGAAGATAAACAATTCACAATTGAGAAATGAAAAATGGGACGCTGTTCCGTCCCGTTCCAGCCATCCAATGACCTTTCCAAACGCCATCATGGTATTATAGCTTCTCCCGCTGCCCGTGAATTCTAAGTCATGATCATATAAACGCCAATAAGGGAAGAGTCACAAACGCGGGGCATCTATCCGGTTCTGGACTTCTTTGCGCGGTCGCTGCTGTATTCTGGTCTTGTCTTCCCACTTTCGATCGGGTGCAGATGTATGCCCATGTCGGGCGGGAAGTCGGGATGCAACATGCTGAATCGGTGTGGGTTCTGCGGGATCCCGTCTATCTCGGCTGGGACCGGTTCTACGAGTAACTGGATCAAGCCCTTATCCACATAGCCTGCTGGCTTTGCGTGGAGACGGTCCATTCTGGCCCAGTCGTCATCCACTTCCTCGTTCATCAATGGGGGCAGCGGAGGTGCGCCGTTATTGCTGGGTCGCGCATGGTAATTGGCGAGGATGTTGTAAGGCAGATTGGGACGGACGGCCGGTTTATCCGACAGCTCGGCGAGGGCATTAAGGGCATGGTTACCATGTCCACGGGTAGAGCGGGTAGCGTGGAAGTTCTGGCTAGCGGTCCGCGCCATGTCGGTTGCAGGAGTGCCATTGTCTTCCGTGCCATCCGCCCCAGACGCGTCTTCTGCATCGGTGTTGTTACCATTCGTCGCTGCACCAGAGGGCTGGTCGGCACGCTTAGAGGTAGAAAAGAAGTGGACCGTGGCAACGTGCGCTTGATTAGCATGGGCACTCAGCTCCTTCTCCGTGAATAGTGACTGCATAGAATAGGACGGGGCATGCTGCTGCTGCACTACCTGGGCCTTCGCACGCTCAGCTGGGTTAGTGTAGCCGCCCTCCCGTACCGGAGATCCAACGTCCTCCTCAGGAGCCTTCCGCTTTCTCTTATTGAAGTCCGCCAGAATACCATTGCCCAGCTCGTCCACCAGATCGACACGGTGGCGGGTGTGTCGGGTTTTGCGGTTCCCGTGGATTCCGCCAGGACTAGAGGGATTGGTGATGCTGAACTGGTTGGGATGCAGAAGCAGAGCGTTAGTATCTGCGATATCCAGCTGCTCCTTCTCGCGCATCAGGCGAGTCCTCTTGCCCGCTATTGTCTGTACAAGGCGCTCTCGAAGGGTAGCGGACAGATGCTTGTATTCTTCTTCGGCAAAATGAACGCGAAAAGCGTATTCCTTTTGAAACCGTTCTAGGTTACTAGAATGACGGTGCTGATACAGAATCCATTAGCACAAGCAAACCTTTAGAAATAATGGAGAGGCCCCCAATGCCTAATAACACGACCGTGCAAAAACAGCGAAAATGGCCTAAAATAAGGAAACACTTACCACCAGCATGGCCAAATCTGCATCCTTTTCAGTTTTAACCTGATTTACCTCCTGTACAAAGCGCGAATACCACATGCCAGCTAGACTCGACATCTCCTTTGCGAATTTCCCCCCGCCGACAGTAGTCTCTATTAAATGCGCGATCTCTTCCGACGAGTCCGGCAGAGGACCAGGCGAGTATGGATCGGCATTGTTGATGAGGGTCATGTCACATTGCAAGGCATGGAGCTGCTGACGAAACTGGGTATCTCGGTTTTGGCTGAAGGAGGCCGTGAGGTCTTGTAAGCGCTCTTGCAGCGCACTGCGCCGCTTGTCTCGCTTAGAAAGAGGTACGCTGGTCGGCGGGCTTGCCGATCGGCCCCTGGAGTGTAAGCTATTTACCAAACTTGGACCAGGGCCACCACCATGCACAGGCGATGCCGGTGCAGGAGAGTAAGCCATGGCTAATTCAGGCCTATACTAGCTGGCCGCAGGTGAGGAGGTCGTGGGAGAGAAGTAGAGAGGTATGCGAAATGATTATTCAGTGTTGCAATCAGTTGCAGCTTGGCAAGAAAATCCCTGAAACAGAAACAAAGCTGTCAAGAGACCTTGAAGAAGAGCACGCATAAGTAATTAGATGACAGGAAAAAGAGGAGAGACTGTGGTGAGGAGACGAACAAACCGGTGTTGAGCAGAAAGCGGGAATCCAGCCGCTGGCCCGATGCAGTATAGTGCCGGCAACATTTTACACCGCTCGGAGATGATAGTAAGATTCTGTAAGTTACATACTTATTTAGACAATACAAACAGGTTCTATTCTATATCTAAAAAGTTCTAGTACGTGGTTATACGTTGCCAAGGCATTATCTTTACATTGTGTGGGTGAAGCACGGTACACCGAAATGAAATGTACAAAATGGCCCTACAAGCCTAGAACTGCCTCTTCATGATCACGAGGTGTATGACGTTGTATCTCTCATACACTCAAGGCGAATCAGATGTCGTGGAATACCACTAGTGATAAGCAATCAAGTGAAGAGTTGATAAATAACTACTACATATTACTTGAGGGAAAGAGGCTTCGCATATCATAAAGTCCGTATAATATGTATTCATTTAGGCTTGATCATTTATATCCATAATCTAAAACATGTTGGTCGTCTCGCTTCACAAAGCATAAAACAAACACCGTAAAACAAACATGCTGGGTATTTGTACTCCGTATTCCCATATGAAAATGCAGTTTAACGTCCCTGGACTTCCCACGAAGAAAGTCATGTCCAGACCCGACACCATAGACGCCATGATGTTCACAAGTTCCCCCCGTTTTATTCGCCTTGATGTATCCAAAGAAAAATAATAAAGCAATAGGTTAAGAAGTTTGACGAGCGGGAGGTTGAAAAGAGCCAGAAAAATGGGCCCCTAAAGTAGGCTCCTGCAGTAGGACCAGCAATAGCCACGAACCTTAGTGGGACCGACGAATCACGAAAACTCCAAGTTCGATCCCATCGCGAGGCTCAGTCTCCTCGCCATAGGGTCGCTTTCTAATACCATCGAGTATCTCACCCAGGAGCATAGCAGACGTCACCTCTTTGTCCTCCAGAAGATAATTTGTGGACATATTTGAAGCGGCTTTTGCTGCGGGTAAGCGACGGCCATTTTGCCAGTAGAGACTGAGTACATCTTTCATCCGAGTCCTTTCTTGGTGGATGAACCACTCAGTCCATACATGGCGATCAAGGTGGGCACTGCCCTTCCGTGCATCAGCAATGGTAAACTGCGATGACGACGAACTTAGATCAGAGCAGAGCTGCTCCAGCTTGTTGCGCATTGTGTCAAAGTCTTCCATGTGGCTGACAGTGGAGAGTTTACCCAAATAGCGACCTACGTCGGCGGATAGTTCGTTCACTACCACCAGCTGCCGAAGCAAGGGATCAAGGATAGGCCCCAGATATTGCGATTTGAAGGTCGAACCACCTCGTTTTGTCGGGTATATAAACAGCATGGACCCTCCGTCACGCGAGAGCTCAGACATCCGATCGACCAAGAACGAAGGGCGGCTGGGATTAAAAAGGTCCTTGTATTCTTGAGGCGACGACGGTGGAAGGTACCGTTCTAGGACCGATAGGTGTACACTAAACGGAGGAACGACCGGCATAGGAAAGCGTAATGGTTTTCCCTGGATTACACCCCGAAAATCATGGTATGCGGACACCACGGCCGCACTGGAAAACACACTAGAGTTGAAATAATCATCCGCAGAAAATAAGGACCGCGGGGTGTTCGGCGGAGAGTACGGAAGGTTTGAGAGACTGAATTGTTCGGGAACTGCATGTGTGATGTTGATATAAGATGGCGATTGTCCAGATTGGATGCGACGTTGTACGGCCTGAATGAGGGAGCAAAACACGTCATCGTTCGTGTGAACGGCTGCGTTCTTATCTGCTGTACATGGGTAAGGAAGCATTTGAGAAACAATTTTGACGGCTTCACCGGTATTACTCGGGAACGGTAGGGAAGATACTGCCGGAGAAGCTATGTGAGTTTATCGATCACCCATGGTTCTAGGATCATGACCTACCAGTCGATTCAATGCCACTCTCGAGCCAAGAATTAAGATCACAATCCATCTCACCAGATGAGCCTGGACTTCCGGAGCTCGACGGAGAAATGTTCGAGAGTTGATCGGACGGGCTACTCAGACCGTCTGTAGTAGCGCCTCTGGCAGTGCTGTCCACATTGGGACCTTCGTCCATGGGCATTGGCCCAGGTTCCCTGCTCAAAGGCGATTCGAAAAGCAGCATTCCGGACCGAGGATTCCACGCAACGTACTCGTCGTCTTCCGGAGGTGTTGGGGGGAGAGCAGTGGGGTAGTCGCCTTTGGTCTCGAAGTCCCACACCGTAGAAGTGGACTGGGATGCGCGAGTCGCTAGCGAGCTCGACGCCGCAGAAGTGGTATGAAGACGGAGACGAGAATCAGCTGAATGGGTGCGCGATTCGATTCGACTAGATGACTTCGTTTTCGAAGAAGAAAGGCCGAGATGCTCAAAGGATGGGAGATGTAAAGATGCGTTGCTTCTCGATAGAAAGCGAGACACGGGTGATGGTTTCGTTAGGAGTGATCCTTGAGATGCTCGCCGCTTAAGCCGGCTGGAGCCTGTATCCGAGGAAAATGGAGCTTGCTGTTGTTGAGGAGATACTGGGCTTAGTTGAGATGAATTCTGTCTCTCTGGAGAGGTCACGGCTCCCTGTTGCGGTGAGCCGGGTTCCCCAGGCATATATGAGGAATTGGTGGAAACGCTGGTGTCTGAGTATGGCGAACGCATGACAAAGTTATCTCGCACCACTGATGCAGGCCGACACGGTCCATGGCACTGTGGCTGATACATCCAGTCCGCGTTGGGTAGTTGGCGAGGCCGAGCAGAGATGATCGAAGAGTTAGTCTGTGGACGGATTCCCCGACAACGAAGACGGCTACGCTAGCATGGATGGCCTTCCGGGATTGGTGGAATACAATCAAAAGCCGTTTTGTCGGTGATGTATTCCGTAAAGAGCGTAAGTCTCGCGCGGGGTGACTCTTAAGAGGGTTGAGCGTGAGATTGGTGGAGAGGGGGTGGATGGGTTGAAAGGAAGACGGGGCGGGAGAGAGAGAGAGAAGAAAGGTGGACGAGGCCCAGGTAAAAAAGAAGGAAGCGAGGATGAGGAGGAGATGAATCGTGATGACACGGTGGGGAAAGGAGAGAGATTGCAGGAGGAGAGAAAGAGAAACCGGAAAAGGTTAGAAAACGAGGAAAAGGAAGCAAAGAGAACCCGTAGAGAAAGGAGGAAGAGAAAGGAAAGAAAGAGGAGAGAAAGAGAAGAAGAGTCGTCAGGCCAGCGGCTCGCAAGGAGAATAATGACGCTTGGGAAATGACCCAGCAGAGGCCCAGACACAAGAGACTGACAGCCCGAACAAGAACAAGCAGACTGTGTCCCTCGGGCTGCGACTTTCCACCGGCGTTCTAGACCGGGCGGGCTTGGCCTGATTGGGGAATCCATGACACGAGGTCCGGTCGGAGGCATCGAATGCTTGTGCAGAAGATGCATTAACGTGTAATTATGTTTACCAGTAATTTTGAATTCCCCTATCGAATTTATTTAAGCATAACGTTCCTGCTCGTTCTGTTGGCCATAAATTGTTCATGTTCATGTTTCTGATGGCCTATTTTCTGATATTGACCATGCTTGCCCTTCCTAACCTATTGTAGAACGGTGTTAATTATGGAGCACCACCACTGCAAGTCGCCTAACCCCTAGTAGGCTGCCGACCTGTCTAGGCCCTCATAGTGGCTGATCGGGGCTTAGTGTCCACAAAAAGCTGACGATACCGTAACGGGAGATACACGGACCTTTCAAAATTTCCATCAGATTTTTTTGCCTCCCAAAGCCTGAGGCCCACTTTCTGGCCTCATATTGGGGATGGACCCTTGGGAATGGAGAATGTTCGAGTACTGGTCAAGTGGTGGTTCAGGAAATTGGATGGAGTCTGGGATTAATGACTCTTGCTTGATGGATGACTTGCTGATCTGAGTTTGGTGGCAGAAGGAGTATGACTTGGTGATCGTCCGGATCTGGAGTGCTCTTCTCTTGTCTGGACTTCTGGACCCTTTTGACGCTGTGACTCCGAATGGATGGATACCTAAATTGTCTTGTATGCATCGGGTCCAAAGTAAAGTAAGTAACCTCTATTTTTCCCACCGCTCTGGATCTTCCCGTAATACCGGCCGGCTTCACACTTCTAGATTCATTCTCGATCACTACTACCAACTACCAACTACCATACTACCTAGCACGGCATGAGTCTGGTAGGAGGTCAATTGTACCACCCAAACCATGTGTACCAGTGGTCTCGTTCAATCTGATTAATCCAAGCGGAAAATAGTCCCTGATCCAATCGCCTTTTCCCAGTATGATGGAATGGAAAAACTCAGTCAATAGTGTATGGAATAGTTCAGTTTGACTAGACTTTCGGCATAACCGACTATCAGCATCCTGTGCAGAAAAAAAAGCATAAATATACCTTTACCGGGCATTCCTAGAAGTCAGATGGCTTAAGTCAGATTATAACAGGTCAGTCTTATTCTCGTCTTATTAGCACTCATTGGCTGGCTCAAGTTACATATCAAACTGGCACAACATCCTTCCACCTTAAGTCTAGAATCTCCCATTTCTAAAATCCAGCAAATTGAAAAGAGTAAGTCGGTAAAAGAATGATTGTAAACTGAACTGGCCGATACGCCTCAGGAAAACAACACTTAGTCACTATTAAAATTAACTACTTATCGTCTTTGAGTTTTATTTTATTTTTTTATTTTTTTTTTCTCTTTGCTTTTTTATTTTCCCTCACAAGTTGTCTTGTCCGTCCCAGAACAATTGAGAATTATTGACGTCGACATTCTTCCCCGCCCTGTCTCTCACGGACTCTGATTGGACCCATCCTCCAATGGCTTGCATCGCCCGATCAAGTCTCCACTGCCGCTTGCAGGTGGATTGACGCCTAGACTCATGCTCCGTGCTGCCGAAGAGATCCGCCTTGATCTGGCCTTTTTGCTCACTTGTCCCCATCGTTGACCGCCTATGGTTATTGGGCTGCCTTGCCATCGACCATGGTTTACTCTGCTTACATACATACAGTACACAGTACATGCACACAGGAGAAGCGAGAGCCAAGAGGACATAAGTACAGTACAGTACACAACTTCCATGGTAGCCTTAGCCCTAGTCAGGGCTCATTCATGTACGTTATGTGCAAATGAATCCATCTATCTTGTACCTCCCTGTTAAGGAAAGAAAGTGAAGAGACGGTGGTTGGTCACACTCTTCGTTCATTTCTCTGTTTTTTATTTCTTGAGCCTCGAATTCCCAAGACTACGGTCCTCTGTTGGGTGCTCTGTTCTTTGTTTATTGTTGTCCTACAGTCGAGAAAAAGGTAGTAAAGTACAGGTAGTCGTTTCTGTATATCCTGACCGTTGGCTTATTTGGGCAACATGCATGCAGTTTTAACTTCTGGGGGCTTGTCAGCCCGGTTATACTCCGTATTTCTTATGGAATATACCGGGAAGTACCTGATATAATTATCGCCATTTTCTTTTCCTTCGAATGAATGGTCTTTTTTCCTAATTCTCTCATTGACGAGGTATATAGAATCAGTACCCGAATATACACCTAATGAACCAAGAACATTTAGAACCACGCAAACCGAATACAAAGAGACGAAAAGGCAAAACGCCCCGGGAAACAAAAGAAGTAGTATCCTTGTAGGAAAAAAACAAAACACAAAGAAAACAAAAACAAAATCCCACCATTGACTTCATCCCTAAGTAGCAGTAAGAACTTGGTAGTCGCAGGAAATTCAAACCCAAAAAAAGAAAAAGAAAAGAAAGAAATAATAACATGAAATACGACTACCATTCACACGGAACACAATACCATCCAAATCTTCGCCCCCCATCTCCTATCGAAAAAATAATGAACCATGCCATTCTTTCTCATCCATGGAACCTCAAATAAAAGCCCTTCCCTATCTATCCAAACAACTCCCCCCCCCAAACGAAGAAAGACTACTATCCTCAAACAAACCCTAACCAAGGAAACCTCGCGTGTCAGATTGGATTTATAAAAAGTATCAAATGCTAACCAACGAGTCGAATCCCTGTCGCTGGGATTTTCCTAAATAATGGTGTCCACATCCCCACTCATTATTAGCGATAGATTAGTTGGTAATTATCTATTGGATTTGGGGACGAGACTCGGTACTTAAGAACTGGGTCTGGAAATTGAAATAAACAAAACAAATACGTTCTTTCTCAACGGGTCGTAATCAAAACCGATCAGGTTTAGATGATGGGGGTAATTTTGTTCTTTTTTTTTTTTTTTTTCTTTTCCTTTTTTGCCCACAATTTTCTTGTTCTCGGATGTCCCGTGTCTCCACAATGACTTGTCTCAGGTAGAGAGAGCGTTGCGTGGAGGTGGTCTTGTTTGGCTGGGATGGTGACGTTTTGTATTAGGGTTTTCTAGTTTTCTGGTAACGGTAGTGGTTGCTTAGAACAAGAGATTGATGGCATTTCTTGACTAGAGGTTAAATTCTCTTGGTGGAGGGATTCTGGGGATTAGAGGGGAGTTAGTGTTTCGTTACTGCGAGGGGTTGTCCAATTGGATGTAATAAGCAGCTTGTTTATTGTCTACTAGCATGGGGTTTACTAGTTTCTTGGTTGGGCGTATCAATACACTGTGAATCAACATTGGTAGAGCATTGGATTGTTTAGCTGTAACTGTATACAATATTCCTCTCATAATTAATTCAATCCTCCAAGATCGCATCGACTTCGACTTCAACTAACATTCTCTCATCGACAAATCCGTTCACTACAACCATCGTTGCAGCCGCGCCCACCCCTGGATGGCTAGCACGCCCCAGCACCTCAGTGTACCCTTCTCCAACAGCTACACAGTCTTTGTGTTGACTGACAAACATCCTCACACGCACCACATTCTCCGCCCCTTTGCCGCCCAGGGCTTGAACTGCCCGAATGCATTCTTGTAGTGCCACACGTGTCTGCTGACGGGCGTCCCCAGGAAAGATAATCTGGGGTGCATCACTTGGCGACGCGGGGTCGACGGCAGTAGTACCAGAAACGAAAATATGTCGTCCATGCCGGACAGCTCGGTAATAGCCAATCTTCTCCTCGAACGGCGATGATGTCGCGTAGACTTGTTTGAGGGAGCCGGGCGCGGGGGTGGTGTGAGGGTCACGATTAGCGTGTGAAGCCATGGTTGTAATATTGTTTGGAAAACAGCCGGATATGCAGAATATTTCCAAAGGACGCGATTATGCGCCAATTCCCTCCTTCCCACTGTTATTTATGGGATACGAGGCCTACCGTGGGAGTGAGTCATGCCAAGTATCCGGGCGAGCGCCTTCTTTCGGCACTCATCCGTGTCTCCAATACTATCGGACTAACCCGAACTGGCTCGACCTGTAGGACTTAAGACATTCCTGACGTTATCGTATCGCCAGGGGCACTTGTTTTGTTCGTCTAGAGGTCTAGACAATCTAGACCGGCAACGACATGAGCTCAAGAAGTCACCGACCTTCTGCGGGGATCGCCGTGTCTGCGGGCATGGAATCTTTGCGGCCGATCTTGCCAATATGATGACATGCAACGGCTACCCGCGACCTTGGACAAGAGCTTCTGCTCTTCTCCAGTCATTCGTGATATAGCAGTCGAGGGCTTCATTGGGTGGTTTGATTGCCGCAGCGACTCACGACGGAAGTGAGCACTGGAATCGTACGTCTGAGATTGTTGGCTTTGTCGATCCAACGCAGATCGGAGTTCCAGGCACTGCAGCACCAGCTGCTTGACACCGTCGGTCAAAGCACAGGCGCGGTACTCGATATCGGGCCAGAAATCATGGCCCCAGAAAGGATCCTCGCGAACAGCTGTTTCTAATGCCTCCAGCCAAAAGTCGAAGCTGGGCAACCGATTTTTCCCGTGGAGCAGGTCCAGACCTTGCAGGTGGTCGGACAGAAGGCAAGCCACGGCTACGAAACGAATAGTCGGCTCGGAATGTAAGACGTGCAGGACGATGCAAGCGGGGCATCGTTCGGTCAGGTACCAATCATGCTCCTCGGTGAGGATGCATTGAAGCCAGGCATAAGCACTGCGTGCTTCCCCTCGAAATGCCCGTTCCGATTCCGCTTCCTTGCGGCTGGGCAGCGCCCTAGCGGCGACACGGGAGGCTTGGTGGTGGAGCAGGAACAAAGGAAGTAAGAGGGTATGAATGATATCGCGATGCAGGCGGAAGGACTCCTTGTCTTGATCGGAGCAAGAATGGCGGTGGTGAGAGCAGAAACTGCGGTCATGAAAGGTCAGCGGCAATCGTACAGACCGGGTGGGTATCATTCCAAACATACCTTGGGGCATCCATGCCCATCTCTTGGCGCTTCAGGTGCTCTCGAACGGCTATAAATGCCTCATTGCGATCAAGCTTCTCTCCATCTTTCCTGGAGATCCGAAATGGTGAGACAACACCGCTAGTGGACATTCTGAAACTATGAATGTATTCGCTAGGACACGTCCGGGAGAAGACCGGTTGAGGAAAAAGCAAAACTCAAGACAATGGCGTAGACGATGAAAACGCACAATGGTCGCGCAATCGATTTCAATATTGGACAGGGAATAAGTTTTTGGATGACGTCGACTACGGAAGGCGACCGATTCGGACAAACATAGAAACTGTGGAGGAGAGTCGTAGAACCACGGATCGCATGGTCCAGCACAATCGCTTTATCTTTGGAGGGGATCGAGGAGGGGGAGGTGAAAGGGAAGTAGGTGGAAGGAAATAAAAGGGGAAAGGAGAAAAATTGAAGGTATTTAGAGAGGAAAGTACGTAGTACTAAATACTTAATAGTTTCCATGCGGTCTTTTTTAGGACGAACAGGGAAATTCGCACGCATGCGGGAAGGGGGTTCCAAATCAGGTGAAGACCCGTCATCCACGCAAGCACTCGTCGATCTTATTTTTAGTGTCACCGTTAACTCATCTCAAACTCCTCCTTTTCATTAAATTCGTTCAGAGTCGCTCATCTCCGACGGTCTCCTAACTGTTTGAGATTCTTTTGATAGGTCTCGCACAGAGGACGCAGCATGGTCCTTTCCTTTCATTATTGTTCTCCTTCACCCCCTTTTTTTCTCTCTTCCTCTAGCGGTCAAACGTCCTCCGAACGGATTCTGTTTAATTGAAATGGCCCATTTGGGTACAGTTGATCCTAATTTAATTGCCTTGTGGGGCCCTCAAGGGTCTCGATCGAATTCCGACCCCCCTCGTCAATCCCCTCGTGCAGGCCATTATTGCATTAGTGGCAATATTCCAAGTTTTTACGAGAAACAACATCCACTTCTCCATGAGACAAGTCACTAATGTAGTAATAACAGCACTAATTGCTTCCTTAAGTATAGTGAAGCCAGCAACAAGATGGCCCATTATCTCATCGGTCGAAGCAATCGTTGAGCCAGTTGCCTTAGGCAGGAATGCATCGGGCTAACACGGACATTGGAGTTCAGATCTCCTGGTTCTGATTGGTGCATCAAACTCGCTCCCTATCTCCATCAGGGACTTTTTCCGGCAGTGAATACAACACAACCCCGTGATGGTCAGACCTTCCCCGTGGACACTATAACTTCATTTGGGGAGGATCGCCTATACAACCGGACGATCCTGTACGTACGTACTGTGCTAATTTTCACCCCCATTTACTCGGGTTCGTGCGAGTATTAGTCTACATTCCCCACGCGCTGCGACATTCTTCTTCTCCTCACAATGTCCCCTCGCCACATAGCCACATAGCACCTCCCCCTCTACGTATGTACATTTGTACATTCCTTATCCCCCGCAGCAACATCTCAGATCAAGGTTGGGATAGATCTTAATCTCTGATATCTCGCACACTGTCACACTGTGGCATTCTCAGCACAACGGCTTCCTTAAGGAGTAGGCTAAGCAATGCCATCGACGTCATTTTACATCGAAGGACCCCGGCATGCATGTGTGTCTCCAGGGTAGGCGCCAGGTACTCTGTATGGCTGCGAGTCGGGGAAGCATACTAGATGCTATCATGAAGAATGACATGGATGTACTCCATATAATTTTTCGATTCTTAAAAAGACATGTTTTCTTCTCTGGTTGGGAGAATAAGGCCTGAATCGTGCCAGAGACATTGGACGATATCATTTATACCATCTATTGTTGGATTCAGTCGTGCCTTCCTTTTCAGCCCATAGATATCATATCACACTTGCCATTTGGCTGTCCGCACACTGGAAACTCGCGTGCACACATCTGTACATCTCGGAGGTGTCTTGCATAGAATACCATCCTGTAATACCTTCACAGCGTTTACATCCAATAAGCAATGCGGCCATTGTCCACTCTGTCTGTACTTGCTTGGCTCGGAGGTTTCCAAGCCTTACCGGTCGATGCGATACAGACCATCTCCGCCGTTGGCTCCAAGTTCTTCTACGAAGATGGTAGCCAGTACTTTCTGAAGGGTGAGCCTCCCTGGCGAATTGAATCCACAATCTTCCGCTAATTTGGTACAATTTGCGTAGGAATTGCTTATCAACTCATCCCCGAGGATCCCTTGGTTGATACCGAACAGTGCAATCGCGATTTTGCTCTCATGGCCGAGCTAGGCACTAATGCAATTCGCGTTTACCACGTCGATCCCAAGGCTAATCATGACGGTTGCATGGAGGCGCTTGCGGCCGCAGGCATCTACCTCTTCGTGGATCTAGACACATTCGATACGTCTATCAGCCAGGTCAGAACTTGCGTAGGCCTTAGCTAGGTAGAGCCCATGCTGACTTCTACTTCTAGGACAAACCACAGTGGACGCATTCCCAATTCAATCGATATAAGGCTGTGTTGGACGAATTCCAAAAATATAACAACACCGCCGGCTTATTTGTCGGCAACGAGGTAATCAACACTAAGGAAGGCTCGGTCGCCGCTCCGTATGTCCTGGCCGCAGCGCATGATATCAAATCGTACCGCAACGAAAAAGGCTATCGGAACATCCCGGTTGGTTACTCGGCAGCTGATATTGCAGAGCTGCGTCCCATGTTGCAAAACTATCTAGCTTGTCGTCCCGAATCTGCTGACCGACTGGATTTCTTCTCACTTAATGCCTATGAGTGGTGTGGTTCCTCTTCGTACGAGACATCCGGCTACAAGAGACTTCAGAGCCAGGCAAGCGACTACCCGATCCCAATCTTCTTCTCAGAAACAGGCTGCAACGTGGCACGGCCACGGACCTTTGAAGACCAGGCTGCCATTTTCGGCCCTGAGATGTCAAAGACTTGGTCCGGTTCCATTATCTATGAATGGATTCAGGAGGCCAATGACTACGGCCTGATCAAATATGGTCCGCCCTCAGGCGCCTCACCCGCCAAAATGCTTGTACAGGATGGCTTTACCCGCCAAGGAGAACCTATTGCGGTGGACCCCGACTTCCACAACCTGAAAGCGCAATGGGCTAGGTTACGGCCTACCGGAGTAGCCTTGTCCGACTACATAAAATCCACTTCCACTATCAGGCCTGCATCTTGCCCCGCTTCGACACCAGGTGGATGGGCCGTGGATTCTCACCAACCCCTTCCTACTCTTCAACGAGCTACCTCGGACGTGGCAGATGTCGGCCCAAATCCTGGTTCCGGGTCTGGGCCTGATTCGGGATCGCGTCCAGAGCACCTTTCAGCACGTGTGACTTCAGCTGCACCCTCCGATTATCACTCCCATCGTGCCGTCAATAGCGCCTCCTCGGGAACGAGGGGCTTTGATCGTCTTGCACGCGGATCCTTCTTCCTCTGCATGTCGATCGGTGCCTTGGCTCTGTGGCTCTAATGATCATGTTGGATGACTAACGCTAGCGTTGCCTTTCTGTCCTTTCTTTCTGAGTTCTTGTTTTACCTGGCCCATATACAGCCCAGTTGTTCCGTGAAGCACTGCTGTCAAAAAATACCTTTACACTTTGTGATTCTTAAAAATAGCGTCATAGGTGCAGGCTCGCCTGACAACTGAAATTTACTCGTTTCATCTTTTGCAATGACCTCTGCTCTAAAAAGTTCCGCACCAAGCGTCAATAAATCATAGAGTTTAAAACATTAGTGATACTATTTACATTACCTGTAGTCCAAATGCATGTATATGCATGCATAATGTACAAAATCTAAATAGTAATTGGGACTATTTACTTGTCACATTGAGTTTTGCCCAATGTGGACAAAAGAAAAGAAAGATAGAATATACGGTGTAAGGGGGGTCAGGCAATCGATTTTCTCGGCAGACGCGATTAAGCGGTCTCATTTCTCCCCTTTTCTTTTCTCTCTACGTACCTTCCACTTCCTCGGAAAGAAAAGAAAGGGAAAAAAAAAAAAAAAAAAAAAAAAGTAGACATGTTGCTTTTGGGGATTACTAACTGGTTGTACTGTCTGTACATATATGTACAAAAACATACAAATGAGAAGCTAGACAATATTCATGCGGAGTTTTATTATTGTAAACATATTCTTTGAATTATTATTATATGTATATCCCCATTAGATCGAGCCGGAGTGTACCCCATATTCATATTCATCATTGCGCGGAACAAGACATATACAACCAAAGAGAGCATGACGCATGAAACCAGGAGAGGTAAAAAATAAAGTAATAGAAGAAAATATGATGAGGAATAAATCACTAAAACCACCCCGAACTGCGTATGTAGCTAGAAATACAACAAAGAAATCTTGTTTGAAAAAAAAAAAAAAGTATGGATTAAGGGGCATTGAATGAAGAAGGTAGGGAACAAAGGGGATTGGCACAAAGAAGGAAAGGGTTCGGTAAGGTGAGTCATGAAGTACATAAAAGAAAGGGGCGAAAAAAGGCCAAATAAAAGAAGAAAGAAAGAGAGCGAGAGGGAGAGGGAGAGACCAAGGGAGGTGTTGAAAAAGTACAAATTGGAATGGCTAAAAGTGACTGATACCGGGATCACATAGCTGTCACTCAAACCGCCATTTTGTAATTCCAAGATGGGTCGTACCAGGGGGCAGTATCCGAGCCAGCGTAGCCGCTACTCTCTTGGTCGGTATCACTATTCTCAGCATATGTTGTCGTAGAGCCAGAGAGGTTAAAGCCGGCCACGGATGGTGATGAGGAAGGAGTAAATGCTATAGACCCCTCGGCATAAATAGGAGAGTTCGTCGCTGCTTTTAAAGGCAAATGTGGTGATGCTGATCTAGAAATTGAGGGAACAGTAAGCCTTGGTGTTGTTGCATGTGGCGCCTCATGCAGCCGATTCTTTGACCTCCGAGTATGAAGCTGCAGGTGTGAGGAGCAGTGCAGATTAGCTATCCCGCTCACTTGGTTTATTGCCACAGAAAAGTGATGTTCAACTTGATATGCGGAGGGCCGATCGGCGGGCTCTTTATTCAACATATCCCGTACGACAGCCAGCATTGGTCGAACAGCCTGGAACACAGGGTCTTTTTGCTTCTTCGAGTCATGGTCTAGAAGAGTAATCCATGAGGTGACTTGGGTAAGGTTCCGATCCAGATGGAAGGAGCAATCGGCAACGCCTCCTCCACGGCCGGCGGTTCGATTCTTCGCCCCGCGGTGATGGGCGAATGCAGAGATCTTGCGCTTACAGAGGTGGGTGAATATATCCAGGATTACTGCTCCAAGCGAGAAAATATCTGAAGCTTCCGGATCAGTTTGATGTGATTCCCATGTGTGGACTACAGCCGCACTGGAATTAGTACCTGGCAAACCGACCGGATTCGTTACTATAGAGGCCCGATTCGAAGAAGACCCTGATGAGCTAGACGATGTAATAGAGGGCGTGTATAATATAGGCCGTTTGACGGAGGATATGACGCGTTTGCGAGCACTCCCACTGCTGGATCCCGAAGAGGAGGACGACGCGGCAAAGGAAAATCGAGATCCAGGAAAACCAACACGAATGGCAGTGCTCTGAGAAATCATGGATTCAGATCTTGGGCTAACAGACTCGTGCTCCGTTCGATGAGATCCCTTCAGTATTGATAGGTTTAGCTTCATTGGACGCGCTGACTGCTTCCGAGCCGTACGCCCACCCGACGGGAGATCAGTTCGTTGTGGACCAGCCTGCTGGACGCTAGCCGAGCGTACCCAGCGTTCTGGAGCACCATATTGATATGACTCCACATCATCTACCTTGACTGGAGGTAACAATGTATCGAGAGCTTCGAATTGGCCCAGAAAGACTCTATAATCTGCGTCAACGAGTATGTTTGAAGGGCGAATGGCGCCATGAACCTGGCCATGTGCATGGAGCCATGAAAGCCCATTCGCGAGACAATGTGGCCAATTAAGCAAGGATTCTCGGCGTTGGGCTTTGGGGAGACGCTTGAAATGCTGGGGAATATCGGTGAGGAAAGATATCAAAGTGCGTTCGTATATGCCTGTGAAAAGGATACACACGGTTTTGTCGACAAAATAAGACCCGTATATTGAATACACATGGTCATGGGCCAGTCGTCTTAATGACTTAATCTCTTCAAGTACCTCATCTTCTTCGAAAAAATGCGGCGCCCCTCCAATTGTAACCTGCGTCCGCAAATAAACTCGACAGACAGTACCAGCTAAGACAACCTTTTCAACACCCTCCCTCACAAGAGCTGTTCCAGTTCGCAGAAGCTCCACAGGGACGCCTTCATTCTCAGTGTATTTTATGTGTTCGCCTTCGCCAATTCCGCGAACAAGGAACCGCCATTGGGCAAGGAAGAATCTTGATTCCAAGGAAGGATCCTCATTTTCTGGCGAAAGATGAAGGCGATCGACGCTGTGAGCCGCAATAGGCAGATCCGAGTCATCAAATGACTCATCTACTAAGGTGAAAATGCGATCTGGAATCCCGATATCGACCAAAATGAGAAAAAGTCTCCCCGCCTTAGAGAGAATCCAGTCGAGGTACGTCTCGCTAGTCAGACCCTCTCCCCAGGGCAAAGGCTCCACGAGGCGGTGCAGGATGTTGGACGGCAGATGACCGAAGACATATTCTGAGGATATTGTAGCTTTGATTCTGTCCTCGGGCCACCAAAGAGACGTTGTGACCGACATTGCGTACATTCATGGCGCATCGGCCGGGACAGACGAGTACCGGGGATTGGGTATAGACACTAATATAAGTAGTTCCAAGTTAGATTTTTTTTTTTTTCTTCGGACGAAGTCTAGTAAAGCAAATAGCTCTCTCTGTAGACGCCACTAAGTGACCGTCATATAAGAGTTTATGCAATGAATTCGAAAGGGAAAAAAGAACAGAATGGGACATAGATGTTGGTTCTTCGTCAGAAGTGCGAGATCACCATCATTAGTGGACACACGGCTTATCAAGCGCACCGCAAGGGGTCTCCGCGGTATTATTGAAAAAAGCCAGTCGATAGTAGTCACTAGGGCATTAGAGTATGACAGAAGAGGGGAACCTTCAACGGACGGGCTCCACGATGGGGTATCCACTGGCACATCAGGATGATCAGATGATGGTCTATGCTTCCATATTCAATGGTCCTTGGAACGGAAGAAATATCAAGGCACAATCATGTTAAAGACACCGGTCTAATATTGAGGCAACAGCGGTAGCATGCGGCGCGACCGGAGAAGATACCTGTGGCCATGGTTCACGAAACTTCATGAAGGATGGGGAGGTTTGAGACTAAGTGGATATATCGAGTCTTGGGACGGTGGAGATGCCCCATGTCGAAGAGGGACGAGTAAGCAGAGAATACAGGAATGATGATACTCAATAGATAGATAGGGCATCGGCATTGAACAATGACTGAAGATAAGCTAATGAACGTTGATGGATCACGGGGTCCACCCTAAGCCTCAATTGGTTTGCTCCGAGTCGCTATCGCATGATCAGTAACAATCTTCATTGTGAGCCATCATAAGCCTGAACGATTAATACTATCTACTTTCCCCAAGTATTAATGTTGGCGGAGTGCTGCCGTAGGACAATGTGCCTCAAATCAAGCCGCAATCCCATGGAAACCGGGCGCTGATCTGATTGTTGGGGTCTAGAAAACCCTCCTGTCAACAATAGCCAGTTTAGAACCACCAGGCCGGATTCAAGCTTCCTAATGCAGGTGAGGTCCTTCTTTGGGCAGCCAGTCGCCATCCTTGGATGCAAGCTTATCAGTTGACAGCTTTAGAAAGTTGACTTGCGCTATTAGTCACTGTGAGAGCCAAGAGATAAGCCCGGGCCATAGACCATTCACGCAAATCAATAGGGTTCGACCACCTTCCCATATGATTCAATCCCCAAATCCCTCTTGGACTGCTAGAGGACACAGCCTCAGAAGTGATTGTTGATCGCGAAAGCCAAATTTTGGTCCCTTCGCCGCCATCCGCTCCTCTTATCTTCCACCGCGGTACCCTCCGCCTGTCGACTTAAGCTATAGAAAGCATGACATATCTTTTTTAACTCCTCGGGTTGCCATTTATAATGATCAGATCATGGTATACGTCATAGTACGGTAGTTCTACCGAGTACGGAGTACATCGAATGGCCCCTTCTCCCCTACGAATATAAGTTAGTGGATCGAGGATCGATAGATCCATAGAAAGTGGGATATGATCGACTCTCTCGGGGCATTTGTCCATAAATAACTTGTCACTAATTAAATGAATCTCAAAAGATTAGGATTTATTCATTTATTCATTCATTCATACATGGTTATATACCTATATACAATCCATATTGGATATTAGCAGACAAAGGGGGTAGCAACAAGATATTCAAAGCATCGCATATCAACCACAAGTAATCTTTTAGGTGAAAGGCAATCAAAAGTCGCACCATACTAATTTTTAGACATTTTTGAGTTTCCCAATACGTTCTCCAGCAGGGACCAATATTTTTTTCTCCCTGTTTTCTCACTTTAGTCTTTCTGCTTGCCCTCAGTAGAAGTCACCAGTATGTCGTTTTCGTAAGCGTCGCACTCTGCTACTAGCCCGATGGGCATTAGCGTCCACCGGTTGCTCCTCAGAGGATCGTCGTCTATTCCAAGCCTTCCGGAAGTGTTGTTGCTCGTCATCCTGCTGTTTCGCTCGATGGACAAGGAATTCTTCATGGGCTTCTTTCTCTTCCATCAAGGCCTCGATCTATACGGTTCCAAAAACCACGAGAATCAGCACTTCATGAACCCACAATACACCAGACAAAATCTCTATTGTTCCCGAAGCGAAAGAAGCTGAGAAAGGCAAAGGGAAAATGATTCATACATAGGATAACCACAACTCTTGCTCCGAACTCCACGCTTTCTGACACCTCCCCAGCTCGCTCCGTGCAACAGCCAGTTCGCGCTCTTGCTCTGCTGTCCACCGGCATTTGTCACAGACAATACTGGCCCAGCTTACAACCCGTACCAATCGAGATCGGCTGCCGCTGCTGTTGCTGCTGCAGCCATGATGCAGGTCCAACTCGCTTGCGTTCACCGCCATCTCGGACCCGGTTGATTGGGAGTCATCATCGTGGCAATGCACTGTGACTTCAATAGACGGGGAATCGTCGATCCCTTTACCCTTCCAGATGGAACGTTCTGGACGTTTGGTCAGGTAGGGGATGCGGAAGATGTATCGAACGGTGCTGGCCACTCTCATGTTGGTATGTATGTATCAAAGTCTTCAAATTATGACTGAAACTCCTGCAAAGAAAGGACAAACTGAGTAGGTTGGCTTCTTGGACTGGCCCGCTTTCTCTTTCAGGGATATTTCTCCTGTTTATATGTATGAGTATGTACTTTTTGCTCGGAATGGCTTCGAATACAGGTCACTACGCTGGGCCATTCACAACTTGGATACAACCTAATACGGCATAGATCACAGGTTAGGCTTCAGGAAACAAGGACATTAGGCTCTAGATGGGCCTATTTCTGACGTCGACAATCCTGTTTGGCTGGTGACCACTGCCCGCAGTTTGGTCAAAACTACAACGGGACTGTTCGTCCCAAAAGTGGAGAGAGATGGGGGAAAAATCGGAACAAATCGCCAAGCCATCATGTTTCATGCGCTGCAAAATAAGAAACCACATCCTTGGGTAGGGAACGTGGCGATCAAACTTTGCCTAGGTGAGGGGGGCCTGGTTTGGTGTTGAGCAAATCATCATGGTCCAGTCTCCCGAAATTGGATAACTCATATGTACCATTTGCCAGCAAAATATACAGCATAGCAGATGTTCAAACGTGGTTTTTCGTCTTCGCCGTGCGATTTTCCATGTACTATACCTAGTGCCTAGCACGCAAATCTCCAAAGTAAACTTGGCCAGCCAAAAGAAACAAAAGGAAGTGGCATGAGAGTAAATAAGAAGGACCTCTAGAGGACTATAGGCCGGACAAGAAGAAAGAGATATAAGCCGTACAGGTTTCATGAACTAATCATGCGATCGCAGTCCAGGAAAGGACATGGATCCCAGCACAAGGTTGAACTTTCTTCAAGCAGCTGACTCTTGAAGACCAACAAAAACACACTTATAGACAAAAGAAACTTAGGGGGAATCTTACATAAACAACCTTAGCCAAATGCCATCGCAAACAGAAAAAAAAAAATAAAATAAAATAAAGAGAAGCCAAAATCAAATGCGAGCCAGTAATTCTAGACACAGTATCCACCCATTGGCTCGCCAACCCGTGTAGTCCCGAAAACATTCTCCAAGTAACACCCAAGAAACGAGGCTGAATTCGTTACACAAAAGCAGAAGCCCATCGTTACCAAACTGCACACTGGGTCCGGGGAAAGAAACCAAAAAAAGAAATACAAGGGTTGATTTGCGCAGTCATCAGTACCACGAACTGGTAGGGGCACGCCTTCTTTTCGAATGCCCCGCTGTTGACTGTTCATCGTGCAATCGTGCTTTCATCTCTTCCCGAATCTGTTCGCCAATGATCACGCTGATCAGTCTTCTATGCAAGTCGGCTTCCGTCCAGCCAACTTGGCCTGTTCCACCGGCCTGTAGGTCGGCCTTGGCCAACTCCTGCACGAACCTGTCAATAATGGCAAACTGACGCTCCGTGATGGGGACCCCATGTAAACCGTCTGATGTCCATATCCAATCCCCAATGATATCCGACCGCCCTGGGCCTGGGTAGTAAAGGAAACGTTCTGGATGTCTTTTTGCCAAACGGTAAAGACGACGAAGGAGGATGTAGTGATCGTCAGAGAAATATCCAGAGACAGCCAACGGCAAAGGACGATCATACGTATCGTCTTTTGCTGTTGCATTTGGCGACTTGTCGTCTAACGGACTAGAAAAGCTCTGTTGTTGTTCACGGTCCCGATGCAGCTGTGGCGCTTCCTCCATATAGTTTTCTTCCACGTTGTTCGAGGGAGACCCGGCATCATCTTCGCCCTCCGAAGCCTCGTCATATACAGATAGAGCACGCTCCTCAGTTGGTTTTCTATTGGGTACTTTCAACCATCCAGGCGTAAGATTAGTAATCTTTTGGAGCCAGGATGATGCTTGTTTTCCGGTACTGGAGGGCTGCGGGCGTTCGGGGGTGAGGACAGGTGTCTCGCGGGCGGTCTGTGGTTCAGGTGAAACTGCATCTGAAAGATTCTCGCCACCATACCCTTCTAGCCACAAATCCGAGTGTTGTCTTGCATTTTCAAAATTCGTAGTTGGATCCAGCTGGAATGTCTCTTCCCCTGGGGCTCTCTGGGGGCTTGACTCCAGATAGCCCTCTGACTGCAGAGGTTCTTCAAGTAAGTGATCCTCCTCATCCTGCATCACTCCCTGCACCTCTTCTTCCTCGTATTCATCCTCTGCCTCCTCGCTTTGGGATACCGCGGTTGACTGTGGCTGCTCGGGGTCTCGCCCGTTTTCTGTACTTGGGGGGCTGCTTTGCCCGTAGTAGTAATGCGAGCGTTTCGGGGTCGCCCCTGGACGCAACAAAGTGGAAATATCAACTTCCTGTTCTCGTAGGTCTTTGATTCGCGACTTGCCCAGAAATGGCACCTTGTCGTGAGCATTGGTCCAGTAGGCTGGAGAATAAGAATTACCGATAGCGCTCCGTTCAGATATCGAGCTATGTGTTTGAGGACTAGACTCCTGCCTGTTATCGTCCAGGCTTTGATGATGATACGAAACAGACGACTGGTCCGAAAGATCGCCTCTATCATTAGCTTCTTGCTGCCAAATGTCTTCATATCCGTCATCTTCGTCTTCCTCCTCTTGCTCACTAAAGTGATCATCTTCGGGTCTGTCATGCACTAACAGTGCATCTGCGTCTCCGCCGTCGATATCAGAGCCCCAGTCACGCCCTTCATCAGCTTCGGGAGCAGCCATGCCACCCTCAGGGCTCGGAGGGTCACTCGCATCACTGTCAATAACAATGACTTGGCTTGAGTTGGCCATCTGAATTTCGCGGCTAATAGCTTCCCTCTCCCGTTGCCATTCTTCCATCCGGCGCCTCATCTCTGAGCCTGGTGTATCGTAGTCCCTTAATTCATCAGGTTCCCGCGACGGTTCCCGTGACCCACTAGTTTCACCCAGACCTTTTGGCGTGGTTTCCGCAATAGCTTCCATCTCAGGGACATTTCTTGCATTCTCGATATCTGCCTGTAGTCGTCTCTTCGCGAGCTCTTGACCAAAGTTCAAGGCCGACTGTAAGTCATGTTGTATCTCTGTATCGAATTCGCTGAAAAGCAGCTCTAGTCGTTTCCTAGATGTCTCCAAGCTGGACATCTGATTTTGCGACTCGCGTATCTCAGGACTTGACAGAAGACCTCTGGAATATCCTCTGTCATATGGATGCCTTAAAGCGCTCTCGAGAGCAATACCCACACGGACCAACCTCACGAACCTGGCTATTGGTCGTCGCTGTCGCTTAGGAGAGGTTCGAACCGGAACAAAGGCTGGAGAAGTTGGGGGAGAATATGCCCTAGTGGACCTGTAGTCCACAGTAGCCTTCTCTTGCTCCAGGGCTGATGGTTCTGGTTGCGTTTCCAGACCGACATCTTCTTCATTGGCCTGATTCCGGGTCGAGGATTTCCGTCTCAAGACACCGTTGCTTTCCCGCTCCAGAAACGGCTTCAAAGCGCCCTTTGCCACTTGGGAACTGGTGCTAAGTCCATGTTGCTTAGCCGACGGTAGTGTATCCAGTGAAACCATGCTAAACCCTTCACTCTCCATTATAGAATCGAATTCTCTATGTTCATCTGTAGGGTCGTTTGTAGTAGGAACTTCGCTTTGGTGGAAGCGATTACGCGAGGCTGAGTTTTGCCCCCCTCGATCTTGTCTTTCCTCATCGACTAATGATGAAGACGTTGGTGTAGGGTAGAGACGAGGCGGTCTAGGTGTACGACCAGCGTATATGGTGTTATCTGGAGAGATAATCTGGCTCTCCCGAGATGGGGAAGGCATCTTTGATGGTGTTGAATGTACATTCTCATCATTCTGCATATAAACATCGTCCATATAATCGACATTCGGCGTATCGTAAGTACGCTCATATTCAACTCGAGCACTCTGATTCTGAGGGCTATCGTCAAACTGCTCCATCTGAACATCACCCTCAAAAGGTTCTGCATAGCTTTGATCATCCGGCAAGCCATCGTCAGATTCGCCATCTGCAGCAAGGTTCAGGGGAGCCCAATTTGGCTCGGACTCGACAACAGACGGCTCATCTACCTGACTGCTTGCCACCTGATTGGCAACGTTGTCTACCGCATCCGGCTCCGGAAGATATTTCCTTGGTCTACCTCGCTTCCTCTTTTGCGCACTTGCGCCTCCCGGACCAGGAGTATGACCAGGACTCCCCCCATTCGGTGTCGCACTCTGAACCGTTGTATCTGACTTCCTCGGGCGTCCGCGGCGTTTTCTGGGAGTCTGCTCCATGGTGTCTGTTTCATCCTTCAACGGTACTTTGGTTGTCATGGTAGAATTCCGGGGGCGTTTGCGCGAAGGGCTGCCTTGGTTCATTTCCTCGTCTTGTGTTGCCTCCAATGTCACCCGAATCCTCCACGGACTCACGTTCCCGTCGGGCTGCACGTTTTCAGGGGAGAGGGACCTTTGCCGACCGTTTAATTTCCTTGACGGAGACCCAGGGAGCACCACATCATCGAAGCGGATAGAATGCGAACTTTTGGTAGGGCTCAGGCTAATGCGCGACCTTCTGCTTTTGGCGAAGCGCGGCGTTTGAAGGAGTTTGAAATTTGCGGGCGACATGACGCTCTGGCGCCCGGAGAAAGGTTTGAACGGGGAGGAAACCAAATACTCGACGTCGCCAGGTGGCCCAAGAATGTCCGGAGAAGAGCTAGAGCTGCGGAAGGACATAACGACATGCAATAAGCGATACGATCATGGGATGTCTCTCGATCCCAGTCGCGTTTGATCAGGTAGGACAGGTCAAGGGGTTTCTAGGAAACGTTGCACCTATACAAAATCTTCCATCATTTTAGTAGCAGGGCTACCTGCAAGAGGCCTGGACTTCTGTAGAAATGATGATTATAAGCCGATAATCGCGGGGAAGCAGAGCAACCGCAGAGCATAACATAAACAAGTCTCCCGATCAGGCAGGCCGAGGGTCCGGCCCGATTTGCTTTTGCCGCTAAAGGTTGAGAGGGGCGCGCTTGGATTATGTAAAGCGGATAAATGTTGTTCCATGTCGATGGTCAGGTTACGGGATGGTGAAGGAGCCCAAGGTGCAGGCTTACCTCCTAGACTCTGCGTCATCGTGTAAACTCTTGCGAATGCGATGTGAAGTACTGTAGTACTTACATTATCATGATCCAATATTGGTAAATAAATGTGTAATGTGTGGTAATCTCTGGATAGCACCCAGCCATGCTACATGCATAACCACTAGGTAGCCATTATCACCCACGCGGTGGTTTCTTTGGTAGCTTGGGTCTTGGCGGGATGAGTTAAGAGGAGCGATCGACAGGCCACTTTCCTTCCCCGCATCCTCTTAATTTGGCCCCCCACCGGAAATTTCTTGTTTAAGACTAGCTCAGTTGCCTCATTCCCGTGGCTTCATGGGTGACCCCCTGGGTGGACGTACTACTGAATGCCTTCCCGCGTCTTCTTAGGTCCCCCATCATTACTACCTAGTATTCACTACGGCAGAAAGGGACTGAGCACTAGACCACCAGGTGTGCCACATACCTGGTACTACATCATTACCTGTCGTCAGTGAATACAGCAACTACTTTCGCAATTGGCTCATCCAGGTCACGGATCATCAATCAAGTGGTGGACGGACTCATACTTCTACAGCCCGCCATACTGAATCCGTCGACGGCGCAGAGCTTGTTGGCAGTTACGCGGTCTAATGCACTAGCATTGACCCTGCCCAACTAACGCATCCGTGGATTTGCCTCCTATAATTTGTTCGGATAATTACAAACAATCCAGTCCAACCAACAGCTCGGGGAAATTGAATTTTACCCCAGTCCCGCTATTGCTGTGCTTTGGTACCCCCGCCCGCTGGTCAGGCGGCATCATGAGGTAGGAACAGGATAAATAGTAGTATGATTCACTCCTTTAAATCTTACCAGGGATTCTCCCAGCTCCTTGGCTCCTTGCTCTGCCCTGCTCGGATCACCATTCGTCTCCTGTCGGTGTATTGCTTCATCTTCCTAGCTGTTACAGCGCTTTTGGGAATCAGAATGCATCTTAAATCATATTTGTCTGCTGCCCTTTATGGGCTACCGGCGCTGGCTCTACCATCGTCTACCTCCAACTCGTCTGCTGTAGATCCCTTCAAAGTCTACACTATCACTGCGGAGAATATTACCGCCAAGTTGATTCCATACGGAGCGCGTCTGACTTCTCTGCTCGTGCCTGACCGCGATGGCAACGAACAAGATGTAGTCGTGGGCTATGATGACCCTAAGGATTATGTGAAAGACACCGAGACCGACCACACATTCTTCGGCGCTGTTGTTGGCCGTTATGCCAACCGCATCAAAAACGGCACCTTCCAAATAGATGGAGACAAGTACGAAATTCCTAAGAGCGAAAACAACGGCACCAACACATTGCATGGAGGCGATGTCGGTTATGATCAGCGCAACTGGACTGTCACTGCTCAATCTGATTCCTCCATCACATTTACTCTGCTTGACCGCGCACTGGAGGGCTTCCCTGGAGATGTCATCACTCACGCCGTATATAGCGTTGATTCCGATGTCACTGCCGAGAACCCTAAGGGTCTGCCACAGTTGACCACTAAATTAATCTCTTTGGCCCTGACGGAGAAGACTCCAATCATGACTGCCAACCATATCTACTGGAACCTCAATGCGTTCAAGGAGACCAATGTCCTGGATGACACCTTCCTCCAACTACCGCTGTCCAAGCGGCTCATCGGCACGGACGGCATTCTGATTCCCAACGGAACCATCCTAAGTGTCGACTCGTACGATGGAGCACCAGACTTCACCACTGGAAAGCTTGTGGGCAAGGACATCAAGAAAGCAGAAGGGCTGTGTGGAACGGACTGCACGGGCTATGACAACTGCTTCATTGTGGATCGAGACAACGCATATGGCCCTGCCAATTCTATGGTTCCAGTTGTCCGTATGAACTCTAGCACAACCGGAATCAGTATGGAAGTGGCTTCAAACCAACAGGCTGTTCAGATCTACTCCTGCGTTGGCCAGAAGGGTAACATTGCCATCAAGCCGTCCCAGGCCAAGCGGAACAAGGAAGAAGGTATCAAGGGTGCAACGAGCGTCAACCAGTATGGTTGCATCGTTATCGAGACCGAAGGTTGGATTGATGGAATCAATAACCCCGAGTGGGGTCAACTGTCAGACCAAATCTATTCCCCCACCGGAGCCCCAGCTATCAACTGGGCTACGTATAAGTTTGGCACTGTCTAAAGTAGCCACGCCGCGATTCTCATTATCTAATGTTTTGACGGCTCCATTTTTGGACGGTTGTCAACCTCATCGTGTTGTATGTACATTTTACTACTGTCGGGTAAATAATGTGATCGATAATTAGTAAAATCAAAAGGCATCGTAGACTCTAGTGTTTAATGCTCTAGAGCCGTAGTATTAATTGTAAATGAAATGCTGAGTTTCAGGGTATCGTGTCTAAGTCCAGTCATTTAGAGGAATTCATGAAAATGAAACAGCAAGTGAACAATATGCTACCAGCCGAATCGCAACGAATTTTCAACGCCATACAGCCCAATACACACTTCCTTCAGTAGTGTATTTTCATCCCCATCCTGCCAGTGTCCAGCTCGACCGGTCTCCGCCAGATCGAAGCCCTGACCGTCGATCAGGGGCATGGCCATGAGTATCCAAGTCTCGACTAGCACCAGCAAGGCCATGCTGAAGAAACTTCTCTCGCTCAATCTCTACCAGTGACCTTATCTTCAGGCTCGCCACAAGACTAGCTCCAGCCCAGGGTCCAAGAGATTCGACTTCGCGCAGAATCCCTTGAACCGGTGGTTTGGTATCCTTATCTCTAGTACGGCGGAGCTTCTCCTCGACTGGATCAATCTCGTCTTCTTCACTATCCCGTTTTTCTTGGTCGCCCTTCCCAATAGAGGTTTTGGGTGATGGTGGTGCGGTGTTCTCTTCGCTGTTGACCGAGGTTGGGCGCTCATTGAGACGCAAATTTCGTAGCTTTTGTCTTTGTTGCTCAATAACTTTGCCCCTCACAGGACTCCAACCATGTTGATCAATAAGAGACGCTACTTCAGCAAGGACTCTTTGGCGAACACCCGGGATATTGGCTCCTCCACCAACGAACACTATTCGTGACATGCAGATGCCGCGGACATCGGGAGGTAATTGTAGGAGTGCGTTGTACGCCAATAAAGCAACCGGCTTTTCTTCGTCATCCAAGTCACAATCCGCTACACCTTCAGCAAATAGGACTTTCTCCACCGGCTCTGCCAGTTTAGAAAAAGGAATCTCCAAGTAGTTCGAGCTGGGGTTCGATGGAGAAGGGATTGACACGGTTTTTTGCAAAAGACCGGCGATGTCTTCTACTTTCGACTCACTGTCTCCCCCTTGGGAGTCAGTCAATTGTGACGAAGCAAATAATCCGTGATCATCTGCCTGGGGCTTACACCACAGAAACCGGCTAACAACTTCTTCACAGAACTCAAAATTCACGGAGATCTCGTCTGCATCCCCGCTACTGTTTGAGGACAGGCGAGTAAGAAACCTGCCTGTCTCCTGAAGCAGTGATTTCATAGCCCTTGTACTCCGCTTGGTAGCGATTTCTCTGTATTCATAGATCCCAGTTACCGTTGTTTCCGCCCATCCAAGGTCTACCACCAACGCCGAACGCAATCCAGCTGCAGCCACCGCCATTGTGGGGCTCGGAAGGAGTGTGATACTAGGAAAGCGCCACCGACTGAATAGCGTCGACAAGACGGAAGATAGTAGTGGGTGTGGCATTATAGACGGGAGAACGAGTACCAATCTCGCTGTTCCCGCATCCGTCAACAAGTATTTATTGTATGTCTCTCGGAACATCCTCTCAATTTTGTCCTCAACAAGTCCCAAGTCGACATCACGCACATCCATCTTCCATAATTCATATGCGCCCGTCCACTCTTCCGCCTTTACTGGTTGTGAGCTTGATGTACCCGCGTTCAGGCTACCTTTCAGCCATCCTCTGTAATCGCCGGCCCTCCTTGAGTCTTCCGGTCCACACCCGACCACACACGTAGGTGTGCTGTCGCCCTCAAATCCAGCCCGAAGCCATCTGGACCCAAATTCAAACACTATAGCATCCTCTTCTCCGCGCAAAGAAGAGCTTGCCGATGAAGTGCTTGCGAAGGAGGAATTATTAGAGCGCAGGTGATGTTGAGGCGTAGAAGGTCTGCCTGACTGGCTGTGTCGCAAGCTCATAGAGGCACTTGTGCGCCTTTCATCAAGATTGTAAGCCGTAGAACCGCTCGTCATTTCTTCGTAGTCTATACTGTGGTGTTTGCGTTCACTTCAGATTGCGGGGGGAGGAGAATCGGGGGTGGAGAATCGGTCGGTAGGCGCGAATCATGCTTTAATTTTCCAGGTTCGAAGATTTCAATTCATTATTGAACTCTCAGAAGTAAATCAAGTGATCGTCCTAATCTTACTCCGCAGGAAACCCAAACTGTCAAGAGTAAAGATACGGAAAGTGCAACGGCCACCGCGGCTTTAATGAGGACGGATCTACATCGGACCGTCGCGTGCTCCCCGACGTCAACAAACAACTCTCATAGTTACAGTATACAAAATCCTCCACGTATATACCGTCGAGAATATTGCATATTGGGTGTTTGGGGTGTTTTTACTTGGTAATTTTTGATCTCTGTCTTAATGGGGATTCCTGGGTAAGTGAACTTAATGACTTCAGTCAAGCCAGGCAGAGAAGCCATCCAGAATATATATCTTTTCCTAACAGCTTTCCTTGCAAGTCTAAAACTTGAGCATTAGCTGACACAAACTAGACTCATCAATGCAATTGGGCCTGGAGAGCGCATATCTCTGTCAAAACTGGCAATAACCCACTTAAAGCGAACATCAAGGCCTATTCGTGTTGCAGTAGACATTTCAATATGGCTATTCCAGGTGCAGGCAGGTCGCGGCGGCAAAAATCCGGAGCTACGGACTTTATTCTACAGGTTGCTAAAATTTTTAGCCCTACCTGTTCACCCCCTTTTTGTCTACGATGGGAAACACAAGCCGCCCTTTAAAAGAGGAAAGGCCACTGGGAGTAGTTACGGAAGTGCACCCATCATTGGGCTTTCCAAGATCATGGTCGATCTGTTCAGGTTTCCTCGTCATGATGCGCCGGGGGAGGCAGAAGCAGAGTGCGCCAGACTCCAGAGGGCAGGCATCGTCGATGCGGTGATGAGTAATGATGTCGATGCTCTCATGTTTGGATCAACGTTGACCATTATGAATTTCTCCAAGGAAAGTGGAAGTGGCACGTCTGCTGCAACGCACGTTACCTGTTATGAAGTGGGAAACATTAACTCATCCTCATGCTCAAGGCTTGATCGTGCTGGCATGATCTTATTTGCTATGTTAAGCGGAGGAGATTACCTGCCCTCTGGAGTCCCGAAGTGTGGTAGCAAGCTCGCTGCAGAAATTGCAAGGGCGGGCTTTGGCGAGGACCTTTTGGAAGTGCTCGACTCGGAAGAAACTGAGCTCAATATGAAGCTGAACGATTGGAGAGAAAGGCTTCAGTATGAGCTTGATGCGAATGAAAGTGGTTATTTTCAGACCAAACACAAAGCTGTTCGAATTCCGGAAAGCTTCCCAGACAGGACGGTACTGTCATATTATGCCAAACCTATAGTATCAACTTCAAAGGATCTCGAAGTTTTACAACGCCGCTTAGAGAATGCCTGGGATCGGGAAATTGATGCTCTGGAATTAAGAAGATTTGCTGCGGATACTTTCGAGTGGAACTATCGCTCCGGGGCAAGGAAAATGATAAGGTTACTTGCCGAACCTCTCGTTTCTTACCGACTTCGTCTTCAGAAGGACTTGACAGCATTTCCTTTCAGGTTATCTGAAAGCGATGTGCCAATGCTCAAGAAAGTTTATAAGAGCAGGACGAGTTTCAGCACAGATGGGTTAACAGAGCTGCAGCTTGATTTTGTCCCTATTGATATTGTTGGCTTAGATCTGCTCGCTGAAGAACCTAACCCTCCACTTCCTCCGCAAGAAACGGCTGTTTCGGGCGATGAGGAGGAGGACGCAGAAGTTAATGTTGAGCCTGCTCCGCAGTCGCCGGCTAAGAAACGTGTCACGAAGCGATTTGATCCTTATTCCTCAGAGAAAATTTGGGTGTTTGAAACGTTGGCTACAATAGGAATTCCAGAAGTTGTGCAAGCTTGGAAGCAGGAAGAGTCTGAGAAGGCCTCTGCGCCTAAAAAGTCAAGCAATAGGAAAACAGGACCAAAGAAGAAGGGGCCTATAGATCCAGGCATGAAGAGAGGGAGTATCCTGAAATATGGCACTCTCACCAAAGAAAGGTCTGAGATCACACAACACAAACAGGCACAGCTCTTCGAAGCAGCAATATCATCGACGTCAACACCGAAGAAGCACAATGCATCGAATGTGCAAGGTTCCCCGAGTGCTTCCAGAGAATTGTCTAGCCATGGCCTGTACTACCAACAGCAAACGGCCGCTTTCGATCGAAGCCAAGATTTTGATTATTTAACTGAGATGTTGTCTTTATGCAATATATCGCCTAATGTAGGCACCAAACGACACCCAGTGAATACTCGGCCTCCTCTCAGAGGTAGACGTGGGGCTGCCCTCTCGGGCGATTCTGAGGTAGAGGCTTTGGAAGTTTCAGGTGCGGAGTCTTTGGACTTCTCGCTATCTTCTTTGTCTCCGGGAAGAATCCGCATGAGCTATTCCAATGTTAGCTATAATGACCTGAGCATAACAGACAGTACGGATTATGCTCCCTCTATACATGCGAAGTACCGCAACAGGTCACAGCCCGGTCAAAGTATATCCAGATCTCATGGCCCTCAAGGGGCCCAGAAACTGGAGCAAGCCATGTCCTCGCTGCTTTTGGACGATAGTAAACCACATGGATCTGCCAAAGAACGATCATATTCACCGAATATTGCCATCCCAGCTGCTAAGCGTCATCTGAACAAGCCAGGGGCTAGAAACCCACATTATGATTGGACTATCTCCAAACTTCGACCGGTTAATATTCCAATAGATTTGGAAGAAGTTAGTCCACCTAGTGTCCAGGATTATTTACAGAAAGTGGCTTTTGGAAAGCGTACAACGCAAAGGAAAACTAGCGTGGGGACTCTTGCCACACCACCAAAGCCATGCAAGAAGGACACTTCAGAGCCCACAGAGGTGGAAACAAAGACAGACGATCTAAGGGATACGAAGAACGATGCCAACAAACCCAGGTCCCATGCAGAATCTGTCGTAGTGTGCGATGGGTACTGGACACTAGAGCCTACTCCAGAGGCTGGGATGGCCTCGGATGAATCAAAATCTGAAGTCGACAACAATACCACGAATGAGAGTTCAAAGAGTCGCAGAGGCAAGAAACGATTCCCGCGCGTGAGCATACTGGACCTTAGTTGAATCGACATTTCTAGATTGTTTGCGTGCTTTGGACTCATGGCGTTTTATTCCCTTGTCCTTCCGTTCTTGAGCGTTCTAAACAAGGGATAGGTATCTAATACTTAGGCGTTGGTGGAACTAGGGCTTCTGGCTTGTCAAAGCACCATTCTCTTCTTTCACGTATTCAATATTAAGCACTACATCATCCTTGTGATATCTAGCTAGATTAAGTACATACATGGATACATAATCATATCGAGATTAGCAATAGAAATGATCCTCGAATCGGAACTTGACACCCAGACCCGCAGTCCGACTAGAAACCCACGGGGCCATCGAATTCTCTAAGCACAGGTAGTTCTCTTCTATTTATAAAGCAAAGCGGAGGATCTTCGTCGGTGTTTGGTAGAATAAGAGGTGTTGGCGCTAGCTTCCAGTGGTATAATAAGAAGAGTGGAAAGAAGACAGGTAAAAGAAGAAGTAAAGCAAACAAGAAATATGAGTATAGACAAATGGACTCGTGCAAAAGAAGGATTCGCAGTGTGAAACAAAAAAGGTATCACCTTTTCGCTGTCCATCCGATTCTAGATCCCTAGTTGATACAAGATAAGGTATGAAATGTAGAAAAGAAAGACAAACGCCGGAGATGGTATTCTTCAAAAATTCAACCAAAAACCTTCAAAAAGCCCCATAAACCTATTCCACTCAAGATGGGAATGGTGAAATTATCATCCCAGCCGAAAAGGTCCACGAACTCACTGCCAGCTGCTACCAGGCCGGAGACAACGCTCATAACGCCGAGCGCCAGGGGGCCCGAGATAACAGTGTCCGTTGTCCAGCCGATAAGATTCTTGACTGTGTCTGGGATGAGGTTGAGACGGCCGGTGAACATGAATGCGTCCTCTGGGTCGGTAGGGAAAGGACCGACGTTGGGTACGAAGAGGCCCCAGAAGGCAGCGGCAGTAATTACTCCAACGAGCCACGCGCTCAAAGTTCCAGCAAAGCTCTTCCCTTTGCGCAGCTGGAACGTGTGTCGACCATAGAGACGACCGAAGGTAGAAGCTGCGGTGTCGCACCAACTTAGGAGCAGCACGCCCATGACTCCTACATCCTTGGGGAAAAACCGCAAGACCGCGTATGCGCCGAGCAAATACCAGATCACACCATTGTACCCTTTCACTTCGGTTTCCCGCATGAGCGCTCCGACGCAGCGAATGTAAAGCTTATTGATTGTCTCTGAGCGGTGACGAACCAAGTCCACTGCGGCTATTGGTACTAGGGCCCCGAACAGCCAGGGAGTGATTTGGGTTGTTTGAATACCACGGCTGTACAAATGAAGAGTGAAGAAGCCGATTGACACGTGGAGGACCTTGCGCGGTATTTCATGCCGATGGATGAAGTTGCGATAGCGTGTATGAAGAGGAATAAGCCCCATAGGGGAGGGGGATCGGGAGATACTATGCGCGATGCCGTCAGCCTTCGTAAGCGGCGATAAGAATCCGTTGGTTTTCGCTCCGCCGTTTGTCTGTGGTTCAGGGTTTTTTGCAGGCTGCATCGGGTTTGATTTCCGCTTCCTTTGTCTAGTTGATCCTGAGGGACCAGTCGGACTTCCAGAACGAGTTCGCGAGCGCCTTGATCCTGACTCCCGCTCATTATTGCTTTCCTCCGATACATCTACTAGTCGCCGTCGTCGCGCTGCAGAGCGAGTTGTGGGGGCAGAGTATCCGTCCCTGGATCGCGACCTGCTTTCTGAAGGAGCAGGCGAAGGCGAAGTGACTCGAGGAGTCTCCGGGATCGCATCATGGGAAGACATATTGTCCGCTCGTAGGGTAAACGGCGGAAGAATCGGAGATTGAATTAACCCAGAGAATGGTCGCTGAGTTTGGAAGGGATGATTGCAGGCAAAAATGCTGGGGAGGAAGAAACAGTCTGCTTCTAACGACGCAATGGTGGGCGATTATATACACAAAAGTGAAAGCTGAATTATTGATGTTGAGTGATGCGCAAAAGAATGACACTGCCACACATAACGTTATGGGCTCAGCCAAAGATCGACACAACCAAGGAACCACAAAAGGACAAGTATGACGGAGTATCCGAAGGGTATCAGCCTGCTGCCGCCAGCCTATTACTGAATTTTTCTGGCTTATTGTCGTGTCGACAGAAATAATTCGCCGAACCTTCCGCCAAATCCGTATAGTGTCACGTGCAAGATGGCAAAAACACTGACCGCCCGCGATATCTAATCAGTAACTGATAAGGCCTTTTTTCTAGATTTTTTTTAGTATGTATGGATGGGCGACGGAAGTTCCATCATTCGAATAATTTGTTGAGGGTAGGCTCGTAAGGGAGTCAACTTCTTCGCCAGGCTGCCAAGATGGCCCCAAAACCGCCAGCTGGTACATCTTCTAGAGCCTGGGATGGTGTCTCACCTTCCCTGTCGGAATGGGTGCTGGAAGCCGTTTCGTCTATGGGCTTCACACGGATGACGCCCGTGCAAGCATCCGCTATTCCTCTCTTCATGGCCCATAAAGATGTTGTAGTCGAGGCCGTTACTGGAAGTGGAAAGACCTTATCATTCTTAATTCCCATCGTGGAGAAACTTCTACGTCTTGAAGAACCAATCAAAAAACATCACGTTGGCGCGATCATTATTTCCCCGACGAGGTAGCTATAGTCTTTGCTTAGAAAAGAAAAGTACAAGTACACTGACTACAAGTGCAGGGAGCTTGCATCACAGATCTACCATGTGCTACTCTCATTGCTCGCATTCCACCCTCCATCTGCCTCCGTCATTAACCCTTCAGAAGACGATGACGTGCCCCGGCAAAAATTCCCATCCTCCACCCTCAAGGTTGTTCCACAGCTCCTTCTCGGAGGCTCTACTACACCAGCAGAAGACTTAAGCAAATTCTTAAAGCAATCGCCAAACCTGCTCGTCTCTACACCTGGTCGTTTGTTGGAGCTACTCTCTTCACCTCATGTCCACTGTCCTCAATCTTCGTTCGAGATGCTCGTCTTGGACGAGGCAGACAGACTTCTGGATCTTGGATTCAAGGAAACTCTGCAGAATATTATCCGTCGGTTACCCAAACAAAGGCGAACGGGATTGTTCAGCGCAAGTATCAGCGAAGCCGTTGATCAGATTGTGCGGGTTGGTCTGCGCAATCCCGTCAAGGTCATGGTCAAGGTCAAAGGAGCTTCAGGTGCCCAGGACAAGCGAACACCTGCAAGCTTACAAATGACATACCTTACGACACCTACGATTCACAAATTTCCCGCCTTGAAGCATATTCTCCATTCCGTTGATCCAACTCCTCAGAAGACTATATTTTTCGCCTCAACTTGCTCAGGAGTTGATTATCTCTCTGCAATCTTACCGTTGATACTTGGTGACGATTTCCAGTTGATTCCACTACATGGAAAGCACCAGGCGAACGTCCGTGAAAAAAACTTTAACCGATTCGTGAATTCATACAGCCCAGCAATTCTACTAACAACGGATGTTGCTTCTCGTGGTCTGGATATTCCATCTGTTGACCTCGTTGTTCAGATAGATCCTCCATCGGATCCTAAAACGTTCATTCATAGATGCGGCCGTGCTGGCAGAGCCGGCCGAAGGGGTCTGAGTGTAGTCTTGTTGCATCCAGGGCGAGAGGAAGACTATGTATCTTTCCTCGAAGTCCGCAAGACCCCAGTGGCTCCTTTCCCGCATCCCATCCCCTTCTCGGATTCTGAAGCCACTGCAGCTACGAATGCGGCCCGCAAGGCTGTGCTGGCAGACCGTGCACTCCACGATCGTGGCCAAAAGGCTTTTGTCAGTTGGTTGAGGAGTTACAGCAAACATCAGGCAAGCAGCATTTTCCGTGTCGCCGATCTTGACTGGGAGAGTTTAGGGAAGGCATGGGGTCTGTTGAAGTTACCCAAAATGCCCGAGTTGAGGAACTTTACTGGTGACCGGACCCTCGGTGTCAATCTCGATTGGGACGACTATAAATACAAAGACAAACAACGGGAGAAACGCCGCATAGAATTGCTCCATGAGAGCAAAGAAGCCGGCGGCACACAGGAATCCTCTAATAAGAGAAAGGCCAACGAGACCACCGCATGGAGCAATAAGCTTGAGGATAGAAACAAAAAGCAAAAGCGACGAGAGCAGAAGCAGCGTCGACAGGAGAAGAATAAGTGGGAGAAGATGACCGAAGAAGAACGGCAGAAGGTGCGGGAGACGGAGCAAATGGTGGAAAATATCAGAGCCAAGAACGAAGAAGAGAGACGACTTAGACGCGCAGGAAAGACCGAGGAAGCAAATTCTGGAAAGGATGAAGAAGAATTTGAAGGGTTTGATTAAGAAAAGTTACGGAGATACCTCTTTGTTTGCTTTAAATATGTATGACACCTGACTCTATAACTCATGGCGCTGTGATCGGATGAAAAGTTCTACCTACATGTATAGTAAACTTGCATTCTTGAACATATAGAGAGAATTCTTTCCATCATGGCCTCAGTCTAATGTCCATCGCCTCTAGACTCTCACATCATATATCATTCTACCATCCCCATTGCTCGATTAAGACTATCCTCGAAGCTCAACTCAACTGTCCACATGTCCTCGGTAGCCCTGATCTGCAACCTACTTCAAACCTCACCCCATTCACTTATCCTGTCTTATCACTCGTTCAAATGCCGTTTAGCACCCACCTCCTGCATCCTAACCACCTGCGACGGCTCCACATCAAGCAAACTCCTCGGCGGCGCTGGCAACAATGACGGAAGACCAGATGCTGGTATACGATCACGCACAGCCGAATTCTCACCAGACATGATGGGATCTGACCGCTGGAACCCCTCGATAGGGCCAGGCATGCGCAAAGAAGAGGAAGCATTTGCAAACGAAGAAAGCGGCGGTAAAACAACGACAGTTGTGTTGCACACGCCCGGGAGCCCATTTCCTATCTCCAAATGAGACATGTCTCGATTTTCTGCCTGACTCATCTGCCCAAGTCGTGGCAGGCGGCTACTGCACAGTTGGCAGTACCGCGGGGCAATATCAGTCAGAATGAATCGGTTACAGCAGGCGACGATCACGGGCTGTGGGTTGTTGTTTGGCGAAGGGTAGTATTGGGCTTTGATGCATGGTTGGATTAGTTGAAGGAAGTCGCAGGTGCAGTGCGGTTGGTTGGGTTGGTAGTAACACATCCTTTTTATTGATTGGAGGTTGTTCGTCCGAAGAGGGAATATAGGGAATGCCTCCGAGGCTGGGTGAGATGAGGGAAGGTAGGGTGTCGCTTTGGGGGGAGAGTGGTTTTATGTCAATCTCTGGGAGGGCTGCTCTCTATGAGCCTGAGTTTGAGGGTCGATCTGGTCTCACTATTGTGAGACACAGGCGTACCTGTTGCATGATGGCGGTAGAGGAATATGCCTCGAGAGGCAGCAAAGGCTCAGCTTGAGTGTAAGTGTCCACTGTGAGATATTTGGAGGTATTCTCGTTATAAGATTACCCGAGACATGAAGACAAGTGGCGATCTGTGGATGCATTCAAGCGCAATGATCTTGGCTAGGGATGTAGCTGCCTAAAAAGCAGGAGCAGAAGAAGCAGACTGGATAACTGAGAGGTTTCTAAAAAGAATATGCAGGTGTATTGTAAGTATAATCAATACTTATTTGCCACGAAAAAGAGAAGACGCCTGAATGCGAGACTCAACGCAAATAACACGATGCTCATGTATAGCTCCAGATACAGATAATTCAATAAAACTCCAGTAAGCCATAGAAACCAATACCACCAACAGTGATCCCAAAGACAGAAAGTCATCAACTAAAGGGCCTATATTCCATCCAACAGGTTGAAAGAGGCAGCAGCTAGCGATGTTGATACAAAAAATATGTATACCCAAACTCCAGCTATCAAAGTTATCAATAAATTCTCCGAATAGCCCTTTGGGCCCATCTATATACCTCGAACGAGGAATGTGGAGAATCAGACAAGTAAAAAGGTTGAAGAAAAACCACTTAAACATAAACAACGTAAAAGGGGGAAGGAGAGCAGATATCGTTCCAATCAATGATAGTCACAACTTCATTTCAAAGTCTTTTTGAATTCTTCGAAACTCTGGCGAAAAGCAAGGTACGCTGGTTCGATCTCGCCGTCGTCCCAAATCGTAGCAAGGAGTTGCATGGAGGTAGAACTGACACCAAGGCTCTCCTCATAGCTTTGCCTGGCGGGCCACTTGAGTTGGCTGAGGTCTCCAGAGGGACAATTCTGATAAAGCCATTCCGCATCACGGGCGAATTCATCATCACCGAAGCTTTCTGGTTCGTCAGCCTTACCAGGCTGTGGAGTTAAATCGGATTTCTTAGTTGTCTGCTTGGAGGCAACAGTATCGGGCGTGGCAGTCAATGGACTAGCATATCGGCTTGCAGTACGGAGACCACTAGGAGTCTTCGGCTTGTATTTCTCTGCTTGGGACCGCACTCTCGCAAGGGCTTCCTCGTCCACTTTACCCGGGGTTGATGGCTGAGCCCGAGAGGTATGGCGAGATGCAGGAGATTGAGCATCATGGCCTTCAGGTTGTGTAGAAGCACGCCCATCTTCCTCCCGTGCGGCTTGGGAGGGGCTAGGGGCGATAACATTTGTTGACGAGGACAGGGCAGTAGTCTCAGAGTCATCTGAGACTGTGTCATAGTCGAGCTGGAAAGTACCTTGGGTATTGGGGACGAATCCCGGATGCCGCTGAGAAGGCTGCTCAGTGCGAGCAGGTGGTGTTGGTGAATCACTACCCATTCCAACGAAGTGTGTTCCGCGATAGGGATCAGTAGCACGAGCACGCGAGCGAAGCTTAGAAGGAGTGTCTTCTGGGCTTGCATCAAAACGCACCTTTTTGGATGACTGTCGCTCGGCACGGAGGGCACTGCGGGCCACAGACTTCGCTAGACCATCGGCCTTCTTGCGTTCGCTCTGTTTAGATGGAGTTTCTGCTGCCTCATCTTCACTTTCAGAGCTATAACAGAAATAATCCAAGTCCAATCCATAGCTAGATCCGGCTGGGTTGGGAATCACATCAGGCGATGGAGACCGCTTGCGCTTCCTTTGTTCCGCATCACTAATCTCTTGAGAGGTCTCACGTGGTTTAGCTTGTTCATCTGATGCTGTAGTCTGCTGAGACTCAGGTTTCTGCGCCTGCGCCTGTTCAGTGCGGTGCGAATCCGGGGCAGCCGCCTCTGGGGGCGCTGTGGAAGACTTAGGAATGTCACCAAGGTAAAGAGATCTGTCGATAGGAGCCGGGAAAAGTGAGTAAGACAAGTTACGGGCACGTTTCTTTGGAGGCTGCGAGGGCCTTTCACTCAAACGCCACCGAGATCGTCCTTCGGTCTGAGGACCAGCTGATTCAGGGTTAAGAGATCTTGTGCGAGTAATACGTTCTGATGATGGTTCGATCGTCGCTACAATAGGTTAGCGAGTAACGGGGAAGGGGATCACGAGAACTTACACTGATCTTCCAAGCTCTCAGAAGGCCGAGCAAACGGTAGTAACCGCGAGAAGGAACGGGGTACAGAGCTGAGCAGTCCACGTAGATTCCATCCACGCTGAGGAGTTTCTGGCGTGTTTCTCCCCGGTGTCGATGGTTCTTGAGGTGCAGAAGATTTGTCTGCTGAGCTTTGATTGGTTGGCAAGTTCGTTTCCATCGTGAAGTCAAATGTCGTTTGTGGAAGCTGTGGACTCGGACTCGAAGGGGCTCTTTCTGCCTTCTGGCGGTCGGCCTCTAGCTGACGGAGATAGTCGGGAAGGCGGAAGAGTGTCGATTCAATCCGGCCATGTTTTTCGGCTTCTCGACGAGCAAGTCTTGCAGAGAAAGGGGCCGCCCTGGTCTGAATCCGGCGCGAAAGGGGGGTACGCCGATTGGCAAAGGGGGTACTTCCTGGCGGCCCCAAATTCCGGCGCTTGTTTGCCGCAGGTGTCATGGGGGCTGCCCGATCTTCTTCGCTGTTGTCTTCGTGGGCCCTTTTCCTATTAACTGTGTCGGTCAGCCTGGGTTCCTCATTGGACCGGTCAACGCTTTCCTGGTACGACCACGGAGGTGAGGGGGATACCAAGAGGGCCTCCGATTCCTCAGTGGCATCCTCTTGGACCCCACCACTTGAAAAGCATGGTCCGCAAATCGACCGCAGATTCCGAGTTGGTTCGAGCTCCTCAGAAACCGGGGAGAGTATTGCCTGGAGCCATGTAGGCAAGAGACCCAAGATCAATTCGGGCTCCTCCGCCAACGCTACCGATACCAACGGACCTCCCACGCTGTAAAATTCGTCGTAGATAGAAGACGGCGTAATTGGGATAGAATCAAACAGCGTGCGAGGTCTCTGCTGTACCCGCTCCGGAGGCCTAAGTATATCCATTGACGGACATACTGGCACAACCTCGGAAAAGATCGACGCCAACGTAGGGGTATCAACAGAGGCACCGGGAACAACAGTTGCCTGGGAGTTGGTGGCGGTCTGGAAGGAATTACCGGAGCTGGGGATCTCTCCGGTGGGCAACTGTGTTTCGAGTAGCCACAATGGGAAAACCGGTGACACCGTTAAAAGAACGGCCGCAGAAGAGCAAGGGACAAATCCGGCAATAGCCAACCTTCTGAGCTGTTCCACTAACGGCTCCACCTGCTCCTACTCTGCGACCATTCTTTGTTCGGAGTCAGCAGCAAAAGTGGTGGTGAAGTCAGTCTCCGGCGCCTCACTCAAGTCATCTGTAGTAAACTCTGCAAGGGATAATGCATCTGACTCTCTCCACTCTGCTGTGGTTGGCCCCACCAAAGATGGCTCAGAGATGCTGGTATTGTCGATTTGATATTGGTACCACTTGGGATCGACAGTGTTTGGCGGTGCACTGAAGGAAGCGCTGACCGAGCGGGGTATGTTTGGGGGTGTTTGGATCACGGGGGTGATTTGGGTCCATAGGATACTTACGCGGAAGTGAAGAGCTTTTCAGCTCTGAAAGAGCTGTACTATCTGCCAGTGTAACAGAATCTGGGTCCTGGGACTCATTTGTGAGGTTTTCTTTGTCGTCTAGGGACGCGCTCTGGGCGCGTTCTCCATTGTTACGGGATTCATGTTGGCTACCGTCTGTTGTTTGATTCTCCGTCTTGCGAGTTGACTTTCTTGTCGCTCGCTGAGGGGCCTTTCGCGTCTGTGTTTTTGTGACTCTGCTAGTGGTAGTCTTTTTGGTTGTGCCTTGGCTTTTGGGTCGAGTTGTGGTTTGCGTGGAGGATGAAGATTGCGCGTTGGGTTGCGAGGTGTTCCTTGTAGACCTTGTCCGACGTGGAGCACTGTCATCGAGGGATAGAAAGCCGCCAGGCGATGCTTGCTGCGATCGAGTTCGCATTTTGACGGATTGCCGACTGAGGGCGACTCGTGGCTTAGTCGAAGCTCAGAGCAACAGGAAGAAGGTTCACTAAGTGATCTAGCTAATAAAAGTAGCTCCCTCTTCACAACCAATAGAGGTTCGTAGATGAAGAAATAAAATGCTCAAAAAGCTTGATACAGTATGGCCTTCAGTGTGTGTGATAGAGAATTAGTTGGATGGACGGATAGTAAGAAGGGAAATGTGGGAAAGAGAGAGGTGTGGAGAGAAAGGGGCTTCTGTTTACACTCCTCTGTTGTGTTTCTATGACGCGCCCCTCCAAGCCAGAATATTGACATTCACTTACCTGGTTCAACAAGTCCGAGGCATAAATGACGCGGTCTTACTGGGATACCAGAGAACATTCGCAAATGAATTTCAAAATTCGGGGCCACGTCCTGGCAAAATCATGAGGCGGTCAGCTGTCCACCCAATGAAATCGGTTCCTAATATTTATTCTGAATGACTTCAGCCGTTTTCTTCTTTCTTTTTGTCTTTTTGGCACCTTGGAAAAAGTCGACTAAAATTTAATTTTATTTAGGTCAGAATATTTTATCATATAGTGATTCTAGTAGAGTACAAAATGTGCTGGCATAGATTGCTGAAGCGAGATGCAGCATGCTTTTCCATAAATTGGTTTTACATATGCAAGTACAAGGCCGACAAGTGGGATGGAAGATTGTTTGCGCATGATAACACATATGATTTTAATAGTTTCCTGGAAGATAGAATTGTAATACTTGTACACGGTAAGTCTGTAGATAAGAGACATCAAAAAAGACCAGGCAAACAAGCGAGCTCTTGTAGCACACAGGGAAGGTATGGATGCCATATAGTTACACGCCAATATTGACTTAATGATATAATGAGAAAAAAAAAAATGAAAACATAACAATACAAACGCTAGTGAGCCCTTACATGCTAATCTCACCCTTCCAAGCAGCATCCGACAGGCCCAAGGTTTCGATCAAGTGTTGCCATCTTGGACCACCCCGCTCCTTCCTACGCAGGTACTGAAGCAACTTCTGTCGCTTATGCACGAGCAGTCTCAAGTTTCTCTTGTTATGCTTATCTTTGTTGGTTGTCTGCAAGTGTCTAGACAAGTTCAAAATCTTTGCAGTAAGGATAGCAACCTGGACTTCCGGCGAACCGGTATCCTGACCAACTCGAGGAGTTTTCTCGGGGTGTTCAGTAGCAGACTGATGCGATACAGCTGCAGGCTTTGGCGGCAAGGTCTTGTCCGTATTGTGCCGTCCAAATGTTTCAATGCATTTCTGGATATGTAGGCGCATCTGATCTTGCGTGTTTCCGTTACTGATCTTCACGATACGGCTGATTGCCTCTTGAGCGTTGTGATGTTCCTGAAGATGTCTCTCGGATGCCTCCTTCTCAAGCTGAGGGTCTGCAGTGTCCCTGTCGGGGTTTTCGAGGGGGGATGTCAAGTTTTTCGAGTATTCCAAGGCCTCCTGGAGTCCCTCGGGAGTGACGAAGTAGTTGAGGCTGGCATCTGTGCTTGAAGGGGCTTGTGGCCCAGATCTGACCGTTTTGAGCTCTTGGACGAATGGGGTCGGTGCACTTTCCACAGGATCGCCCAGGGAGCTTTCGCGTTCTTCGGCAAGAGCTTGTTGACGAGACAGATTGGCGGCTTTGCGCTGACGTGACTGTGCCATCAAAAACGGATCATGTCGTCGGCGTTCCCTAGTCTCGGCGGATCCCGCTCTGATAGATGTCTTGGAAGGGTTCAATGACAGCGCAGCAAGCGGGCTTTGAACATGCGAAGACCCTAGCACAGCCGGTTAATAACACGCAACACAATAGTCGGGATTGCGGCGTACCAGTAAAAGCCTTGAGGGAAGGCTGGAAAATAAAGCGGGGAGGCATATCCGTAGAAACTGCTTGGTAAATTCAATCTTCACAAGACAATCAACAGCTCTAGCTCTGGCAACCTTTACGTCCTAAGACTGAGAAGACTCCGAAATCTCGAAGGCCGAGAACTGAGCTAACCCAAATTCAGTAAGGCCCATACACGTGACTTGACAACGGAGTGGCGGCCTGAGGCTCCGAAGGTGCGTACCCTAGCCCTAAAATTCACAAACGAAAATCATCCAAACGCGGAGGGCTAAAGTTCACCTTCGCGTCAGTCTTTTCCCCGTCATCACCACTGCGACAAGCGCCAGTCGATTGATATATTCAATTCGCTGTTCATTGCAATATCAATCGCCCACCATGGCCCCCTCTCAGCTTCCCCCGATCTTCAACCCCACCCAGCAGGACATTGAGCAGCTGCTCGCTGCTCAGTGCCACCTGGGTTCCAAGAACCTCCAGGTGCACATGGAGCCTTACCTCTGGAAGACTCGCCCTGACGGTGTCAATGTCGTCAACATCGGCAAGACCTGGTATGCGACTCGGCGGAAATGCTGCGGATTTGGCTGCGTGAAAAGACTAACGTGTGCGCAAATTACAGGGAGAAGATCCTCCTGGCTGCCCGTATCATTGCGGCCATCGACAACCCCGCCGATGTCTGTGTGATCTCCGCTCGTCCTTATGGCCAGCGTGCTGTTCTGAAGTTCGCTTCTCACACCGGTGCCACCGCCATTGCCGGCCGTTTCACCCCCGGTAACTTCACCAACTACATCACCCGCTCTTTCAAGGAGCCCCGTCTCATCATCGTTACCGACCCTCGTACCGATTCTCAGGCCATCAAGGAGGCCAGCTACGTCAACATCCCCGTCATTGCTCTTTGCGACACTGACTCCCCCACCGACTTCGTTGACGTTGCTATCCCCACCAACAACAAGGGTCGTCACTCCATCGGTCTGGTTTGGTGGATGCTCGCCCGTGAGGTCCTTCGTCTCCGCGGTACCCTCGCTACCCGCGAGACCGAGTGGGACATCGTTCCTGACCTCTACTTCTACCGCGACCCTGAGGCCGAGGAGAACAAGGAGATCGCCGAGGAGACCAAGGTCGCTACTACCGAGGAGGTCGGTGCCGCTGCCATTGAGTCTGGCTTCGCTGGTGAGAACTGGGACACCCAGGGTGCTGGTGCTGGTGTTCCTGGCACTGCTTTCGCTGCTGCTAGCGCTGCTGGTCCTACCAGCTGGGAGGCTGATGGTGCTGACTGGGCCGCCAGCTCCGCTCCTGCCGCTGGTGGTGAGAGCTGGGCTGAGACCCAGCCTGCTGAGGGCAAGTGGTAAATAAAATAAATAGCGACAATGGACAGCCGTTACGAGGGGCATGAGTTTTTCTTTTTGCGAAAAGTTGGCGCTGAGGAGGATTGACGTTTTAAATTTTCTCTTCACCCATGGTCTGACGAGTAACCGACAGCATCTCCTGCAAAGAAAACTTCTCTTGGCATGTCTATCCTAGTCTCTGTTTGAAAACCCCTATTTCAAAAGCAAGAAGAAAAAAAAGGAGAAAAAGTGATTGAAGTTTCTGATCGGGAACCCTACAACTTGAAACCGTCTTTTTCTACTTCCCTTGGTATGCTACAGCGACGTCTCGTTTCTTACAGTCCGTTTTCTCGTCTTGTCCACGGTGCATCGGGGAGGAATAGCATTGTCAAAAATTGACTGGCGCTTACGAGGGAAAGATATCCAGTTGTTCTATTATCTCGGTGAGCTTCTGGGGGAAAGCCCTGTGCTGTCAATTTCCACAAGGTGGACTTAGTCGTTACCTTGGTTTCTTCCTGCATGTTGATTTAGTCGTAAATGAAACGTGATACTAGCTACCATATGCATGTTCTATCGTGTATCAGCAGTATTCCGAGTAACCCCGGATAGGGCAATGAACGTAGATCAGCACGTAGTCTCGTATTAGCAATCATGGATAAACATGGTATAGCATATAAATCCCCTTATACTTCTCCATGTCTGCCGAATAAAGTAAATCAACATCAATCAATCAATCAATCAAGATTCTATTAACCTGTTCGAGCCTAACTACTGAACGTCCAGCTATGCAGGTGCAAATCAACATCCTGCTTTGTTAGATCAACTACATAATAGATATTTCTCATCGTAAAAAGGGTATCACAACAGTCGACATATATCCGCCCCCCCGTCAAATGACTATACAGCCACCCTGAGTCTGTCCCCCACGATCCGTGGTTGTCATTCCTGCCAGCCTCGCTAGATCCTCGAATGTCTCTGCCAGAAGTTCCCCCGTGGCAGCAGAACATTCTGCATAACGGTCACACCGGAGCTCTTGTGCGATTCGATATGTCTGCTGGAGTCAGCTTTTGCATATAAAACAAGGTAAGACAACATGGTTCATAAGGAGCATTTCCAGGTTGAGATACTGCAGGAACGAGGTACTTACTTCTTGCGGGTAGATGATACCTTCGCCTTCTACCCTCAAGTCTCTTTTCAGGCCTACCATCATGACGGGGATCCGTTCCCCCTGACCATGTTGGAAGTACCGGATAATGTCGTGTCGCCACTAAGAAGATCAGTAACTGTGATTGACTTAGAGAAGAATCGATAAAGATGTAAACTCACTGTTTTGAGATTGGTCAAAGTGTCTCTGTTGGATATATCAAAAGCAAGAAGAACCACGTCCGGCTTCAATGTGGACCAGTGCTGATTGGGACATGCCGTATCATATAACTCGAGGCTAAAGGACTTCTTTGAGAAGCGGATATCATAAAGGAAAGGTTGGTCACTGTCCCGTAAGGGCTCGGGCTGGTTATGCGATCCATTTCCATTTAGCCTACTGCGCCCTTGTTTCAATGCTCTGGGGTCGATAGATCAGTATTCCGCTAGAGGATAAGATGCAAGCAAAGGAAGTTTTCGGCAGTAAGAAACGTCTTGTAAAGATCCGATGAGGGTCTCAATAGCGTTTCGGTATAGACTTACGATAAGAATGTCGTTTTACCGCATCCTGGATCTCCTAATAGGAGGATGGTGACTGTGTTCTCCTGGTCCGGACGACTTTCTTGGTTCGTCATTAGGTCGAATTCACGAGGTGTTGCGTTGTAATAAATTTGAAAGTTTGTTGGAGTATGAGATCAATATAGGACAGTGATCGGCTGGCAGAGCTTTCCCTAAGCTTGGCTGAAGTTATCGTGCATTCGAATAGTTGAGAGTGGGTGCTGTGAAGATAAATGGAGCGGGGAGATATAAAAAGTAGATGGCATATCCATTTGGTAGACCACCATTACAATGTGAAGTGGTATTAATAAAGACATTTCTCCTAGATCATTACATACTCGATTTATTAAAACAATGTTACGATAAGGACCCCCAAGCTCATGCATGTAATCCCAGAAGCCACTTAGTATTTCCTTATCTAAAGTAGATCTAGCAGATCTCCGTAAAATTACCATACACGGATATTAAATTACTTAACAAAAATGACTTTAAAAAAATTCCCAACATCTGCCCCCCGCCAACTGCTCCCAAAGTTTAGCGGGTACAACAAACTATCTTCGCCAGCTCCAGGGGAATGTGGAGAGCTCAAAGCAGACTCTGTTCCTACCCGAGTCGCATTGTACAACGTCTCTTGCCCAAACGAAACTTTCAGATTCTCAACCATCGCCACGCGCAGGTTGAGTTCCTCGCAACTGAAACCATGTCCGGCACCGGGGAGCCACTTCCACCTCAAGGTCAAACCGACTACTCGACCTGGACTCCGGAGAGTTTGATTTCCAGAATTACAGAGCTAGAGCGCCAGCTGCAATCACGCAATGCCGAATTTGCGACCTCATCGAAAGTCGCAAACGAATCTGTACCTTCAAACCCAGCGCTCGATACCCCCGCCGAAACAGCGAAGGCTTCCTCGAAGAAGGGAGCGCGCAAGTACCAGCCTGCTCCAGAAGACGATATCACACATACCCGCGCGCCGAATCGCCCCCCGAAGCAGCCCCGAGTGATTGATCCTTCCAAATACAATACCCGGTTCATAGCTCTGAAGTTCGCATATCTGGGGCAACGGTACAACGGTCTTGAACATGCTAATGGCAATGTCACGCCACTCCCAACGATTGAAGAAGAAATGTGGAAGGCTTTGCGGAAGACTCGTCTGATTTTCCCGCAGAATGGAGAGGCGGATGATTTTGAAGATACCAGGGGCCCAAGGGAATTGAAGCCTTATTTGATCAATTGGGAAGGATGTCAGTACTCTAAGGCTGGCCGGACTGACAGGGGTGTCAGTGCCTTTGGACAAGTTATCGGTCTGATGGTACGAAGCGCGCGACCTAAGGGTGATAATGTTGTGCAGGCGGGCCCTAGCTCGGATACTACTATGCAAACCGGAGAAGAAGCTACTGCTTTAGCCGATGCCGCCCAAGATAACTGGGATGATATCGCTGATGAATTACCATACGTAAGTATTCTGAACAGAGTGCTTCCAGAGGATATCCGGGTCCTGGCATGGTGTCCACACCCTCCCGAAGGCTTCGACGCTCGTTTCTCTTGCCGGGAACGCCATTACAAGTATTTCTTTACCCAACCCGCCTTCTCCCCAACGCCAGGACCTCTTGGATTCGCTCCACGTGGAAACAACAAGGCAGGAGACAGTCGCGCAAAATGCAGAGAGGGTTGGTTAGATATCGAGGCTATGCGTGAAGCCGCTAAGTACTTTGAGGGAGTACATGACTTCCGTAACTTCTGCAAACTGGACACCAGCAAACAAATCGAGAATTTCGAAAGAATCATCTACCATTCTGACATCGAGCTCCTTGACCCGCGAAGCAGCCCACTAGGCTATGTCAGTCAACCGGGATTCCAAGCTCTAGAAGACCCTGCTGCGCAGCAAAACCTCGCGTCGCCAGAGGCTCTTTCGCCAACCCCTTCTCAAGTATATGTATTTAACTTGAGAGGATCCGCTTTTCTATGGCATCAGGTGCGGCACATGGTGGGTATTTTGTTCCTAGTGGGCCAGGGGCTTGAGCCACCGACTATTGTGCAGGACCTGTTAGACATAACCAAGAACCCGCGTAAGCCGACCTATGAGATGGCTTCCGACGCCCCCCTTGTCCTTTGGAATTGTGTCTTCCCTGATGAGAATAGCGGTAGCCGTGCAGATGCGTTAGATTGGGTTTACGCTGGGGATAGCAGACAGATAAAATCCCAAGGGGGCAGAGGAGATGGCAAGTATGGTCTCGGAGGGGTAGTAGACAGTCTTTGGTCCGTTTGGAGACAACGTAAGATTGATGAAATCTTGGCTGGTACATTACTGGATCTTGCCGTCAGCCAAGGGGACCAAGGGGTTGTCAATGGCGACGCCAAGGGCGTTAAGGATGAACAACAAAAGCGGAGCCAAAAAGTTTTCTATGGTGCGAATGAACCAAGAATTGGAGGACAGTATATACCGGTCATGCAGAAGAGAAAGATGGATCCGGTGGAGGTTCAAAACGCGAGATGGCTTGCAGCCAAACAGCGGAAGACTGAAAAGGGTGCAGAGCCCAGTCGCATGGAGATATAGAAAGGACATTCGGCCATATGTCATACCTTTATAGAATAGTTCGCCATTAGGTGTACTTCAATTAGACATGAGAATGCCTCTTTTTCAAAGGGAAAATAATTGCTTCCAAACTCCTTTATGTTAAGATTTCGAATCATAGAGACAGTGCCGCGAGCCCCTCCAAACCTCTTCTAGTATTGCCCGGCTCGGCAAAAGTTTCTGGGCATATAATGGTTAGGGGCCAATCAGTTATCTGGATAAGAATACTTACAGGGAACACTACGACAACCTCGGGCTCCCCATCTACAATAATTGCTAGGTAAAAGCGGACTTCAAAACCTTTGAAAGCCTCGTGAATCACAATGTCCTGGATCTGAGTGGTGGGAATGAATCGCGTCGAGGCCTTGGAGAGATAGGTCAGGGACGAAGTAGAAGTTTGAATTCCCAAACCACGTATGACAAGCAACGATTCCTCTGTATAGCACCAAAAGTTAGTTGAAACCATTTACTGCAATAGGGGCACTCCAGCATACCCGTGTAACCCTTCCTAAAGACACCATAGATAACAATCGCGCTCACCACAACGACAAGCCAAGAACTGTATGAATCTACAATTCGGGACACAAGTGACCCTAATGGACTCGACCATATTATACTCCAGCGTACTAAAGACCCATCTTGCTTAAAGAAAGAGTTGCGGAGTCTTGCAATATTGAAGAAAACCACGCAGACGAAGACTAATGCGCGCAAAAGGATTTGAAGATAGAAGAGAATCTTCGCTGGCGTGCTCGTGTGTCTGGAGGCATTGGATACGGTGAATGAGACGGTCGTCGGAGATGGACGTCGTAGTATCAGGCGACCAGGCATTTATCACTGATTCAGAAATCCGCGACGCTTTGAGTCAAATTGGAAGCTACTGATATAAGTTCAATCGCAATAAGCACGGGGTTAAGCACGGAGGTCAGTGCTTAGCACTCATTTATGCTACTACTCCATTTACGGTTTAGCGTAGGCATCTTGCGACCAGAAGGCTGGGCCGCGATACATCATCACGTGTCGCGGGTCATATTCCATTGCTGTGAGAGTCAGGCTGATCGCTAAACCCATTAACCTACATCGCTGATCATGGGCGAGCGTTCAAGGAGCAGGTCACCAGGGAGAAGGATTGACAGGGAAAGGTCTGATAGAGAGAGGCCTAGAAGAAGTGGAGGAGGAGGAGGAGGAGGTTTTCGATGGAAGGACAAACGGCGCGATGGCGACAACAGACACGATACAGATGAACGCAGATTAAATCGAGGATACAGAGATAGGGAAGAACGGGCAAGATCTCCGCGACGCGACAGAGATACGTACCGGCCTGAGGATAGGAACAAGGATAACGATCGTGACCGAAGGCGTCCGGAGGGTGATGAGAGAGATGGACGGGACAGGAAGAAGAAAGAGAAGAAAGAAAAGAAGCCTGCTGTTCCTCAGACCTCAGAACCCATGATTATTGTGCATGTGAACGATCGTCTCGGCTCGAAAGCTTCAATTCCGTGTCTTGCATCGGACCCAATCAGTTCGTTACCCTTTTATGATCGAGGACTGCAGTTTGGCATCTAATCTATGTCACAGAGCTCTTCAAGGCACAGGTTGCTGCGCGTATTGGACGTGAACCACATGAAATCCTCCTCAAGCGCCAAGGGGAGCGTCCGTTCAAAGATTTCCTCACCCTGGCCGACTACAGTATATCTTCAGGAAGCCAGCTTGATCTGTAAGTGATCCTTTCCAAAGCCCTCCCTTGTCGCCTACTATTTGTTGCTTTTCGGGGCCTTTTATTTCGAGGGGTTCTATACTGACCGTTCTACAGGGAGGTCGGCACTGGTGAATAAATACTTGTAGACTATACGCTTTAGGTACCTGTGAGCAAATTCCTCTTCGACTTCTCTCCTATGGTTTGTGAGGTCTGTCCTGATGCGTCTGGTATGTCCTTGAGGGTGAATGCTGACTCTACTCTTTCTTTGTAGAATATCCCTCGCAGGCGATTCAAATTGTATTACTGTACCTTTATATGACCTGGGTTCTTCTCTATTGTGCTTTACCTACTATCGCAACAAAATATTGGGGAAAGGTTGTGGAATAATGGGGAATTGCCATGAAAATTACTTTTTTCCCTTTCTTTGATTTTGCCTCCTACCAGTCCGCTGATGTTCTCCGGCGCGTTATCTTTCAAAGTTTCCATGTACCTATTGGCCCAATGGAGACATTGCTCCTCTTGTAACGCAACAGTAGGGCGCCAGCTGTTCTTTGCTTGGTTTGCGAGGGAAGTGGCTCACAAATCGCTGTTGTTGTTATCTTGGGAACTACGGGTATCTCTGAAACCCGGAGTCGGAGCTTTTTTTTTTTTTTTTTTTCTTACTCTCACCCCTCCCACATCTTCCGTCATTTACCTCTCTCCCGGCCTTTGCGGGGCGCATCGCCGTTTCCCAGTCGTTTTTGTTTCATTTGTGTGCAGCTAGCCGGATGCGGCAGGCGGCATGTAGCAGCCTGGGGCTATTACGGCAGAAATCCGAGGCTTGGAGGACGTTTGGTTCCACCGGCGGAAGAGGCATTTTTTTTTCTATCGCGGGACTCACACGACCCTCTACCTCAGTCCTTTATTCAATGTTCTCTCCACTCCATCAATCGGACACCGTTCTTGAATCCCCGCCATGAGGTAGTTGTCTGTCCGTATTTGCCACAATCTTGTCCATTCTTTGATCAAAGCTTCTTCCAACTTTGTGCTAATCTCACCGATCAATAATCGCCCCTCCAGACCTGCTTCATCGGATATCCCTAGTTTCTCTCCACTCTCGACACAGACATCCTCTCCATTGCCTATCTATCCTACCGCTTTTTCAAAACTTCATCAACCTGAAGAGCCTGCCACCATGGTCCGCAATATCGTTGTAATTGGGGGCACTTCCCACCCTCAACTGACTCAGAACATCTGCGGCGTCTTGGGTATCCCACCAGCCGACGTTCTACTTTCGAAGTTCTCTGTGGGCGAAACCAGAGTTGAAATCAAGGAGTCTGTTCGTGGGAAAGATGTTTACATCATTCAATCTGGTGGTGGGAAAGTGAACGACCACCTACTGGAGTTACTCATTACCATCTCTGCATGCAAGACCGCCTCCGCCAAGAGGGTCACCGCTGTTCTCCCTCTTTTCCCGTACTCTCGCCAGAGTGATATTCCTTACAACAAGACTGGCGCGCCTCTTGTAAAGTCAGCGGTTCCTGGAAAGTCAGAGCCCGCAAATGGTTATACTTTCGAGAGCACCCCTACAACCCCATATCCTGGGAAGCCTGAGAGTGGAAGTCTTCTGAACGGTGTCGATAACCTACAGAAGAGCCTAGCAAAGGCTCAAATAGAGGATATCAGCAATGGTAGTCCTGTGAAGAAGCGCCCAACTAGTGGACTCTCTCGCAGTGAGACTCTGGAATCGCAACCGGAGAGCAGCAAGGCCGCTGTTTCCAATGGTGCTTTCGGTGAGGATAGCGTGCAAAAAATCAACAATTTCCAACCACGCCCAGGCTACAAGCAGTGGGTGGCTCAAGCAGGCACATTGGTAGCTGACTTGCTTGCCTGCGCTGGTGCCGACCACATCATCACGATGGACCTGCACGATCCTCAGTATCAGGGATTCTTCGATATTCCCGTAGATAACTTGTATGGCAGACCCCTGCTCAAGAGTTACATTCAGCGGAACATCCCCAATTACAAGCAAGCTGTTATTGTCAGCCCCGACGCTGGAGGTGCTAAGCGTGCCACGGCAATTGCGGATTCCATGGGTATAGAGTTCGCATTGATTCACAAGGTTTGTTTCGCTTGCTAGTTCAACATATTTTTGTGTTTCCTAATAGTTTATAGGAACGGCGTCCCACACGCATCACGGACCGTCAAAATGCCACTATGATGTTGGTTGGTGATGTGAAAGGCCGTACCGCTATCCTGATTGATGATCTGGCGGATACTTCCAACACCATAACTAGAGCTGCGAAGCTCTTAAAGAAGGAAGGTGCCGCTCAAGTTTACGCTTTGGTGACTCACGGTATCCTAAGTGGGGATGCTATTGATCGAATCAACGCCAGTGCCCTTGACAAGGTGCTAGTCACGAACAGCGTTGATCAGACAGAGCACCTGCGCCAGTGCCCTAAGCTGGAGGTTTTGGAAGTTGGCCATGTCTTTGCTGAGGTAGGTTGGCCCTAATACTCAACGGAGTTATGTTGCTAATACGTCGTAGGCTATTCGTCGTGTCCACCATGGCGAGAGTATCAGTGTCCTTTTCCAGTACGACTAACGAATCTATCCAACTTTTGACGTGTTTTTTTTATTTTTATTTTTATCCTTCCTGTCCGAAGGAGCTTTAGCATGAATCCTGAAAACCAAAAAAAGGAGTGATGAACATAACTCATATGCTGAAATGTTTGATTTTGTTGGACATCCCCCAGCACACTGACGCCCCCATTGCTATATTGGATCTTTTTTATGACTATACAATCCCATCATCGCATATCACGTAACTGCGTTGAATGTGTCGACCGATTTATGAAACCAGTAGATAGGCTTCTAGGCCAATCGACCGGACTCTGTTTCAATCCTTGTCCCCACACCTTTCCATTTGCCACTCCTTGCGATTGTTGCGATTGTTCAGGCTACTGTGTGACCATTTCACTGCATCTCTCTTGCTCTACAACTGCAGTTTTTGGCATAACACAAAACCGTGTATTATAAGGAGCTTTGGCCCTGGACATGTATCTGCACGGATACATTTGTACTAACTTTCATATAAAGCATGGCTAACTTAGACTCTCAGTAGTGGACCACACGGTCTAAATTAATTGAATGTAAAAGTTGCGACGATTGGAGATTCAAACAAATTCGGTAGTTGTATTACTTACCTCATAAACGCAATCACTACATTCAGCAAATAAAAGTTTACATTCAAGGTATAAGCAAATGATCAGTTCATCTATACTATACCGCACAAAACGAGATTCCCCAACGCCCTAGGCAAGTAGAAGAGATCAGAAACTGGCAATGTATGCCGGGCGGTTTGATGCGCTCAACACATAAGTGGATAACTGAAAGCTAGTCACAAGATAAGGATATGGAAGAGGGAAAGATACATAGAATCACATAATTCGGGGTAATAAGGAAGTTTTGTGCACGTGAACGAATCGCATGAATCGAATATTAGGTAGTGCAGAGAAGGAACGCTTAGAAGACAGATATGAAGTTGCCAATCCGCTCTTTCTGGTGCTGCGCAATGCACTCCGCGATCCATGTGACGTTTCGGATTTCCTGTGCAATGCGTGGTTAGTGTTGGTGCCTCTTGTACTAGAACAGTTTTAAACTAACCTGCTCCTTCAACCTCATCCATGCGTACACTACCGCCGGGGTAAACTGCCGAGTGAAGACGACCTTTGACATTTCCATTTCCTTTTGGTAGAACATGTCCTCGAGACTCTTTCCATCCGAACCACCACCGAAACCTGCACCCTGAGTAAGGCCAACGGCATCAAAGAAGGCCTTGTAGTCAGCCGATATGCTGACAGCAAGTGACACGGACTCCAGGTCGTCGGCCCGTGAAAGCATCAATGAGCCTTCAGGGTAGAGTTTACCGAACTCCGGGTACAGCTTTCTCCGTTCCTGCTTCGAAAGCTCTGTGCCGAACGAGTTCAGTGTGATGTTGATCGCACGGCGGTCTGCCTCGAACTCTAGAAGTTCAGACATGACCTCTTGTGTAGGAGTGCCCTTGAAATCTGGGTGCGTGTTCACGAACTGGTAGAAGTCCTCGAGATAGTTCTTGTAGAGGGTGTTGCGCACGATCTCGATGTTCAATTCGTCCAGATCCTGGTGGCTGAGGCTGCCCTTGAAGTAGCCGGCCAATGGTGTTTCAATCAAGACAGAGTTATAAAGTTCCTCGATGTTCGTGGCCACACACAGTACGGGCAAAGTCTCAAACCAGCCTAAGGGGTGGCATCGCTCCAAAAGCTCACGAGTATCACGTTCATGTAATGTACCGGTAATGAGAAGAGCGATATTATCGATCATATAGCCGTAAGTCAGGTATTCGAGGAATCTGGCCGTCGAGCCTGTGGCCTGGGTGAGCACATAGCGGAATTCAGCGACCAGCTTATCCGTCATCTTGCCGGCAAGGGCTGAGGTAGAGGGGTTGGGAGGAAGCGCAGCGAGGAAGTCCCCATATGCGGGGGCGAGCTGGAGTTTAACATCTGCGGCCAGTACTTGGATAAGTATATAGTAGATAAGTAGCGACATAGGTGTGAGTGAACGGACCATCTATTGTTTCGCATTGGGTCAGGTTGTTGTAGTGCTGGCCAGTGAGGAGGCTGTTCCGATATCCTCGAACAATGCCCTCAACATAGCTATAGAGCATTAGTTCGACGCTGTCGCAAGATCCTAGAGGTAACCCTGAGCCACACATACCCGCTGTTAACGTTGAAGAAGAGACCCTCCATTGTGGAATGACGATGCAGCTCCGGGGGGATTCCAAAACCACTCCGCAAGACAGCTGTTGTATCTATCTCCATGCCCGTCAGTCGCTTCTCGCGTTACGTAAGACGCACCGCCGCACCCACCAGCCACTCAGCCACTCGGATCGCTCTCGCTTTTTTCATTTTTTTACTTTAGACTCGAGGTAAAAAATTCCCGCCAGCAGCGAGAAACCGACTTCCCCAAGCACGCTTTCGGTGGTTTCGTCCACGGTCGCCCTCACTCCCTGGCCTATCCACCATATTCTTAACCTTTCGAGCTGTTAGATTAAATATTTTTTGAACCAGCTGGGAATTGAGGCCGTCCACCATGACGCTGTTTATCCTCACCGAAACCAGCGCGGGTTATGCCCTGCTCAAGGCCAAGGACAAGAAGCTTTTGAAGAGAGATGATCTTGCTACTGAGGCTGCGACGGCAGAGGGTGTTTCGAACCTGTAAGTCATTGCTTTCGCTGCATTCTCGTCGGTGTTGTTCCAATCTCGCCGCACGCGCTCTTGAAGCAAAAAATTTTCCCGTGTGAACGGTCCATCTAACTCTTTCGTATAGTGTGAAATTGAAGAGTTTCCAGAAGTTCGACAGCGCTGCTACAGCCCTGGAGGAAGTCGCCTCCCTTGTTGAGGGCAAGGTTACCCCTCGTCTTGCCAGCCTTCTTGACGAGGTCAAGGATGAAAAGAAGGTCTCTTTGGCCGTTGCGGACCCGAAGCTTGGTATGTCGATCGAGTTTCTGCGCAGTAGACCAGGTTCAGTTATTGACTAAATTTGTAAAGGAAATGCCATTGGCAAGCTTCCCGGTCTCGATATTCAACTTATCGCCGACTCGACCACCACTGATATCTACCGTGCTATCCGTGAACATCTCCCCACATTAATTCCAGGCCTCGCCCCTCAGGACATGTCCACCATGTCCCTTGGTCTTTCCCACTCCCTTGCCAGACATAAGCTCAAGTTCTCTCCCGATAAGATTGATACTATGATTGTACAAGCCATTGGTCTGCTGGATGATTTGGATAAGGAGCTCAACAACTATGCTATGCGTGTGAAGGAATGGTACGGCTGGCACTTCCCCGAGCTGGCTAAGATCCTCAACGACAACCTGGCCTACGCGAAACTCGTTCTGAAGATGGGCATGCGCACCAACTGGGAGTCTTCTGATCTTGCTGAGATTCTGCCCGAGGAGCTCGAGGGCTCTGTCAAGGCCGCCGCGGACCGCTCCATGGGTACTGAGATCAGTGAGGAGGATTTGGAGAACATTCAGGCTTTGGCTGAGCAGGTTGTTGGCTTCACGGAGTACCGTCAGCAACTTGCCGGTTATTTGACCGCCCGTATGAACGCCATTGCGCCTAACCTGACTGCTCTTGTTGGCGAATTGGTCGGCGCCCGTCTTATCGCTCACGCCGGTAGCTTGACCAACCTTTCCAAGAGCCCCGCCAGTACCCTCCAGATTCTGGGAGCCGAGAAGGCCCTTTTCCGTGCCTTGAAGACCAAGCACGACACTCCTAAGTATGGTCTCATCTACCACGCGTCCCTTATCGGTCAGGCTACTGGCAAGAACAAGGGTAAGATGGCCAGAGTTCTCGCCGCCAAGGCCTCTCTTGGTCTCCGTGTGGATGCCCTTGCCGAGTGGGATGACGATGCTACCGAGGAGGATAAGGCTGCCCTGGGTACAGAGGCTCGCTTCAACCTTGAAAGGAAGCTGGCTGCCATGGAAGGCAAGCCCCTCAAGCCCCGTGGTGTGAACATTGCTCCCAACGGTACACCTGCACAGGCCCAGAAATTCGAACTCAACGAGGCCAGGAAATACAACGCTGATGCCGATGCTGTTGATGAGCCTTCTTCTGCCAAGAAACAGAAGAAGCTTGTTGAAGAGGTCCAGGATACCGAGATGGCCGATGCTGACTCTGATGCAGAGGCTGACTCGTCTGATGAGTCGGAAGAGGAATCGAGCAAAAAGAAGTCCAAGAAGAGCAAGGACGCTGACCTTGAGAAGATGGCCGAGAAGGCCGGATTGAGCCTCAAGCGGTACAAGCGCAAGCTTGAGCGCGGCGAGATCCAGTTCGATGCCGAAGGCAACCCTAGCTCGGTTAGCAAGAAGGATCTGAAGAAGGCTAAGAAGGAGGCCAAGAAGGCTGACAAGGGCGAGGAGAAGAAGCGCAAGCGGTCTGACGACAACGAGGACAATGAGAAGAAACAGAAGAAGAAGAAGAAGAAGGACGAGTAAATCATGTCAAAAAAAGTTTTAAAACTGATGGATCGCTACATTATTGTATGATATCACACTTTGTGGGTTCAATTTCTTGTCATTTGCTTGAAGACTTTCTATTTTCTGGGTGGCATTTATAGGATGGATTGGTTCATCTATCCATGGCGCAGCGGTGCTTGTTGGTAAAGGCAGTTAGGTCTAATCTTGATATTATCCATCCATGTTTGTGGCTGTAGTTAGTACGGTAGCGTAAGTATCTCCGGACTATTTGGACCTGCTTTCAATGTCTGTTTTTGTACCACATCCACCTCACACACGACATTTACTCGCTCCAATGATCCATAGTTTTCCATACATCACCTATTTAGCATAGCAAAACAAAAGACAATGTCTCTTACCCCAAACTCCATCTATATTGCTCTCTACATCCGAACCGACCCGCCAATCCCAGACAACTTCCACTGGGCCCTTTACCTTCACCATCATGATACAGGAACAAAATACCATATCACAAACGAAAGCACCGGCTGGATCGCTGCGCATGGCCCGGAATCAGCCATCTTGAAATCCTTTCTCTTGGTCGGCCTTATCCGCATCGCAGATTTTCCGTCTTCTCAGTCTGTCTTGAACGAAGCAGACCGGTTGATACGCAGCTACGATGATCAGGTCAATGAGATGGGGATTACGTGTCGGACTTGGTTGTTGAAGGTGCTGGAGTTGCTGAAGGAGAGGAATTTGCTTTGTTGGGGTAAGGACATGGATTTGGGAGGTCTGGAGAGGGAGGTGATGGATTGGGGGAATGAGGAGGCGGGGGATGCTGTAAGGAATGTACAGCCTCGGCCTGTTGGAGTGTCGAAGGTCTGTGGGTTTGAGAAATAGGATTTGATTTCCATAGAAGGATTCGAGGATACTTCTCTGATTATTGTTATCCAAGCTGGTGGAAAAGAGCAACTAACAAACCCTGCTAGGCATGAAAGAGATGTTGAATCTTCCTCCCCTCTACGGGTACTGTAAATTACTCATTTCCTTCTACAAACCATTTATACTACAACAACATCCGTTCTTTTCTAATGAAGTAAGTAATTTCTAACACGTTGCCCAAATGGATCATTCTATTTACTTCAAGAGACAACCATTGCCGTTCGCTTATGCAGATGCGCTAGGAGCAGCGCTGCTGGCAGCGCCGGTCGGAAGATCACCCATACCGGCCATGTTCATACTGAAGTGATCGTTGACCTCTCCACCAGTCTCAGTCCAGTAACCCTCAGGGGAGAGAGAATCATCCCTCTTGGCGTCAATGCCGATTGAAATCCAGGCGAAGATACCATCCGAGACATCGTCACCAAGCAGAACATACTCCATGAACGGGTCGGTGGTGTCAGCCTCCGTCTCGAGGATGCTATCATCAGAGTTCTCAGTCAACTCCTGCGTGTTAGTCGAGTATGGGGTGTTTTTCTCGACCTCAGTGATGAGGTCCTGATCGAAGAAGATCTGGCCAACATGCGAGGAGTGACCGTCGTACATGCCTGCGATGGTACCGTTGGGCAAGATCTTGGTCTCGTTAGCGGGGTGGGTAACCACTGTGTCAAATTGAGTTGTTAGCAACAATCTTATTCGTTTAGGCAGTCAGTATATCTTCCGTGGGGCATACCGTGAATGTGAATAGCCCGGCCAGTGTAATGGCCAGGGAAGATGGACTCAAATCGGACAACACCGTCGTCGCCGCTCGGTTGAACACCGCGGAGGAACGTGGTGTTGAGGTTGCTGTTATCGTTCGAATTACCGTTACCGTTCGCAACGACACCGGAGTAAACACCCTGGAGCATGTTGAAGTCAGTCACAGAAGTTCAATGGTCAATGGTTAGCTAGAATCGCATTTGGTAGACACACCGTGGCATTGCAGTGCCAGATATCCGTGTAGATGTCAGGGAGAGGGTCACAGGTGTTGGTATCGATGAGTTGGATGTCCATGTAGAGAGGCACACCCTGCTGATCTTCGGCCACATTCTTGCGGATCAGTTCACCAGCGATATCTTCCCAAAGTCAGCTAAGTGAAACGCAAAAATTGTTCCATTAATCGTACAATACGGTCCCTGTGTCACCTCAGGTTGTACAATACATGTACCCTCCGAGCCGAACAGGACGTTAGGGTCGGTAGAAGGGTCAACATGAGTCAAGTTGGAGTGGTGATCCGTCGCCAGCACAGAGTCCAGGTCTCGTGCTTTGAGATAGCGAGCTCCTGAAGATATATCAGTATTCATTCCGTGGTATAAATCTTGTATCCTCGTTTAGAGATCCATGAGCATACCGGTATCCAATCCCCTTTCCCTGCGTAGCAGCTGCACAGCATTCTCACGGCGAGCAACGTTGAGGTTCTCAACACCGCGTGCCTTCAAGCTTGTGGCACAGTGAGCGAGACTGCGTGACTGAATTGGAGCCTTTTGGAGGAAGTTGGCACGTTCAGCAGCTTCTGCTTCGACATTGTGCCCCGGATGAGCGGACACAACACCTGCTATACTAGCAAGGCCGAGAGCAAGGGTAGAAGCAAGCTGGATCATGGTGACTTGATTTAGGGAGGGGGGGAAAGCCTTGAGATAGTTCCTGTGAATCGTAAGAATTGCGACTGAGGACGAGGAAGTGAGCTTTATATACGATGCCTCTACAACCTATGTAAATATGTTAGATCCATTAGGTAACAGCAGATTTTGGCTCTAGTTTAAATACCCACGAATGATGTCTATTCTATTTTGCATCTGCCAATGGTGCTGCAAATCTTAGCACGGTTCCTGTGTGATTGCCGGTACCTGGATTGTACTCCACAAGTGCTTGTGGAACACTGTTTAGGCGCCTACATTTCCAGAAAGTTGTTCTTGACGAGGAATGAGGGCATACAAAACGAGTACTTATGAAATGAGGTCCACATAATTGACGAAGCTTTTGGTATTCTTGAATCTTGACCCAGCTTAGATAAACTTCGAACAGTTCTAGATTGGATACTTCTGAGCTATATCATGGACGGCTTCACTAGCTGCAGCAGTAGTGGGTTATCACTCGGAGTAAATCGATATGTATGTTCACCCCCATTCGCTACTGCAGGCAACGCTGCTTTGATAAATGGGCGAGATTTCCCCTGGCTTGTTACATTCGTCAAACCCACAAAAGCATATATTGATCTGAACTAGATATTCATAGACTGTGTGGATGTTACACAAATTAGAATAAGTTTAATGTCTTACACAATGCATTGAAAAGAATATCATTCACTATACACGACTTTGTACTATGCTAGTAAACACTGTACTATGCTGTATCGCAGCCATTTTCGTGTCTAGCCATTGTAGCTTGAGAAGTATGGATCGTCTACCCCACTGACGAAACTTCAAGTGCTCTCGAAAAACTGCGCCATTGCACTGTCGAATACCGTAACTTCAAACACTCCAATCAGAGACGATTGTATAGCTCTTTGGGCCTACATGTGTAGACCGCAACTAGGGCTATAGTATCGGATTGATCAAGTGCCCAGACCACTTAGCGGGGACCTACCCGCTGAGTCAGCGGGGTTGCATTTCTCCGTGATCAACGGTCCACGCTGATCACTGGAGCATCTCCAATCATCTCCAAGATATTCTTCAGCTTCGCCCACTACGCGATTCCCTAGGCCGGGGTATATATCCTGAATGTTCCTAGAGATGTACCTATCCACAGAAGCCAAGAAAAGATTACGCGGTGAACTAAACGAGGATATGAAATGGAATTTCTTCACGGCTCAGGATAGCCCCACGGCTGTTTAGGATATCAATTGGCTTTCCAAGACTTGTATTGAATGGACGCGCAACCTTGTGGCCCAGCAGCGTTGTGGCCCAGCTCATGGTAGTGTGGACTGAAGGTAGGTGAAAACTACTTGTTCTGGCTACAATTGTTTCGTAGCAGCCCGTGAAATCATGTGCTGTGTGCGAGATTTTGTTATCTGTACAATAGGGAGGAAGGTGGAGATCCTACAACCATAACAAGGATCACATCCGACCTACGCCGAGAATCTAAAAAATGGAGGTCTTGGCAAGGAGCCGGAGGCCGTCGGTACCAGGCATGCTCCGCTTCCGTGGACATCCTGATTTATGGAGTACGGCTTCTTGGTGATCGAGAAGTTCCGCAGAGGATGGAAGATGCGTTGTCCCCGGCTGGAGTGGAGGAGTGTATCTCCTCGAGAAGTATAAAGGTCCCTCGGTCTTTGACACTCATCAAGCCATTCACGCCCTTGGCCATACGTCGACTGTCATTGGAAATCAAGCATGTTCGTTTCAAAGCTTATTTTTGCTGCTCTAGCAGCGACAACTGCAATTGCTCATCCTGGCCCTGATCATGCCGTGCCTCATGCAGAGATTCAGCGGCGTAGTGGACTAGCCAAGGAATGTGCCAACCACGCTGCGGATTTCAATCGACGCCGCATGGCGAAGAGAGCAATGCAGAAACGCTGGGAAGGGTCCGGCCACAACACGACTTTCGAGATTACCACAGACGCCCCTTACTATGACACCATGCAAAACGATACTTGTGTCCTCAGTCCCGAGGTAACCCAGGGTCCCTACGTCTGGCCGCGCTCTCAGACTCTGCGTCAGGATATGACGGAGGATCAAGCAGGTGTGCCTTTGTGGCTTGATGTGGGAGTCCTCGATATGGCGACCTGCGAGCCCTTACCGAATGTTCTCCTCGACTTCTGGCATTGCAATGCAACTGGCTCTTACTCCTCCTTTACTCACCTTTCGCCCAATACCGAGTTTGAAAAGCTTCTGGTTGAGCTGAACATCACCGATTTCGAGATTGGTGTTACCGATCTCCATACGGATGATACTACCTTCTTGCGGGGAATGTGGCCCACTGACGAGAATGGAGTCATGGAGATTAAGACGATATTCCCAGGTGAGACCTAGCAAAGTGTGAGGCAATAGATCTCCGGCCATCAAACACTAATGCATCTGTGTACCATAGGATTCTACGTCCAACGGGCTATTCATATACATGTTCAGGCGCACACTGACTGGAGTGTCCGAGGAAACGGCACAATTGTTTCCGGCAATACTGTAAGCACCGGACAGCTCTATTTCGATGAAGCGCTTTCGCAGAAGATTATGAGCTTGGAGCCTTACGCCTCACACACACAAATCAATCGCACCACCAACGCACAAGACACTATATTCCCTGAAGGTACTGACGGAGGATTTAATCCCGTTGTATCCGTCGTCCCAGCGGATGGTGAGGATATCAGCAAGGGAATGATTGGATACATTACTATCGGTGTAGATACGGCAGCGATTGAGACGGTTAAGAAATAGTGGTCTATATTAGATCAGGTCTTCAGAGTTTGATGTGCAAGGGTTACTTAGACTTGTAGGAAGCTTAATAAGATGGGTTTTTCTTAAGAGTAGTAGCTCTAATATTGGAAATAAATACATGAATGAAAAATAAAAATAACCAAAACAGAGGGAAATGAAAAATAGGTGATTCATATCTAAACTTGAACAAAATTCAGCTAAATAGACTTAGTGTTTCAGGGGTTCAATTGTGGTGGCTCGTTACTATTACTTTAGAACTTAAGTACGTACAACTACTAGTGATACCTGGGAGTGAGTGGGTCATGCTTTAAAACCAAATTTATCATGTGGAGGTTTCGTGACCCGGTGAGAACCCGGGGGAAAATCCACCATCCCTATTAGGCCTTTGATTGTCCAGTCCACTCCTACGGGCAAAGTCAATTCTTTTGTTCACGTTGCTACATTATTCCAGAATTATCAGGTTGCTCAGTTCTACCAGGAGACCCATCCTAGCAGCCAACTTCATGAGCGGATCTGCCGTCGCTTCACGTGGTGGAAGAGTGCGGACTGCCTGCGATCTATGTCGGCATCGGAGGGTAGGTAAAACGGCAACTAAGTTGTGGGGTACTAAATTAGAATCACTAATCATTGACTTTTTTTTCCCATTATGCGTAACAGATTGGCTGTGACAGAGCGAAACCAGCCTGTGAAACGTGTTCCCTTGCAGGGGTGCCTTGCACTTTCACTCCGACAGCGCAGCAACGGAAAAGTGTCCGCGAGTAAGATACCAGCAGCCATTCTCCCAACGAACTCCATTAACCCTGTCATAGAGAGCTGGCCGATGCGAAAGCTAGAGTACGACATTTGGAAGAAGCATTGAAGGCTGAGAGAGAGAACCGCCTGAATTCGGACCAATATACGCCTCCCAAAGCTCTTTCAAGCGGGAGCAGTCCTCTTGAGGTCCCTCACCAGTTACTCAGTTCGTGGTCGGCCACCACTTATTTGCTTGAATCATACAGCTTCGATGCAGCGCTATCAAACTTTCGGTGGCATCTGGGGTTCTGTGGTCCCCGCGCCGCTCCTTTTGCTCTGACACCAAGCTTCTCCTCCACCGTTTACGAACGGACGGGGTTCGTTCTCAATATTGAGGATTTCTTAAATCAACTAGCCCAATCATTCAAACTGCAGTATCCAACACATTCCACGAGGACCATCGTTCCGAAATGGCCTCCGCAGTCTCTGATACAGCGTTCAATAGAGTACTTTTCGAAAAACAGACTCTATTCCATTTTCCCAGCTGTCGACTTGGAAAATACCCCCATCCATCTCGATCCAAAAGCGCTTGGCAATCCCGACAGCACAACCAGTCCTGCCAACTACGCCTGTCTGGTTGCTCTAACGGCTCTGGTTACCCGAATCCGCGGGGACGACATGGCTTTTGCTGATGCCGACCCTGATGCGTACGTGCAAGCAGTGCTGACTTTGTTACCCGAATTGATCATAGACAATGCCAACTTACGAAGCCTTGAAGCTCTCATTTTGTTAGTAAGTGGCTTTGGCGGTCCTTAGATCAAGGCATATCTTTAATAGTTACAGGCGCTATATATTGCTCCCCTTGGTCAACCGCGGCCGGCAGGAATCTTACTTGCTATGGCTACACGGATGCTGTATAATATGGGAGCAAACCGAAACAGGGCACCCCCTGATGAGACGTTAGAGCAGAGTCAGCACCGCCAACATGTGCGGGCTCTGTTTTGGCTGTGCTACGCCATCGACAAAGAAATGTCGCTTCGAGAATGCAAGACTCCTTTGATCAACGATGCTGACTGTGACCTGTATCTGCCGGCCGCTTATGTATCGACTTCCTCTGATCGGTCGTTCTTTCCAGAACCTTTATCAACGAAAGAGCTTCTCTTCCCATCAGACCTTCGTCTTGCCCTAATAAAATCCAAAATACAACATTTGCTGTACTCTGATCATGGTATAGCCCAGCCTGAAGCGAGGCGGATTCAATACATACGTGAATTGGATCAGGAGCTGAGCGACATCAAATCGAACTTTCCGGTAACGTGTCAACCGGAAGACGTCTTGGACCGAAGCGTGCCCGACTCCTTGCTTCACGATCTTAGTCTACGGGGTGTGAACATACATCTGGAGTACTACTATTGTCTAGCAAAAATTCATGGAGCAAGCAATAACGGAAGTATACCATCACCTCAGAGCTGGTCCCTATTACCGTCTAGTATGGAGATTTGCCACCAGTCAGCACGGTCCACTCTACTCTATCTCAGTCGAGTGCGCCATCTTATACTACCCGAAACGTTCTGGTTGGTATGTCCTTTTTAATTGAGCGTGCATGTTCAGCTAATTTTGGATGCACTCGTTTGTGACAGGATCTACGCTCAATTTCTGTTTACTGCAGTAGTCTCTCTCTTTTGGCAACTGATTACCACCGCTCCTCCCGCGTCAACTTCCGAGGAAGACCTGCAGATCATAGAGGAGACCGCAGGTATATTCACTGAACGCAATCGAGATAACCAAGAGGCGAGTTGCTTTCCTCCGTTCTATCTCACTGAACCTTTCATCCAAAGATTGGTCTTCTTAGCAAGACAGTCACTATACAGGGCTGCAAATCAGTGATCATACACCTATCGAGTTTCAGTGCGAAAAACATGCACATGACACGATGATAGCTTGACGATTACTTCTGAGTAACAATCAACCCTAAGCTATCGTGTCCCACATGGACTGAACGAAACAGGTATAAGAGAAGCCTCGAATGTTCTAGCCCTGTGTAATTCATGATCCATGGCTGTGCGGTATGTATTGCAAATTTCTCCTACTGAGCCCTGTATGAACTCTTGGAGTGCCGTATTTACACAGCTTTAATTGCAGTGTGCCAAATCAAATCGTACGGTGGCAATGTCAAATTGTCCACAAACAGATGGAGGAAGTAAAGATCAGAAAATCATCGACAGATGGTTAAGATGAGTTTGGACTCTCATTTCTCTAACATAACAGCAAATTGCTGTGCACTGCAATGGGCTGGTGGAAACTCATCCACGGTGCCGAGCATAAGCCAGTTTCCATCTCCAGGGTTGTGGAACTGAAGCTTATCATGGAACGGCCGTAGCGCCGCGACCTACATTAAACCATGCATCTTGCATCCAATTGTTAAACTTACTGGCCGGGTTTTTCTGTCTCTTCATAATATCCTATACCGCCCAGTAGACATGTGATATACAAATGAATCAGACCTTGAAGTTTAAAAATGCTATTAAAATCAGTGATCTACATACCAGATACCCCTAAAGCAGACGCCCGAAAGGCGGAATCATATAAAAACATATCCACACCGCCCGATTCTGCCGTCAATATCTCTTCAATTTTCCCATTCCCCTCACATTTTCACTACATTACCTATTATATGAAAGAAATCCCAAGCACACCAAAGACACATAAACAATGAGGGTATGCTTCCAATCCCTAGCCCCAAGGACACCACAGCAAACCTAACATTAAAACCCCAGGTAATCGACCCCCAATCGGCAGTCCTCACCAACATCGAGGTCCTAGCCTACCTAACAGCAAACCCACCACGCCGACCCCCAAACCCACCCCCAAACCTCCGACACTGGGTCCCAAGTCCAGACCTACGAGACCACAATACTGTCGTTAAAGAGGTACATTTTCCCCGCTACCTCCTCCAACCAAATCCAACTTCACTCGAGCACACACACATCTACAAAAGAACCAAGAAACCAATCTTACAAACACACACAAAACACCAATCCAGCAATCCAGTGTTCCCGAAAGAGAGCGAGGGGTAAATGGAGAGAGAGAGAGAGAGAAAGGAAAAGCTAACATAGTTCTACTACCCAGATCCACAACTATGTCTCCCGCCTCTCACCCCATCTCTACAAATACCCAAAATATACCCACCAAAGCCCCGAACAACTCCAACAACTAGCTCAATCACAATCTCAAACCGATACCCCAACCCTCCCGCTCATCCAATCCAACGCGCCGACACCTATGGACATCGCGCTTCGCGATCTGATTACCCAGTTACAGCCCTATGGGTTAACGAAAGGCGAGGTATTGATGATTGTTAATCTGGGTGTGGGGATGCAGGATGCGCCCGCAGCTGCGGGTGAGGATGAGCAGGAAGAAGGGGGGAAAGGGGAAGGAGAAGGTGGGGAAGGGGAGGGGGAGGGGGAGGTTGTTAATGGGAATGGAGACGGGATGGATGTTGATGTTAATGGGGAGGGGGCTGCGGAGGGCGAGGGCGAAATGGGGGAGGAGGATTATGGGGCGCTTGCGCTGTTGGATACTGTTATTGAGGAGAGGGAAGAGCGGTTTAGTGATGAGGATGTGGTGGCTATTTTGAATATTATTCGGGGGACGTTGGGGAGGGGGCAGGGGATGAATGGGGCTGGTTAGGTTGGTATCTTTTTTTTTACTTTTATTTCTTTATTTTTTTTTTTTTTCTTCTTTGATGGATTAGATGGGGGTTGGATGTAGGTTTATTTACTTGGACTTTTTCTTTTTTTGGGGGGTTATGAAAATGATATCCATTGGTTTTTGGTGTTTTATTTGGAAGATAGGTAAATGTTGTAGGTATCTCATGTATGTCTTGGATACCTGTGAATAATTATCGTACAAGAATGTCAATAGGCCATTTCTGGAGGAAACGAGATCCGTTGTATCGGTAAGGCACGGTTAAGAATATTTGGAAACCGATTATCGTATGTATATAGATGCCATGGAACATGGTCGATGGCTTGCGCTGCACTGGCAGCCAGATCTGAAAATATGTGCAGGAAAATGAAAATGGGGATGCCGCATTCGATGAAACAACGAGAGCTGTGGTCGTTCATTTTCGAATTTGGGTGCAGGCAAGCACCTGGTGATTGTGGCGCGACGGGCATAATTCAAGCAAACAAGTGCAATCAGTCTTCTTTGCCCTTGATCAACTGGCCAAACTGGTTGTAAACCGGCTCATCGGAGTCTCCGGCCTCTTTCCTCCACTTTCCGAAGCCATCGTTGAACAGATCCCGTTCATAGCCCACGCAAACTTCGCTGTAATCAATCCACTCGCCTTTCTCGGTCCAAATACCGCCCTTACCGCCCCGCAGATCCCACCACTCTTGGCCTCCTAGTAAGGCCGACTCCGCGGCTTCGAACCCGCTCGGGGAGCGCACATACTTGCGAAGAAGAGCTCGTGCCCAGGGGTGATACCACATCTTGGACCACCACGTATCTCGCAGCTTTGGGTCTCCGTCTAGATGAACCAGGGCAGGGACGGCGGCCGAGTGGATATTGGTCAGCAGGGGGAGATTGTGCCAGGAGCGATGCTGGGGGTTTGGGAGGGTGTCCAGCGTAGCATTGTAAGGGGGGTTGAGAGGTTCATCTTTGCCAACCTTGGGTTGGATAAATGGATTGCTGACTTGCTCGGGGTTAAGATCCTCGGGAAGCAGAAGGCGCCTCTCCCGTGGGACGCCATGCTGCATCTGGACGGAGGATGTCTTGGAGACATTGTTGTACTGTAGCCATTCCACGTCGTTCTTAGAATTCCACATGTTAAAGAAAAGTCGTGATTCATAGTCAACGCCAATACCGTACTCATACCGGTGACCGGTCTCCAGACGCGGATTCAGCCCTGTAAGATTCGAGGCTTCAGAAATGCCGATCTGTGTATACATCCATTCCATGAATGGGCCAGAAGTTCTGCGCCTTTCCAGTTCCCGTACGTACTCTTGCCGTCCGAATAATTGGGTCAGAGCGACATAGTCCCCTTGCGCATTGTGGTTGTGTTCAACGAAGCGCAGTATCTCGGCATAGATTGCCTTCAGATCTGCGACTTGGCCGATCACTGCACCTGGCTTGATCCACCGCGGTCGAGTAAGGGTGCCGTCCGGGTAGTGGTCGGTCTTCCACCCATAAATGTCTGGGGGGAGGCTGGACTCCGGTGCTGCAACACATCCTGCATCACGAGAGAGGCCAGGGCAGCACTCCTTGCTGGCGCTGAATAGGACTCTTTGGGTATACTTTTGCACTGTCTCCGGGGGGGTCTGTTCAAAAGCCTTTTCCACCATCACAAGACCGTACTTTTCTTGCAGTTTCGCATTGTTCTCCTTCAGAAGCTTTTGGAATCGTTGGATCAACACGTCTGGAGGTAATTGGAAGAAGAAGTCTGCCCCATCGACGATGAGGACGAAGTCATTGTCTTGTACGTGCCGCGTTTTGTCGAGGAATTCATATATGCCGGCGATTCGGTCCTTCATAACATCATATTCTTTAGCCCCGTCGGGAAGTTGTTTTCCATAGTTAATCAGCGTTGGGGGCGGATAGTTCAGAATCATAGCGGAAGTCAACATGCGACAAAGGGCGGGGGATTTTCTCTTTGCAGGAATGACGAGGTGGAATGAGGGGTTATTCTTCTGGAGGTTGCCTGGAAGCGTATCGTTTCTGGTGAGGGTAGGTCTCCCCATATGAACGATTTGCAGGTCTTCGGGACGATCTTGAGAGGAACGATATGATGGATATTTTAACCAGTAGTTGACGGCTGGCTATAGACGGAACAGTGGTTAGTCTGTATGCTGAGGTATTCATTCTGTGATAGCTCACCTCAGCGGGAGAATGCGACAGAAGGACAATGAAAAGCAGGAATGCTGTAACTGCAAGGAACAGAATTCTCGTCGGTCGAGCCCTCGGTCGAAAATGGTAAAGCTGCTGTATGTGCGTCGTTACCGTAGATCGCGCCGAATGATATCGGTCGGCCCAGGGGCCATTGGGAGCCCCCAAAGTAGCCATTCTAAAGGCGCGCGAAGTATACGTTGAGCCTTCAGTTGAGACAAAGTCCTTGGGCAAGGACAGGCAGTCCAGGAGACGTCAGTCCTGCTGATCGTGCGAGACTGACTTCAGCGTTCAGCGAACGTGGCTGGAGATCACCGGAAGATAAGCATTCCTGCAGTAAGATCTTTGATCAGAGTGATAGGAACTCAATGACAACAGCCCGGTGCCATATCGTGTCGGCGCATTAAAAGTATTCAGTCGGGGGGGAAAATGACGACAAGATGGTGAAAAGAACCAGAAAATGATAGCGGACGTTACAGCCGCCAAAACTTAAGATGGCAGACTGTCAACGAAAGAAGAGGAAGTGGGTTTATTAGAGTTGTATGACCTGAAGTTTAAAAAAGCGTACGTTGCAACAAGCGATGAATTGCGACGAGATTGGGGGGTGATTTACGTAGACGGTGGGGACGCTTTTCGCATTTTCCGCGTGCGACAGGAGTTTATCTTTTGACTCCCCACGGCTCTTGACTGAAGTCTGGCCCGCAATATTCATTCACTTGAACAGAATAAATCCGGATAGAAATTACCACAGGAGTTGCAGTGATCATTTCGCCAAGAATGACAGCTAATAATGAAGCCTTATGCCATATCTTAACTCACCATCAGCCGCGTCATCGGTATATCTCGTCATCCCCGGTCTTGGCCCGTTCCATGTACGTGTCTTAACGCATCTCAGACATGAAACGTTTCTAGTCTAGTACTATATACACAGCCAAAAAATGCAACCTATCATTCAAGGTAGATCTCCTCCCGTAGTCGCTGCAGATTTTTGAAGATACCACCTCCCGGCCCTTCACTTTCCTGGCGCCGATGGCCAACTGGTGGCCTCCCCTGTTGCTGAGATGAATTGACTTTACCCTGGTTCTCCAGCGTCCGCCGCCGGTCATCGATCATCTTCGCCAAACTGCCCACAAACCTAGTTCGCGCCTTCTCCTCTGCGGTTCCTTTCCACACGGTTGCCAGCACTCGTAGAGTCTCAACCCGCCTCGTAGCAGCTTCCAACCCTTCTTCCCCTCCCCCATTGCTATCGAGAAGCTCCGTCACTTCGGTGCGCAGCTTCTTCGCAACCTCCTGGCCCTTCTCCTCTTGACTCTGAGCCTCTGAGCCTGGTTCTGGGGCTGACACAGAAATGAAAGACGACGTCAATGAAGTCTCAGACGGCGGTAGCGGCCATTCCATAGAATCTCCAAAAGTCTGGACAACTTCTTCCAGGCGGGCTCGTACTTGGTTCAGGGTTCGTAGCTTCTTGATAAATTCAGGATCCTGGACAGTCTCCTCTCCATTATCCACTACCTGCGTCTCTTGTCCGTCGTCTTCTGATTCCGGATTGCCCTCCCGGTTCGATTCTACGGTATCCGGAACGAACCTCGCAATATCATCTTGTAAGGCTTCCGTCAGGGTCTCGGACAGCCCGATTGCTTCGCCGCGCAGCACTTCAACTTCGTAGGCAAGGCGATTGCCACTCCGTAAAATTTCATCAGTAATCTGAGTCAGATTATTTGAGAGTCGAACGTTCTGCGCGTTTATCTGTGTAAGAATCGATTGCACTTGGGTCGATAACTCGGCAAGGGGAACGGCCGTCGAGCCCCGAGGGGTATAGGATTGTGGTGACGCCAGCGTCAGCGGAGGAAGGACATCATTCAGGAATTCAGCGGGGTCAAAGGATGGGTCGGTGAAATCGGGCGTGATATCGAACGAAGGTCGTGAGATGGGTGTTCGGGCAGCTGCGCGAGCTGGTCCGGGATTCTGTGATGGAGCCATTTATTTGGGTAAGGAGCACCTTTGCGGAGGCATTGGGGGGGCAAGGGTTGCCCTGAGAAGTGCTATAGCATGAGCTAATTCAAGGACGTCGGTCTTCAAGTTGGAATGAAGACGGTCTATAGCTATCTAGGTACAGGGCAGTGGGAGGTAGCCTGTTGTCCAGACCTCCGGCAATGCGACGCCCACTGCGCCCCCACGAAATGGATTCACCGCCTTGGACTACTCCGTCCGTCCCTATTGCCTACATTGTATGTGGGAACATGAGGCCAGAAATCAATATATTATTTCTTGGATTACACTTAGGACTCGACGATGACCAGGCTCAAAGAGAGACATATCAATTATTGACAATGAATAGCAAACTATATCTGATTAATCACACAACCAAGCTCAATCTTCACCCAAGCAGAGACAGGGAAGAGGATGGGTATCGTCAGTCCATTCAAACAACAAAAAGAAACCAAGATTAGGAGGTATAGAAAAGCACGAAACTGCCTGCGAAAGGCCTCATCATTATAAACACGCAGTTGAAAATCAGTCAGAATTACCGTATGTCGTTCAAAATCAGTTATCTCGTATCCTTTGGGATTTGGGAGGATTCATTCGTCAAATATCCTCGACCACCCGTGCGTTCATAGCGCGCTGAAAACCATCGTCTACATTGCCGGTTCCGTAGCGGCTAGGTCCCTCGCCGGCATTGTCAGCAGCGGCAAGTTGTTGCTGCACGCTTTGATTCATGGCAGGCAAGAATATGACTTTGCTGTTTGCTGTCTTGGCCATCGCTTGCATCGCCTCGAGGTACCGGATTTGCATAGCCGGAGCAGAGGAAAGAATATCAGCGGCCTAGAGTGGAAGATTAGCTATTACTCGCCAATTTATCGTGTACACAAGAACACATACCTGACGCATCAACTTGGCCGATTCAACTTCGGCGCGAGCGGCAATGACCTTACTCTCACCAATTCGCTTAGACTGAGCCGCCATCGAAAGCGAATCCTGCAAATCATCGCTGAAGATAATATCCTTAATAAGCATGGACTCGACCTGCACACCCCATCCGGCTGCTACGTCTTCGATGATCTCCGAGGTCGACTGGGCAATCTCCTCACGGCGTTCAATCACATCTTGCAAGACTCTCGCTCCGATGACATGGCGCAAAGTGGTCTGAGTGCGCTCCACAAGCGCTTGTCGTACATTGCTGATACCGAAAGCAGCTTTGTGGGGCGAGACGATTTGGTAATAGATGACAGATGTCAGGTTCAACGTGACATTGTCCTTGGTCATACAGACCTGACGAGGCACCTCGACGATCTGGATTTTCACATCGACTGCGGTTAAGTGCTCACTCAGGGGGTTGACTTTAACAAGGCCAGGGTCGACTGCACGTTCGAAGCTGAAGACTAAGTTAGTACAATCATCTTTCTTCGCACTTCCATTCACGGGGCTCACGAACCGTCCAAACTTCGACACGAGACCAACTTCACCTTGAGCTACAGGCTTATAGGGGTTCGGGCAGCAGATGCAGCAGGGGATAGCACCGAGGAATCCAATGCATTCTCCAAGTGAATGAACTACGTTAAGAGGTTAGCCGTCGCGAGTCCGAAATTACTTGGGAAAACACTTCAAATGAAGCAAACCAAGGTGGGGAAAAAATAAAATCGGACACTTACTGAGGCCTGCATACCACCCATGAGCCTCCGGATTCTCAGCATCGTGCTCCAGCCTCTGCGCATACCTCGGCTGCAGATCGGCCAAGCGCGCGGGTTGGACACTGACAAGACCGGAGCGGTGTTGATGGCTGCCGGGCTGAGCGGGCGCCTTGCCGTTTACTACTGAGTCTTCGGCAGACATGTTGGATATGTTTCAGAGAGTGGGGGAAATAACAAGAGAAGGTTGCGGGTCAGTGAAGCGTAGATTTCTTCTCAAATATTTCGACGTAAACAAGTTCCGACGGGGTGGTCGATGATACAAGGTTACAGAGAATAAGAGAAGAGTTGGAATATATACCGTTAGCAGGACCGAAAATGAAGGGAAGATGAACAGATTAAATAACAAGTTGATTTGGGATGTTAGTTACTTCTCACTATGCATGAGCTAAGTGTTGCCGATGGTTGACCTTAAGGCATCTTCTCCGCTTCTTGAATGGGTCCGGGTGGGTTCCGGGCAGTGGTGGGGCCATCACCCCGTTTTCAGCCTAGCTTTGATCGAGCTGGGCGCATTCGTTGGCTGCGGCGCAGGTTGTTGGAAAAGACCCATAAAGAAGGATGGCCTAAGGTTTCTCCCAAGGCTGAGTCATTTCCTTGGCCCCGTTGGTTCAACTTGGTTGCTGGGTGATCAGGTGCTTTTGGTGCCGCCGCCTCATAGGTTGGCCCGCAAAAGACTCCGATTGAAACTCTACATTAGTGAATACGAGTTACCCTTTTAGGGAGCCCAAATGAAAATGATCCTTGGGAGATTTTATGCCATCCCTGAAAAATTACATCATGCTAGAGACAGCACCGCCCGCCCTTACTCCACGTGAACATACTTTTGGCCTATCCAGCAATGCTTCCAGATGTCTTCTAGTGGCCGCCATTGACTTCTACACGATACGTCATGCTAAACAATAGCTTAGACCTTGCACTGCCCTGGCTCGACTCCGAGTTACAACTACAAACATATCCTCTTAACTTAAACTTCTGCGGTAGTTCTGTCATGCTGCAGGGTCTTCTGTCGCTGCAACATGCACGCCCCTAATATGCTCCGTGCATAAGACAGACCCTGGTCAAAATTCTTTCGGATAATATAATCCCAAGTACATACATATGATTATACAAATCCATACGCCGTATCAATACTCCAAGATGGGAATTTCTCGGGCTGGGCAAAATAAGCCCAGCCGAGTCTACCGTTCTTTGCCCTACTGTTGGGCGCAACGGGGCTATGCACCATCCTTCGCGTGTTACCAATCACTGCCCCTGGTAGACTGACGAAGCACCAATCCCAAAGTGCCAAGCGGTGTGCCGATCACCAGCATGTCTCAATGGCACGTTTACTCCATAGCCCTTCCACTTCCATAGTACCCTTCTTATCCAAAGAACAACCCGCTTAGTTGCCACTCCTCAATGTTGCTTTGGGCTGCATAGTACAGTGAAACCTCGAAGGGATGGAATGGTGAACTTGGAAAACAGCTGAATCTCCCCAACTCAGGCAATCTTGGCCGAGCTTTGGGGGCCCTTTTTGCTTGAAATTATAGTGGGTCGGCCTCATATTTGTGTAAACCTTATGCTCAATTGTTTATTTGGGGTCCTCTATCAGTAGTCTAGGAGAGCTAACACTTTTGTGGAAAATGCAGAGCCGCGTAGCGGAGCCTTCTGATGTGATATGCTTTTAATATACAAGCTCTGCCTCGATCTACTGAAGTGTGGCAGTGCCGATTATCCGAAAATAATCGCCAGTGATATAGTCATCCCTTGTTGGCACTAGGCTTGGGGCAGTGTCTAGCATCGGTGCTTCGATATAGACTGCATACTTGGTAGCGACGTTCGCTTCATCCTACCAAACCAGTCAGTTAAGCATACATGGCCAATCATATCCAGTCATTGACGATATCAAGCAAACGAGCGAGCGACTCGATCACCGGGTATGCCCTGGAAGAGGCATGCCTTTGGTGTGACACCTGAGAAACGCCCCGGCGCCATTTATAGCGTTGTCGGTTAAATTCAAGTCACTGTTGGGGTCATTGACTGTGTACCGTCCATGAATAGTGACATACCAAACCTTCGCTACGCAGGTATAGGCAAGACATTGATCAGTTACTTTGAATATATGTTGCAAGGGCACGCCATGTGTTTCACCCCTGTATCTTCTGAAGCCATGAATTCTTATACATGAGTGCGTGGATCTTTACATGGCCTCCTCTAGTTTGTTAATCATGAGACGCTGGCCTGAAGATATTCTATCAGGGGCTCCTTGATCCGTCTGGCTAACATTGCGTCTACATTAGGCGTGATGGATTCTCGTCACTTAACACGGGACACCAGGGATGACCGTCGCCTGGGAAGATTAATATCGCACTACACCCATAATTTAACCGATGCGCCGCAGGTTGTGTTGGTGTGAAGTATAATCAAGAAGAACGGTGCAATTATCGTAACTTTAATGGATTGATCTTATTCTACAAGAAGACGGAAGACTTCTCTAGGAGCGTGGAAGCACAGTGTTAAAACATTTTAGGAATACAAGGTTAAAAAGCTCAATTCCTTCAATAAGAAGCATCATTGGTCTAGTGGTAGAATTCATCGTTGCCATCGATGAGGCCCGTGTTCGATTCACGGATGATGCACTTACTTTTTATTATTATTGTACTCTTACTAGTTCATTTTCTCGCCTCACTTCTCATCTCTATGAGCCACATGGCCGCCATTTTCTTTTTAACCTAGATCATCAACATACTTGGAAACTCGAGTTCACATTTAAAATGACTATAGCACCTTATATGCACACTGTTTCCGAGTGGCGTTTAATAATCAGAGAATACCAATCAAAAGTACACATAAAGACAGTAAGAGCGAAAGCCGAACAGGGGAATTAATTAGATGATGGAGCCCGGTTCATTAGAGACAAAGGTACTTCTCATCACTTCTTTGAAGATCTCGGAGGGAGTACGTGCATCTATCATCAGATCTAATAAACCACTAAGAAGCTCAGCACAGCCCACGTTAACAGTATCACATTACCCAATCACCATCTCTTCCTTTGAATAGCGCAAGAGTTTCTCTACAGACGCCTCACATATTGCAGCTGAAATTACCTCCATGTTATGCTCAACTGTACAGACCTTACCAAAGTTCAACCGGCGATATAGGGTTCAGCCATTGGTCATGCGTGGCCTATAGGAACCAGATAGGTAGTGTCACAAACGGCTCCCAATGGATTCCACACGAGGGGGTACATCAGTTAATTGATGCAGAAATTGTTCAGTTGCAGCCCTCTAGTATTTCTGAATACGCCATGCGTGTATCCCCTACTAAAGGAGGGTTTCAATGGCAATCATAAGGGCCACCATTCAAGCGCGAAAATGACTCCAAGACTAGAGGTTTCCAGATCGCCGTCATATGCGCAGGAAGTAAATGCAGTCCTATGGATCTTTGACAACTGCCGGTATACATAGAAGAAAAAGTAATGATGACCCCCAGCTTTACTAATAGGCAACCGGGATGTCGTTCTTGCTCATCCACCAAGCATGGGTAAAGTACCGCTGCTTGCGCAATGAGCTATAAAATACCAAGCTAGCGCTTTTAGTCGCTGTTTATGGAGGAGTCCCATTTACGGGGAAGGGTAACACGGAAATTCTTCTTGGGAATGGCATTATTAGCAAAGAGTTGTTCGGTCTGGTCTGAGAAGACGATTTCCGATCAGTTCAGAAGGAGCAAAGCGAAGGAAATGTTGCGAAAACCAAACGATCTAATCCATTCCCTCCTAGTGAAGTTGGGGGCATCATTAGCTCGAAGACTCTGGAACAAAATATCCGACATGCTCTCGGGTCTGGATTATATTGAGCCATCATATCAGAAAGTGGATGGATTGTTTGGGCCTAAGTACTGTCACAGAGAATACCATTTTCAGGGCCGTGTGGATTGCGCCAACTGTATAGATTTCACAGATTCTGTTTATGGAACCGTTTTGGATCCTGTTTGCCGGGAGAATGGCTGAGGTGAGGCACAGCTGGTTTGACGCCGGCGGCATAACCAGAAAAACCAGCTGACGGTATGATCTGCCTAATCATCCCTGGGGGTAGTGTTGTCAAGACCGATGTGCACCGTGATAAACTGATGATATTGCCACGGAGACGAATGCCACTGCTTTTGAGAAAGACGGGGCAGGTGTTTGTGATACATTTCTTTGCGTGGTGATTAAAGGGGTCTAAGAGCAGGATATGACAAGAAAACACAGCAAAAACAGCTGTTGTTTGTACAAAAGCTGTCATAGAAAAACGATAGGACCATAAGGATGGAGCCAGATTTAGCGAGCCGTTACGAACGTACAGCGATGTTGCCAAAGCGAGGCATCGCGCATTGTTTGCGCGAGTGGTGTTGAACATGTGGGTGGAGGCATAGACCCATAAAAGGGCATTGTATAATCACCATCTTGTCCAGAGCATGGATATAACCGGTGTGTAATATTGATGTGGTATGTTCGTGGACAGTTGGGATGCTAAACACTCACGACTGCTGCCTGAGGTATTCCTCACCTGATCTACCAGCCCCAATTTGGTAAGTTAGCAAAAGCCCTAAGCCAGCCAACGTCGAGAATCATGGAACTACATATCTTTGTGTCATTTCTCTCAACGGGGGCAGGGCAGGTTATCAAAATTCCAGTAATCGGAGGCCCGGGCCTTATTGCAGTCGATAGAATCGCTAGGTATTGTGTGTGGGTATGTACCTCGCAAGTGGATATCTTGAGCGTTGGTGGTTGATAATCTGCGGACAGGATTGCTTTCTGTTCTGGAAATTAGTTGCTTGCGGTAATCTGCTTGTAGGATGGTATTCATAGATCGATGATATATATCTCCCACGGGGCGTGAAGTTCTCACGGGTCGATGAGAAGCGTGCGGTGTCTCCGGACTTGTCACTTCCCTGTAGGCCTAACACATCACCCCAGGATGTTATTGGTCATGTTAGACATCTGATTTGCCTGCGTTTGCATGGGTTTAACCCGCATTCACATCCCACGGCTCGTAGTCCTCTTTGTTTGTAGGTTACATGCCTGCACAGCGGCTACGCAGCAACAACCCCTAAACACAAATTCCCCTGATAACAGATAGTTTTCTAGATATTTAAGCTTGTCATTTGGTAGATGGGTACCACTATACTATCCATAAAACCTGATATAGCCACGCTAGTCCCGATGGGGTCATGTCGATGGAATCTCAATATAAAAGTCTGTATTTTGATTTACACTTTTAAAACTTCATATCTTTCTTCTCTAACAAACTATTCCAACAACTAAAGCATGTTAGCTCAGGGGAAGAGCGCCGGGCTCATAACCCGGAGGTACGATTTATCCTTTCATCAGCCAATTAAAATCTGATTCCTAACAAAAAATAGGTCCCTGGATCGAAACCAGGACATGCTAGACGGTTAAATAACTTTTTGATATGTCAGGAGTCTTGATATTGATCGAAGGAGAGTGTTGGTGGGTTATTTTTATAAATTTTTGCTACCTATTTCTCTCCACTTGTATATTAGAGTTATACGTACCTACTATCTATCTGCTCATGTCTTTTAAATGCCAGGAAATGGGTTAAAAGTGGTCCCTTGAGTGTGTTCTATATTTTCCCTTTGCCGAGAAAAACTCTGCCGTGTGTCGGGATATGACTCGGAAGGCTGACAGTGGTTCTGCCGTTATTGTGTAGTATATGCCACACCGCTCGACTAGCCACCAATGATATGTAGCAACCTTTCAATTAGTCACAAACAGTTTCTGTTTTCTTCGGGATCCATTTTGTTACAAGGCTTCGATGAAAGTTATGGAAGTATGGCTTATAATGCACCATAATATTAAGTAAAGAGGATACTTCAGTACTGTACACCTTGTTTCCGGCACGCTAGACTACGAATTTGTTTGGCATCACTGTAGCATTATCTGTCGTCAATCTGGTGTCATTGTGATATTGTTCATTATTAACGGGCAGCTAGGGCTGCGTCGCCAGCCACGTGATGTTGATAAGATTAGATCGGATGTCTTATCGATAACGCCGATCATGTGCTCTCACGTGCGGGGGAGCTCCCCACCACCAGTGTTGACAGCTCCCAAAGACCAGCATCACCGTTGTCGTACTTGTAATCTATTGATTAGGGTCGCAGTTGATTGTCACTCTGGCTGATCGAATGTCGATGAGGCCTGATTATTTCTGCACAGACTAGCCAGCTGACACGTGAGATATAACTCTAGTCTTCAACCGAGCCCTTACTCGACTTGGTGTTGGTGAGGCTGCATTCGATTTGCAACATGGCGGCCCCATACGTACCTATCACGGAGATCCCGACGGTCTCTCTGCTGTATAAACTGGGTCGTCTGATTCCGATTTCATCCCCCCTGTCACAGCCCTCAAAACCTTTGAATGATACCATCTCTCTTATTCGCAATGATATAACCAAACTGCAAGGCGTAGATTGCATTGTCAATGCAGCAAACAGATCTCTTCTGGGCGGCGGAGGTGTGGACGGTGCGATCCACCGCGCTGCTGGACCCAACCTACTGCAGGAATGTCGAGTCTTGGATGGATGTGATACCGGTGATGCCAAGATAACATCAGCCTACAATCTTCCATGTAAGAGGGTCATCCACACCGTCGGACCCATTTACCGTTACGAACTACGCGGAGGCGATGACCGACCGGAGGCACTTCTGCGGAGCTGCTACCGACGGAGTCTCGAGCTGGCCGTGGAAAATGATATGAAGAGCATCGCGTTCTCGGCGATCAGCACCGGCGTTTACGGATACCCAAGTGACGAAGCAGCTCGAGCTGCTCTCGATGAGACTCGAAGGTTTCTGGAGAACCCAAACAATATTGGGAAGCTGGAAAGGATTATATTCTGCAACTTTGAACGCAAAGATGAGGTTGCCTACGAGGAGACGATCCCGTAAGTGTTTCTCGCGTTACTCTTCACTTGACTTCATGGCATCGCTGACCGGTATTAGTTCGATTTTTCCACCGGTTGAACAGGACCTTCCGAGTGGAAGTGCCCCGAAAGCTGAATCTCAATCAATCGCTGACGGTGAGTCTTCGCCGTCGCTAGACTTGCTCGCAGCCAAGCTTCCTGACCCCCCGACTGTGGGCCCTACATTGGACGGCCAGCTGGGAAGCAAAAAACAAAGGGTTAACACAAAAGATGGACAGAGAAGTAGGATTTACATGGAGGATAGGAGCGAGGATGACTGGGAGGAAGTCGATAAGTCCGAAGATGGTCGAACTGAAAGACTGGATGATGAACCGGTTGAAGTCGATCGACCACCTTCTGCGACGGATGTTCAGAGTGTCCAATCCAGTGGCATCATCGATATGACTGATTCCCAGTCAACCGGAAGCTTGTTGGGAAAGGATTGGTGATTTGGGTCGACGGCTAGATTGGGGAACATGCCTACCGAACTTTATGAATGAATGCTTTTAACGAATTGGCGTTGGATGCGGACGGACTCAGTCTTACATGGACGGCGTTGCTATTCTTATTCCTCCTCTATTCGATACATACTCTTGACCGATACTTGGCTCTTTGAGGTTCTTGATTTTTGTTGACTCTGCGAGATTGAGTATATGAATTTCCCACGGTCTAATTATCACCGCTCTGCAGTTTAGCTTCTTGATTTTAATTCTCCCCACTTCAGCTCCTGCTCTAAAGTATGAATAAGACTTATACTTCTATGTAACATGATGCAGGGATACCTATAGTGTCGGCATTCGATTTTACATCTGACTCACAAACAATAGATACATATGTACCAAGTCAGAATATGATTCTAGACTCCCCGATTGAGAGCCAAGCCCATTCATTGGTGGAGGCGGACATGCTTATTCATCTGAAAGCCTCTAGTGTACATCCATATAGCTTCAATTTTCGTCCTCACGTCTACCTCAGGCGCCATTTGCTGTAGACCAATCGAGGTGTAAGGGTGCTTACATATAGTATTGGGATTAATTGTTGAAGCCAATGGTGATTTGTTGTGATGATTGTTCTTCAGGATCTGAATAGGAATTACAGATCGAGGCGTTGTATACAAATCAGATGGCGAAGGGAAGGCGCCGGCCCAAGCTTGGAGTCTATGCTCTTCCAACGCTTTTGCAACCACCGAAATGACAGCTCACAACTCCAAGCATTGGTGATAACCCGTATAACGCCTGCTGACGTTGCTAAATTGCATAGTGCCATCAGTACATAGGAATAAGCGAGGTAGATGAACAGAGAGTAGATACTTATATGGGGGGACATGAAACACGGAGATACAAAGATATCGCTACGCGACTACCAAAAACAGAGAATACCCGATACAAAAAGTCTCATACACAGTACGAGGTGCCATACAAAAACAACTCTGATCCAGATCCCTCCCTACATTACGCAGAATTTGAAAGAGGAAGATTTCTGTACTGAATCTGGATGTTAGTCGACAGTGATTCCAATTCCTGATTCTTGACAGCAGTGGCCCGCGTATAATGCCTCAATCTGCAACTATCAACATCTAACGTCAACCTTCTGGCGACAGGAGTCTATGCCTCCGCGTGTTTATTAAGCCAGGAGAACAGCTTCCCCGGTAGGTAGTCTCACAGAAACAGCATACATCCTGTTCCTTAGAGTGCCTGCAATTAAATGCGTTCATCAGATTTCCAGCACCAACTGCTATCCAAAATGAAACCGAGAATAAACAAAAGCAGAGAGTTCCACAATATCCCATTGTATCGAAATACTGATCCCATTCATCCATGGCTGGAAGAGGTCGACCAACACGATTAGTTTTGTAGAAATGTCGTCCCAGTTCAATAATTGGACCAGAGCGGCGACGATAATATTGAGACTCTTATTGTCGACATTGTCAGTATTTGCAGGAATATCGTCCCAGTTCGATAGTTAAATTAGAACGGTGACGATATAATGGCCTTACATATCCATGGCTCGAAGAGATCGACCAACATGATTGGTTTTGTAGAGGTTTCATCCCAGTTCAATAATTGGACCAGAGCAGCGACAATGCTATTAATGATATTCTTAATGACATCGTTAAGAGAGCTCCTCTCTTCATGTTCAATGCCTCTGTAAAATGTCAATAATGACGGTCTAATGGGAAAGCAATCCCGGAGCAGGGTATTGGATTCTCGGTCTGGTGTGTTATCGAGGAAGTTGAGAGGGCCTGTATAAACCCCACATTCTTGGGTATCTCATTCAGGATACGGCCCGATCCGAAGCCGTCCTATAATTAAGAGGTGCGCTGCGCAGCGCATTTCTTCATAATGTGATGACGTGAGGCTCGGTTGCAGATGCAACCGACCAGAGTTATGCCTTGTATTTACTATTTGCTGCTCTAGGCAGACAACATTAAAGCTTCGAGATTCCATCTATGGCGATGAACTGCTCTAGAAATCGTTTCAAGGCTAAGCTCAAATGCCAAAGGCTCGTCATCTAATTCTTCTGTATTAATTGCTCGAGTTTTTAAACGCCGCCCCGCATCCGCGCCTCCGAGCTCCTATGTAGAGCCATTGAACTTTATTAGAGCATTGTTTTACTGCTCCCGCATGCGTAAAATGCGTGCAACTTATCGAGAAAGAGCTGTCTTATAGACGACTTTCAAAGCCTCTTCGGCAAATCATAGGGAAGACTCTCTAGCCCCTGTAGATGTTGTGCCGTAGCAGCTGGTATAACACCAAAGAGGCCAGAGCAATATATAAGCCCAGCAAGGCAGCATCGACTCCATCGCCTCCAATTGGTCTGGTGCCCATCCTCCAAGGCGATTGATGATGATCTAAAAAGAGTTTCCAATCTAGGCTCCACTGGAGTGTCCCACGTATGTTGTACATATGTACACTAAGCTTTATTGTAGATAATTCCACCTGCCTGTATGTTACGCTTCATGCGTATGGCACCATGACGCCATATATTCGATTGCAATTGTGTCCGAGGGAGAGGAGGAAGAGCGGCTGGACTTGTGTCTATCGAGACGTCACGTATATACATGACATGCCCAAGATACTCATAAAGAAGTTATGATTAAGACTGCAGATTTTCTCGTGTCGGTGTGACTGGCAGTTGCGGTCGATGGCATGTACGCCATCTGTGCATCAATACCTGACGCCTGTAGATCCTTTTACTACATATGCCGAGTGCATCCTTTATACTGCCACTTTATAAGAGACTAGGCACCTTTCAATGGCAGGCTTTACCTTGTAAAGTCTCCAGGAAAGCTTTGATCAATGGCCCTCCCAAACCCATCGAAGATCGAGACACCCTCCTTGAAGTGAGGGCTTGACCTTGAGGATTGAAAAATACCAGTTCTGGTCTCTCGCGTTTGTAAAATTGTGGGCCAGAACGGCGAAGTTTTCGAGAAAGACGGCACCGAATTCTCCGAAAAATGTAGTAAATGTACTTCTGTAGATGTCCGGAAGACTGACGCAATGAACAGCACGAGTTCACCCTTTTTCGCATTTGTAGTACTTGCCGATTAGGGCGGCGAAGTCATCGAGAGAGGTGCGGTACCGTTGAGGTACCATTTTTGAAGCGAGGCATGATCTTGAGTAATGAAGAGACTGGGTTCAGTCTTCATGATCCACCTAACTATATTAGCCTCCCAAGGCAGGCTTCAACCCTATAGAATAATCAGTAAAGGTGCCCAGTTTATCAGAGTAAATAGAGAAGCTTACCTCAGTAACCTGATAGCCAAGTTCCAACAACACTAAGGATTCATCCAATCCTTCTATTTGGTATTCATTGTTCACTTTGGTAGAACCCTGATGGCCACTGAAACCTCACACCTCTATGATATCTGTAATGCAAACGGCTCTCTGTGGCAGAGCCTGCTCAAATTGCTGGCGCTTCAGAGCACAATGCGTGTTGCACTGCAAAGCATAGTCACAAGCTGGGTTTCCTGGCTCTGGATAATACCGAAAATTTGAACTGCCAGAAGTAAGTTTACTGGGCTGGATACGGAATAATCAGTAGAACTAAAATTACCGAGCAACGAAGTCATCATGAGATCTAGGAAGACTTTCATATTCACAGTAGCAGCAGTAGTGATGAATAAGTTCAGTGTTACGACAGGAAATAACTTAGTCGAGATCACATTGATGGGTCACGGGATAATAGTCTCAGTGAATGTTGTTTCACCTGGCAGGTAATACCTACTTCCCAAAATGGAAACCCCCCACCCTGTCAGGTCCAATAATCTTTACAATCTCTAATTCTTGCCTCTCTTGACTGAGAAACATCGTTTGAAAGTGCATCTATAGCTGAGAAGCATTTCCACTATTGACGTTTTTTGATAGATCTTGTTCTTCCCAAGATGTTCTTTTCGTTGCATAAGTGTTTACGTGTGATCGGAAGACCGATTTCCGTGGGCGTCTCTCCGACAACCTTAAGTACACTCGCATCAAGTACGAGGAGGCTTACGGCCCTGTTGAAGAAGACGTCCCGTTCCTTGTATTCAGCCAATCGTCCAATAGGATCTTTCCTCCTAATGGGTGTACCATAGCGGACCTTACTGCATTTTTCTCTCACTGGATGCCCTGCCGTATTAGTGTTGAATGGTCGGGATGGCTTGCCTACTAATACAGTGACGCTAACATCCCTATTTCAGCCTTATATGGACCGTGTGCGCATCACCATACAGAGTCTTCACGGATGAACCGCGAAGATCTTTTGGAATACCGGTGAGAGAGGCAGTTAAAGGGCTCTATGTGGAATATAAGGATGAGGAAACCGGTACTACCCTATCATACAAAGCTCTTCATTGATAAAGTACAGGCACAGTATTGCAAGCGCTTCAAGCAGAGTCTCATAATCGAACCACTCCACCCGAGTGGCGGCTAAAGGGGGGGAACCTCACTTGCGGGAAGTGTGGAGATATTTGACACATCTGTATAACTTTGCAACCATATGCATAAGCATCATGGGGTAAAGTGGAAGCCTAGGTGCCAGTACTGCAGTGAAGAGTTTGTTAGGGCCAATCGTCGAGACCTCCATGAGAAGGAATCTTGCAAAGGCATGGCTATGTTCAGCAGTCTTCTGCTCCTCGTGCGCCCCGTGATAGTAAGTCACGGACAGCTAAGCGCGAAGGAGAAGCTGTCACATCGAACAATGGCATCTCTACGTACCTCGCCATCAAACAGAACACGCTGGAATTTGCTAAGGTAGATCCGGAAGCTGGACTTGCTGATCGGCTGGTGTACAGGGGCGAGGTCTGGTGCCGTTACCCCGGTTGCGTGCATCACGTAAGTGTAGACCAATACTCCAGGGAGCTGTTCTTCCACAACCTTTTACTCACACTTTCTTTCCCAGACAAATACTCGTTCCCCCCGCCCTGATACCTGTCACACCCGATTAGAACTATCCCGGTGCCTTATCTCCAGAAAAGTGTATTATACTTGCCATGTGCTTGTATAAGGGCTTTTCGCTCCAGAGTCGTAGGAGTTTACTTCTACAAGTACTCGCTATCTTGGAACTTTGGACTCCTCTGCTTCAAGAGTCACAATGTCCATAATTTCTGGCTCCTTATTATTCCATTTACTGGGCTTACACTTTCACCGGTAAATGCTTTTATTCGTTGTCCATCTCGGACAATTGACGGACTGGCAACGCTATGTGAGTAAATTTGTCCCTATATACTAATCTTCACCAGACCTGAGATACTGGGGGCGATTCAAGTATGTCATGGTATGAGAGGCACAGGTACTGGTTTCTAAGCTTGCATTCAAGTCAACGACTAATCGAGGCTAGGCCCGGTACCTTTAACAAACACAATCATTTCCCCAAAGTGCACCCTCCCGATAAGATGGCCAAAGAACGCTACTGGGATACAAATAGCTGCCTGCTATCATCTGAGTAAGCATGCCAGTGTCATTCTCTATCTCGACTGAAGCGCTTCTCTCTCTGTCCGGATCCAAGTCCCACCGGGTCGGGGCCCTGTGACCCCACTGCTCTACTTACAACCAAGCCTGGCTGATAATACTTGACAGTTCAAAAGAACCGATGCCAGATAACCCTAATCGAATACTACTGGTGCCCTATGTCTCTCGCTGTTGCTACTCCTGCAATGCTCAAAACACGCTACTGGAGCACGAATAGCTATCATCAGTGTAAGTATATCGTGCCATGCTCTATCTCACCTGAAGCGCTGCCAACGTGACTGATAGTACTTTACGTTATTACAGAAGAGAGCCGATACCAAACAACTAATTGAATACTGCCTCCAATCCCTCACTCTCGCTATTGCTATTCTTGGGTCTCGAAGACTACAGATTATCGATTTGGGAAAGCTATAATGGGCATTGTACAGGGAGATGGCATGCCGCGAATTGTACTTGGTTGCTATTGTCCAACGATAGGGCTTAAGGTAAATTGCATGTATTCATTGCAAATAAGCCGAATAAATGGACGCCACTGGTTCTTCTCTAGCTATTCTGAAATACACCGCCAAACTTCGGTGGCTCTTTTGTAGGCATAGATAAGCAAGCCCGGGTGGGTACGGCAGTTATGGTGCAATGTCCTCACATTTTGCAAAATCATGGCCATATCTCCTAGGATTGTATCATTTAATCAGCAAATTCGTCACAATGTGTCTAATAATAGATATATTATCTGAATAACTGGGCTGAACTAATATCTACCAGTTACACAGTAGCAAGCATCTGAGGAGAATTTCTGGAAGACATCCTTTTCTTCAATTCGTCTAAACTACAATCAATATTGCATTGATGGCTTCGTTCTCGGGCTCCTCCGCTTCCTTCTCTTCTTCCTTCTTCTCTTCGGCCTTCTTCTTCTCCTCTCTCTCCTTCTTCTCCTTCTCTAATATCTATAATAGTCTCATATTATAAAGAGTTCGACTTAAAATAAATATACCTTGCGCGCCTCCTTATTGGCGCGCCGGAGTCGGGGGCGGCGGCCTTCTACACTTAAAATATTAGTAAATATATTAGATAGAGATAGGTTTAACTTGCCTTCTTCTTGGTTTTCTTCTCCTTCTTCTTCATTAGTTCCATGAGCTCCTTACTCTGATTTTTAGAGCATCTTATTATATGAAATACATCAGTAATAGCTAAGAATCTTGCAAAGCCCTGCGCCATAGCGCGCAAAACGCAAATCAATTCGCCCGCCTCGTGGGCAAGGGCAAGGTCTTCATTCTCCTATCAAGCCTTGATTAGTATACATTTCATAGATAGTAATAGATATTATAGCTTATAAGTAAAAAGAATCTGCTCTTTCTTGGAGGTAATAAATATTAAAGCTTAAGGTAAAGCAAGCTCGGTATCAAGCCACTAGGTGACTTGAAGCTTTCAAGGAGAAGATAGTTATACTTACGGCCATGGTGTGTGAGAGAGAGAAGGGGGGCCGGTGGAGAGGGAGAGAGAGGTTTCGCGTAGTTTACATTTGCACCTCAGGCTCAAATAGCAGCAACCCTCTGAAAAAAGAATAATTGTACTGGGCCCCAGACTCAAGTAGCCTCCAGAAGTAAACAGGTCAATATATCATTGTATGATCCGTCCAAGTAGCATGATCAAACATTATCTGACGCTGCTTCTCCTCGAGTTACCTTTTATGATTGATATTGCTCCGACAGCTTTCTTTCCAATTAAAAGAATATATTATAAGAATTCTCACCACTTTTCTCGGTACTGTGATGCTGTTATATTACCTATACCGAACCATATCGAGCTAACATTGTTATTCAGTAGAGGAGCTTCTCGAAATGCATATTTATATCGTCTGCCGAAGCGAACTTTCGATCCGGTGAATTAGAAGTCGCAACTCTGGTACAGGCAATCTCCAAATTATAACGACACCTTGACAGTATTCCATTTGCTTGCCCTACCGTCCATTCCGTGATTTAACGGCTTTCTCATTTTATATCGCCCTGCAGGAAGAACCGACCCATAACCTGGGCTCTCGTCACAGTTTGCACACAACATCATAGTATTCCACCGCCTGGGCCACAAAGATCAGAATATTAACACATGCACAACAGCTTCAAGGACAGGATTGGAATTAATACTACCTACTTTCTTACAACCAGTGTCTTGATAATAGATCCATACCTATGACGAGCAATCTCTCGGTGACACCGAATAACAAGCACCTGGACCGGGTATGAAAAGACCTTCAACACCCGGAACAACTTTCAGATCTTCCAAAAGACCTTGTCAGAAGTAGGTGGAAGCAGGACAAAACCAGAAGGCTATTGTACATTGTACGAGACCACACAAAAAGACTCCATATCTCATCTAGGGCGCACAGGCTCATCCTTACAGCTACATGATAACGAAGAACATCCTTGAACCCTACAATTTTTACATCATTCGACGTATAATACCGTGTCCTAAAGTGCTTGTTAAGTTCCCCTCTGATTTGTATGCAAACTCTCTGAAGTTGAAACACACTAATCGCATGGTCAACTATAGCTATTACTTTCCTGTCGTTCACTCCAGAATCCTCTCCATGAATTTCAAATCCGGATCCTGCTGTCGGAAGGAGGCTCAGGTGCCCTGTTGGTCATTATCACCAAGTGTACCAAAGCGGCTCAACTTCCTCCAGGCAAACGATTTTACGCGCGGCCACATACCAACAGTGCTTCCAATAAGTTTGGTCTTACTGGAGCTTCCCGCAGACGGTAATCTCCAATAAGATGCCAGGTTTACTTCAGTCTTTGGACATATCTATTTGGCAGAACTAACGTTCAATTGCTCATACAAGGGCATTAGAAATCAATCTGAGAATGATACTGGCCACGTCATATACACCTGGTATTGCGGTTTAGCAGTCTCGCACGATGGGCGACCGGTCTTTCAACACAGGAACCGAGACGGTGTAGCTAGCGAATTTATACCCTAGAAGGCGATATATATCGGTCTACTGCTGTGCTGAAGAAACTTATTTCGGAGGTGCAGGCACCCTTGCTGTTCCAGGACCATCTTGTTATTTCACTCGAATGTACAAGGAACAAGCATAACAGAAAGGAGGCGACGAATAATACGACTTAACCATACCGTCGAATTTTGCTGCGTATATTTTACCTATATATGAAAGGTATGCAGCATAAGACAAGATTCCAGGAATAAGCCATCAACTGGAGTAGAAGTGTATATGTAAAATGTCGGCAAGCTTCCGGAGCTGTGACAGCAACCATAAAAGCAAGTGGCCGGAGGGAAATGGTCTGATTAACATAGAAATTAACACACACTATTGACTCCAGTAACCCCTGAATATGGAGTACCAGCGTTCTGTGAACATCGGCCTTGTAAGATACGTATTTTTCCTATTGAAATTGATTAGTATATATGTATCAATATACCAATAATAGATTAGAATCTTACAGCAGCAGCGAATCCCCTTGCATAAGATATCTGTACTGTGTAGAAGTTGACGCTGTTGAAACTGGGACCAATGGATTGAGTTACTCAGCTTTCTTGCATGCGCAGGGGCAGTCATGGCCCACATATTCACAGTTCAGATTACCACTATCAAGTATCAACTATCACTGAACTATTTTTTTATGATAAACATGATAGTACCTGAACTGAGCGAGCTCTGAGTTGTTATATTTCCTAAGGAAGTATCAATGACAGTAAAACCCTAAGCCCTAAGGAGATCCCTTCTTGGCATTGCTTTTGTTTGTCACGTTTGCGCGCCGGTAAGTCGCGTCCATAGGATAAGCGCTGGAGGTAGTCCAACATCTATAGGGAACTGTTTCTAAAACATCTCATACTCGACATGTGAATTTGAACAAATATACAAGCCACATTGTATAACTCCAGTACTAAGACTCCAAAATGGCACCCTCAATACCGGATCAGATGTTAAATACATCATGGACATTACACCGTCTATCACCTCTACACCATGAAAAAGAATTCCAATCTCTCCTGGACAACCCAGAAGCTCTAAAAACCTATGCAAACCGCCTACGCGACCAACTCACGGGGAACGTGCTAGCCGGATTCCAAGTTGGCACAAGTGCACCCTCCACAGAGGAAGACACGCTCTCCAGAACTGGCGCTCTCATAAACTGCACCTGGGAAGCTATATCAAGCCTTTCTTTAGCAGATCCTGATGCTTCCCATCCCGAGAGCCCATGCGGAATACTCGTGGTACTAGACTATGAAAACATCACCTATAAAGCAGCATTACTTGCACCACCAGAAGGGTCCCATTCCCGTAAAACTTCCACATACCTGCCGTTACTGTTAACGCGGTTACCGGGCCCGCTACGACAAACATTCATCTCTTTTCTCTCTGCGAATTTTGACACTTACTGTTCTGTTTTTCGCCTCCCTTCAAAGTTCTTGTGTACCGGACTTGCCTCTTACGTGGACGCTTTGACGCAAGACCGCGATAGAGAATCGGCGACTTCGCGGGCTATTCTGGAGGATGTCGTGAAGGAGATACAGATTACAGTGTCATTCTCGTCTAATGTGACTCCTGCTTTGAGGTCCCTCAATATTAATATCCCGCGGGGGTCTATCAAGAGCTTTTTGCCGGCTACTGGGGTTTCGAATCAACCGGGTGGTTCTATTCTCTCGGGTCTCTCTTGTTATATTGAGAAGCATCTGGCGATGGATCTGGATCTAGCTGGGTCGTCAGCTAGGGGTATACCGGCAAGCAAACATGTGCGTATCAGTAAGATCGCATGTAACGGGTTCGTTCTAGGCGCTGAAGGAAAGATAAAACTGGTTGCGCAGCCTATCCGAACTGGCTCTGCTGGCGATGATTCGGCTGAGAACGATGACGACACTCGGAATGATAAGAAGCGTCTTGCTCTACGAGCGAGTGAGGTGCTACTTCTCTCTGTCATACAAAGGAGCCTTGTTGGGGAGAATCAGGAAAGTTGATCAGTACGACTTCTGGGGAGAGAAAGTCTATGTCCCTTATTCCGATGCTGCGGTATGGGCTTGGGAAGTGCACAATGTGGATGGTTTACTTTTCCGTTAATCCTTGGGAGGCAGGCAGTACTACACAGATAACAATCCTATCAATCGTTTGGTTTGACATTAACTAACAAGATTTCATGCATGAGCCGTTATACAAGAGCGGTGCTTAACATGAGCAAATTGAGAACGGACTGGCTAATATGCATGCAATGTCATCAAACATCATCTATATCGTGAGGCGTTATATAAGCAGAACGCAGCCATCTAACCAACGTGATATTTATATCATGTTACAGTTCAGATCTCAATCTGGTCTTCCGATTCGGCGAGGCGGAGGGCTTCGTCGACACCATCAACGAAGTGGGCTATCCCACCGCATCGCTCCACAATTCCACTTCGTTCAAACATGCGGAAAACATTGCGAGTTGGGACACGACAGAAGAAGACGCTGACCCCCTGGTCTGCGTATCCGTCCACAATCTCATATAAGACTTGTGTACCGGAACCATCGATGCTTGTGACACCATGAACATCAAAAATGATATTCTTGTTATGCTCGGGAGTGCGCGTGGGGGGAAGAGAAGGATGCGCCCTACTACTGCCGTACAATTCCAACCGCCGAAGACGATTCTTGAGCTCACCAGTATTGGCAAAGGTGAGCGGTTCCGGGATCTTAACAATAAGCGCGCCTTCGATCAACTCAACGTTCTCTGGGTGGAGTTCAGCGTTCTCAAAACGGTCAGTGGTGCCTGCTATCTTACCCAAAATTTGGATCCGAGGCTGCGTAGAATGGCGAATAAGGATCAAGATAGAAAGGCCAATACCAAGGGCAATTCCCAGTTCTAGAGAATAGAAGATAGTCGAGACAAAGATGAGAAGCATTAGGATTAGCTCCGTCCATCCGCGCAGACGGATAAAGAAAGCCACGTCGTGAGGACATTCTTCAATGAGACTGAAAGCGACGACAGATATCATAGAAGAAAGAACGGCTTTCTAATAGATTGCAATAAATTATCTCAGCCTTCGCTCGGAAATATTTTGGGGTCGAGACTCACCGGAAGATAGTATAAATACGGCAAGAGCACCATGATACAAACAAAGGTAATGATACTCAGGAAAATGCTGCTCATTGGGGAACGGGCTCCAGTTGAAGCGTTGACTTTGCTTCTTGCATACCCACCAAACGCAGGAAGCGCCATGAAACAGCCCCCAACAGTATTAGCAAGACCCAGAGCCACCATCTCTCTGTTGGCACTGACAGGCATTCCCTGGACACCTTCTTGTCTGGCCTCGCCACTAAGCCCCTTGGCGGCAACAGAAGACTCAAAAAAGCCAAGTAACGCGATGACGAAAGAAGTACTCATGGCAGCGCGTACATGCTTCATATGGCTAAACTGGAAAGGCCATTTAAACGCAAAAAGGCCACTGGCATTGTGTTTCAAGGGCCCAAGAATCTCCAATCCTTTTTCATCCCAACCAAGATGCCATGTCAGGACGGCTGAAAGGATAACTACAAGAATTCGGTCCGGAAGATAAATCACCTGAGGATACCGCGGCTGGAGCATTTTCTTGATGGTCCTGTAATGGATATATTAGTCTAAGCACCAGGCTTCCGAGTCACCAGCACTAACCGAAATACCATTATAATAGCGAAGCACCCAAAAGCCACTGCACTTGTAAGCGCATGACAATCTCCTATGTTTCTTCCAAGGAACATGAGCTTGTCGACCGTAGTCCCATGAGTAACACCAGCTTCCTTTGCGAGCTCGGACAATCCGACTTCGGGGATAAGTTGATCCACAAAAATCACGAAGCCGATCGCTGTAATGAAACCCCTAAGGAAGGGCCGGCTCAGCACATTGTCCAGAAAACCCAATCGCGTAAGCCCAGCGATCAGTATCATGGCACCCGCCATAGCAGTGGCCACGCCGACCACCATAGCATTCGCCACTTCGTCGTCCTCACCAGATGGGCCTGGTCTGACACTAGTTTTAACAATCGTCCCCGTAAGCAAAGAGCCTGCTGCTTCTGGGCCCACTATCAACAGCGGGCTGCTGCCGAAGATCGCATAGATGAAAGGGTTGATCACGAAAGAGTAGAGGCCATTGACAGCAGGTGCGTGGGCGAGATTTGAGGACAAGGACAACGCCATAGGGATGTAGATGGACGCAACGGTTGTCGCAGCAATTAAATCTCCTCGGATGTATGACCACCGGTATTGGGTAATCCAATTGAAAAACGGGATGTAGTATGATATATACCTTGATGGACGTTAGCTGTCTCCACAATGGAGATAACAGTTGTGTTATAAAGCGGGACGAACGTAATTCTAAACCTACAGAGATTTCTGGTTCTTCATGTGCAATGCTGTGAAAGAGGAGTCTAGCGATGGTATATTCTCCGGTCCTGATGGGTATCCTGAGGCGTCGCTGGGAAGCCCAATGTGGCCGTCAACTTCTCCTGGAAGCTGCGGTGTGCCTTCGTGACCAGCATTCTGCAAAGAGCTTGCATCCCATTTTTGGATGTCGTCCTGTTCAGGTTGTGAAGAAAAAGTCCCATGCTCGCCGGAGTTCCTCAGACCACGCTCCCCGCGATCATACGATTGGAGAAGACGAGTCCTTGCATCAGGCTCCCGTGGCGGATATATTATCGTCGATCCTTCGTTTTGCGCTGCGCTCTCAGCGGTTACGAGGCTTGTTGGATGACCTGGGGCGTCATTATTTGAGGAAGAGTTACGAAAGAGGTTAAGAATGCGATCCCGCAAAGAGCGTTGTTCAGTCGGCTCTTGTACAAAGCTGGAATCCATATTTACCCGGAGATCGCGTCTAGTATCGCTATGATATACAAAGTAACTCAGCACTCGCCATGAGTGCTACGCTTCGATGAAAGAAGAAGAGACAAAGGAAGAAAGAAAGAAAACTGGGAAAATCCGACTGAATTTAAGGCAGCGAAAAAAATAGGCGAGCCAGAAAGTAGCAAATCCCGTAGTGCAACAGGCGGTGGCTACGATTGGTAGTTACGTAGCGGGAGATACTCGGAAGCATGAAACCGGAAGAAGTAAATATCATTCATTATTCAAGAGTACATAGTAAAAAAATCACAGGAAAGGTCACCCGGGCAAAAATGACACAATAATAACCAATTGAGTTTGCCTGTTTTTCCCCCTTCGCTCCGTCCAAGAAGTGGCGTATTACGGAGGAGCTCCTTGTAAAACCAGGGAAATCCAGGGAAGAAATATGATAAGGTCACGATACCGAAACATTATCTGTTTCTGCCGGGCGGTGGGGACGACCACCGGGGCACGTGATGACTCACCACCCAGCCCAAAGTGGGTTTTGAGCCGCCACAAAGTGATTTGAAGTGTGCTCTGAATCTCATCGGTGGTCTGCCGTTAATCTCTTTTTTCTGTTGATCCAACCTCCTCAACCTCGTGCGGAAGTTTGTACAGAGGACAGTTCCTTACGGGGCCTTTTGACTTGAATTTCTTTTTCCTCGAAAAGTTCGCCGTTTAGCTTTGCCTCACAAAGGCGCAACCCCGCCAAAATGTCGTTAACGAACAGCCGTTTTTACGAGGAGAAGTACCCGGAGGTCGACAGCTATGTCATGGTCAACGTTAAGCAGGTATGCGCTTTTAATAACTGTGTCCGAAATTGTGGTTTCTGAATTTTTCTTCTAACGGTTACTTTGCAATGTCATAGATCGCCGAAATGGGCGCATATGTGAAGCTTCTCGAATACGATAACATCGACGGAATGATCCTGCTTTCCGAACTTTCGCGGAGACGTATTCGTAGTATCCAGAAGCTCATCCGTATCGGTCGCAACGAAGTCGTCATCGTACTCCGTGTTGACAAGGAGAAGGGCAAGTGAATTTCTCCAGAGAAATTGAGCCACTGGTGGACTTTGACTAACATAGTATCTTGCTACTTGTAGGATATATTGATCTTTCTAAGCGACGAGTCTCCCCGGAAGATGTTATCAAATGTGAGGAGAGGTATAACAAGAGCAAGGCGGTGCACTCTATCATGCGTCATGTCGCAGAGGCTACTCAGACTCCCCTCGAGACACTATATCAGAACATTGGATGGCCTCTGAACCGGAAATACGGCCACTCCCACGATGCCTTTAAGATCTCCATCACGTAAGATCCTGGTGGCTCTCAACCAGTCTTTGATGTAACTGACTTTTTTTCTCAGGAACCCCGATGTGTGGAACGATGTTGAGTTCCCTAGCGAGGCCGTGAAGAAGGAGTTGACGCAGTATATCAGCAAGAGGCTCACACCCCACCCCACCAAGGTTCGCGCCGATATTGAGGTTACTTGCTTCGGTTATGAAGGAATTGATGCGGTCAAGGCCGCTCTGCGTACTGCCGAGGAGGCCAACACTCCCGATAGCCAGGTCAAGGTCAAGCTGGTCGCTCCTCCTCTGTACGTCTTGACCAGCCAGTGCTTGGACAAGGCCATTGGTATCAAGCAGCTTGAGGAAGCTATCCAGAGGATCGAGGCCAAAATCAAGGAGGCCGGAGGTGGCTGCAGCGTCAAGATGGCACCCAAGGCCGTCACCGAGCACGATGATGCCGCACTCCAGGAGCTCATGGAGAAGCGTGAGCGTGAGAACATGGAGGTCAGTGGTGACGAGAGCCAGTCTGAGAGCGACGAGGGCGTTCCCGAGTAAGCAGCCCATAGTACGCCTACAGCGCCAATTTAGGCCCCTTGGGCCCGATTCGAAAGAGGAAAATATCAGAAAATTGCGATGTGTAGTTGAACAACACTGAATACGAAGGCTGGTTATGAGTACTGGTTTGCAAGGATGGGGAAAAGTTCAATAGAAGAGTTTCAAATGTGACACGATTTATGAGACGGGAGACGGTTCAATATGCTCATGGGCAGAATTGAGATCAACAGTGGTGCTCGGGGTCTATGAGGATGCGAGTCCAGCAGTCAATATTGGGGTTGCTTTTACCCCGTCAGAGACTGTGGTTGTCTCGTCGTTTCTCGTCTAGAGATTATTGGTCAATCATCTGCCTCTGTTGGTGACTGAGCTCTGGTTCGCTGGGGAACTCGATTCCGCATTCTCATGTACATAAGTTTCTTTGACCTGCGGGTCAAGATCGGTGGTACCTTGTTAGACACCTACTATCAAAACTTTCTTCTTTTTTTTTTGGTCACAATCTAGCATTATTGGCATTGGTGACTCGAAGACTTGGTCCAATTTGTTTGGATCGTATACCATTCCACTCTGCCCTAGTCATGCGTACAGAATATCAAGAATAGCTAGAAGAGGTCCGTTCCATATCGATATTTGATTCGTGCGCAAACTCTCAAAGCACCAATCGCGGCGATGGCTGGCTGGGAGTGGGGCACGCGGGATAAGCTACTGGTACCAGTATTTGGATCTCGAGAGCTTTTAACGAACCTTCGTTCCCCCTCGTCCTTCTGTGCGCCAATTTTCTTTATTATAGAGACTCAGGTATCCATTGCTCAGTATGGGACTTTGGCGAAATATCTTAAAGGCTGATACTGGACGTGCTCGACGTCATCTACAACTAGAGCGTCGCCGGTGTACGCATCCCCGATCCTCACATAGCTGCGCCGTCCAATGCAAGTCAGTGTTAACGTGATTAACAGTACTTCCTGCCTACGATTCGGATCCGGTTGCTTCCACTGGACCTGCCAAGGAAGTAACTAAAGTGGCTCTTAGGCTGAAGTACCAGATTGAACAGGTTATTCCCTGCGAGGTTGAAGAAAGTATCATCACCAGTCCAACCAGTCGCGTCATTACAGAGAGCGTTGTGCGAACTGCGAAACAAGCCGGTGGTGAAGACCTCCATGGCTGTGTTGTATTTTGCTTGCTTGTATGCCTACGTTGGTTCAAAATTCAAGCTATAGAGGAGCTTTGGGATTCTGATCTCCACGAAAGTCGGGCCCTCGCATGTGAGGTTATAGCCAAGCGCATGTAATGACCCTACAATATCCACACGGCGGCTACTTACACGACTAATAACGCTTCGTATAGAATTGAAACCGAAGAGGACCAAGATTTTCTACTAATCCATACCCTGCTCAAGCGATATTCGATCTTCACCGACGGAGAGGAGACAGTACCGGCTAACGTCATTGAACGTGCTGTAGACCTTCATGCTTTGAGGATTATTGGATCCTCTGGGTATCAGAAGTGCATCAAATACCTCTGGAACGGCTGGTTTTGTCAACAGGATGGCAACCCAACCAACTTCGTTCCCTACCATGAAAAGGATAATACGAATTTTGCAATTCATTTCCACCCCGATAGGATGAAAACTCCTCTGTATCAGAACACATGTCAAATTGCTGTCTCTCTAGTATACCTTGCACTCTACACTCAAGTCATTAATACTGTCAATCGAGCCGGAGACCTCGATGTCGGGGAAGGAATCCTCTATGTGGTGACTCTTGCATTCATATGTGACGAGTTAATTAAAGTATGGAAGATCGGACGGCATTACTTTGATTTCTGGAATGCCTTCAATTCCACGCTATACGCCATTCTTGCTGTCTCTTTTTTCGTTCGTGTCGCTGCTCTAACGCACTCACCTTCAGCTGATGATCAGAAGAGACAAACACTCAACGAAATAAGCTACAATTTATTGGCGTTTGCGGGGCCAATGTTCTGGATGCGTATGATGCTATATCTGGACTCGTTCCGGTTCTTCGGGGCCATGTTTGTCGTTCTGAGGGTTATGATGAAGGAGAGCTTGATATTCTTTGCTCTCCTCTTCGTTGTCCTAGCGGGCTTCTTCCAAGGTTTTTACGGGATGGCTCAGGTCGAGTCCGATATCCCAGTTGTAAAAAATATCGTGCAGGGCATGGCAAACAGTATAATGCAAAGCCCGGAGTTTGGCACTTTCGAGGATTTCGCGTACCCGTTCGGCATTATCCTTTATTATTTATTCAATTTTATCATCATGACAGGTGCGGTCCAGTTGCTCTGCAATTCATAACTTTACTAACGCCTTGCAGTTTTGCTTAATATCCTTATCGCTCTATACAACAGCGCATACGAAGATATCTCAGGAAACGCGATTGACGAGTATATGGCAGTCTTCGCGCAGAAAACGATGTCCTACGTCCGGGCGCCGGACGAGAATGTCTTCATCCCTCGTAAGCCATCCCTTATACTAACTGATAGCCTCGCCATATTAACAGAATTGTAGCGTTCAACCTCATCGAGATTATCTTCCTAATCGCACCCTTCGAATGGTGGCTCCCACGCAACTACTATGCAAAGCTAAATGATGTTGTCATGGGTATCATCTACTCACCAATTCTTCTCGTAACAGCGTCCCTTGAAGTTCGCGAAGCCCGTCGGATAAGATGGAATCGTCGTCGTGGAGAAGAAGATGATGATGACGTGCAGGAATGGGAGCATGCCGCCGAGGAAGTGGATTTTGCAATCGATGATAGCTGGAAGCAGACTGTCCAGGACACGACACCCAACATAGCCATGGACAGTTGCACTCTGGAGATCGTTCAGCTGAAAGAACAAATACGTGAATTGACGGAGATGGTAAGGCTACTGACCGAAGAGAAGGCAGCCAAGGGAACGCTGTACGGTGGGTCCAGCTCGACTATACTTGAACGCGAATAGCTGCCGGTTGAGTAGAGATTGAGCGAGTCCATACAAGGCTTGATTTGGGAGACTATCAAAATTGGTCGTTTGGTTTTGTCTGATTGGTGTAACTTATATATGCCTTGTCTTTCGTATCCGTTGCGGCAGCTAATGTATCTATCCAGTGGTTACCTGCCAATGTAAGGTAATACTATCTTAATGGGGTTATCGATTTGAGTCAAGAATTGTTGCCCGATAAAAGTCGCGGATCCCACCAACTTCGGTCGAGGCTGGTCGGACAGGCCACAGTCCATAGACACTGGCATGTCATAGACAGTAGCAATTACAGCTCGGCTTCAAAAAGCCGAAGACAAAAAGAGAAGCCGAACGCGGGGGTCGAACCCGCAACCTTGAGATACCGTGACGACTAAGAGTCTCACGCTCTACCGATTGAGCTAGCCCGGCTACTTGTTGAAAGATGGCCTATTTTAATGTTATACATGTCTAGAGCTTGAGATTCTAAAGTACCTTGGAGCACCTTCACACAAGTACCGTGCCCATGAAACCACAATTAAGTGCTCGGTCTTGTAGTCAACTCACTTCAAGCCTTGATATCAGAGTGAATTGTCTAGATCCAAAGAATGTACATCCTTCTATATCACCCGAGACTTCCTCATTAGGGGTCATTAGCAGTCTTTCAATAGTAAGGGTGGACACGAGCATTGCGGTATCTCTTCCATAACACACCGTATAGCCTGCATAATACACCAGTTTTCGAGCCATATTACATAGAGCCGTGGCGGGGATACATTTACAGTCATAGTGGTCACGAAGTATAATGAATGAGTTATAAGAGAGCAATATATAACCAAACCTGATTCATGAAGAAATGCGAACAGAAGCCGGAAACTATGGCAGTGGGATAGTATGTTATGAGCCTGCTATCGACTATAGCAACGCTGGCTGTATTTCCATCATAATATAGACTAAAATAAAATAAAAACATAAACATTATATCTGCAGGTCTTACCTGCATGTTTACTTCTTGTAGTGTTCTAGTCCGCACATATGCATTTAACTTTCTATCTGTTACTGCAGGATTATGTAGGCAAAAAAGAAAACGCTATTCAACAAGTAGCCGGGCTAGCTCAATCGGTAGAGCGTGAGACTCTTAGTCATCACGGTATCTCAAGGTTGCGGGTTCGACCCCCGCGTTCG